TCTCTCACATGGCCACACACACACAACCACTGATAGGGAAATCCTACTCATTGCCTTCTCGTAGCACTACTGTTGTTTACGAAATTGAGAAGACGAAAAGCGAATATCCGGAGCTTTAATCGGGTTGGTGTATACTGAGGATCCACACAGGAAAGTCCTGATTCCAAACGAACAGTGCACAGGGGCTCCAGTATCCTGAAGGACTAAACGGTGTATGAACCAATTGATGGTCACCAGCTATCATGTGACTGCATCTTCTTATGTTGCTCCACTGTTTCATGGATTAGACATTTAGGTCGACGGTTCGGCGTGTAGCCCCCTTAGAAAACCATCTGCTTCGGTTTGGGTACCAGGGCAGTATCTCAGCCCATACACAAGTCAAGTGACTTATATGGCGCATATGTATTCGTTGCCCGTTTGTACCAATATTTGTGTTTTTAAATAAATAAATAAATAGGAACACCGATTGAGTCGTAAATAGACACTGATGAGGAGTCTCATAGGATAACAAAACAACTACCCATTACCTTCTCGTTCTTACAAAATAGATGAAAACGATACATGAAACAAAATCGAAGAATATAATTCAATAGTTTTATATTGTTAGCAAACATCTCCGTATCTTGTAAAGATAAAAGAAGTAATACAACCGATACTTATCTTGACTTCTAGTCTTCTATTTATGTAAGCGCATTGCTGAAGAGTCCCACAACAAGACGAAACAACCGTTGAGTGCTTTCAAGTTTTCCATAATGATCTAACTCCAATCTAACTCATGATCTCAACTAATGAATAAAAAAATTTGGTTACTTTACTTTTTTTCTCCGCCCTTCATTCCACACCCTATATGTGTACACACACACACACACTATTAGGTTTCTTTACAAATTATGATTGGCGCCTAAATCTTTAACATTCAAACTATAACAGTAGTATAATCATAGTAACATATTGAATATATCAATCAGTATAATAGAAATAGGCAGACATAAATATTTTCACTTATAATTAAGTAGAAGAAAAAAGTAGTATGAAGCATAAATGCCAAAATAACACAACTTGGAATGAAGGGGTTAGAGAATGGGTGGATGGATGGATGGATGGATGGATGGATGGATGGATGGATGGATGGATGGATGGATGGATGGATGGATGGGTAGGATGGATGGATGGATAGATGTAACATAACACATTTATGTTTAACTTATGCACTAATTGGTATATCTTCTTTATTTTGCATAGTGATTGACAGTACAATTCAAAATGTACTTTTAGTTCTATTTATCAAGTGAATATTATCTTTATCCCAGTATTGATATTCATATTGAAGATATTGAATTCCAAGTTTAAATTTACTCAATTCTCAATAATAATATAGATTTGAATCGTTGAATTCATAAGTCAATTGAAGTTAGATCATCATGAAAAAACTAACAGCACTTATGCAGCTACCCAGATACACGAACATCTCGACTACGTCTATCTGTTCACCATCCAGGGTGAGTACAGGATTGGAATCCTGCCAGTCTTGTAGAAGTACTTCGCACTTAGAAGGTGCAAAGCACATACCGTACCTACGGACACTGATTGCCAACTGATTAAGTACGGATTGCATGTCTTGGGCATTACCGCATAGTAAGACAATATCATCCGCATACTCAAGGTCGAGAAGTCTTTCTCCAGGCAACAGATTCACACCACCATTACTTACATCCATCAAAGTTGTTTCCAGAATGTCATCGATGGCAAAGTTGAAGAGGAATGGTGAGATTGGACAACCTTACCTAACCCCATTGCTTGAATGGAACTATGGAGAGAGGTGGGTGTATGCCCTCACTCTGCCTGAGATGTTTGTATATGGGGCTTCCAATATGTTAATAAACTTCTCAGGCACACCCTTCTTCAATAGACAATCCCAGAGAACAGTCCCGTCCAACGAATCGAAGGCAGCCCTGATGTCAGGAAACACTACGATTGTTGGCCTGTGATAAGTATAACGGTTTTCTAACATTTGGCAGAGGGTAGAGATATGACCAATACATCTTCGAACAGAACGAAAATCAGCCTGCCCCTCGCGAGTCAATCTTTCTCGGGTTTTGAACAACCTACGAAGTATGACGGAAGCCAATAGCTTGGACGCAATCGGACGTAGACTTATCCCCCAATAGTTATCACAGGAACGACGTGAACCTTTTTTAAAGATAGGGACAACTATCGACTCACTCAATGACTTTGGGACACTCTCTGACTGCCAAACCCTTGTGAACAACTCAAACAGTTCCTTAGTCAGAAAGTCACTACCATCTTTAAAAAGGGCCGGAAGTAGGTCATATGAGCCTGGTGATTTGTAGCGCTTCAAGAGTTGGAGTTTCATGCGAAATTCCACCTCATTTGGTGAATCAGTCGTCACGGGCCATGGAGGGCAGAACCGTCTGATCGATGTTGTCGGAGCAGCAGACCAGTTGAACCGCTCCTCAAAAAACCCGGCCCATCGTCCAAGACGTCGTTTGATGTTAGTGATCGGCATTCCGTCATCCCCACAGATTGTTTCGTTCACACCGACCTTCTCGGTGCCAGTGGCTCGGACTAGTTGAAAGAGCTTCCGGCAATTTACCTGAAACTGAAACTAAAACCCCAATAAATAAAATAACTCCATAAATAATGTAAATAAATTTCCGTATCCTGGCTGTAATAAAGGCCCACCAGCTACGAAAGGCATAATCAATCACTGCTATGTAGTACATAGGTGGTTAGAAAACACCTGACAGGAAGTAAAATCAAAGACAAAAAACCTGCAAAAACAACTACTGAGCCCCGGTAGTTGAACAGTGTTTCAATGTAGCCTCTTCTCCAGAAGGGCCTACCAGGCTTCACCAACTAGTTTGGCCAAGCGTTCATAGCGACGTCGCTTTTTAATCCTTTGATGTTGGCTCTTTCTATCATTGTGAAGCGGAATTCATCAAGCGTTGGATTGTTCACCCACTAATGGGGAAAGTGAGTTAAATTTAGACCACCGTGAGACAGGTTAGCTTTACCCTACTAATGAGTACATTAGTAGAGTTCAATCTGGCCGTTGCTATGGTAATCCAGTTTAGTACGAGAGGAACCGCAGGTTCAGATAATTATTATATGTGCCTGGTCGAAAAACCAATGGTGCGAATTTACCATCTGATGTCTGAATCCCATCCAACTTTGCAACGGTACATTTTGTATCCGACACGAAGCTGAGCAAGCTTACGTATTGATTTGGAATCTGGACTGCACTATGTTTTCGGCTAGACCAATTAGGTCAGATGTTATGCGAGAGCGATGACCATAAACCGTGCTCCGGATATTGGGACACGGAGGTCGACACGATATCTAATTGTGGTATGAGCGTGAGGATAGTAAATCGTTTGTAGATGACTTAATGTTTTTTCGTGAAGATTTAAGTGCTCGAGTACCTATCACAATGCGAGGCATTGAATCCTATCATTACTTGACGTAACGATTTAAGGATATGTACATCAATTACTTACCTCATGGCACAGGACTTCGAACTGGTTAAAGAATTTATACGTGAGTTAAAATAAGGGACACTTAAGTCCGGAAATATAAAGTTAAAGGTTGACATGTAGAATAAATGAAATGATCAGCGTATATACCTACACGCATACAAGTCGCATGTTGATTGTGTGAGAGTTATCAGGCGCTTTTAACAACATCATAAAAAAATATATAAAATATTTCTTTCATGATGGTGGCGCATTTTTAACGTTCTCAAAGACATTCTATAGGAATGTTTCCGATCACATTATCCTTCATAACTGTTGAATGGATTAATGTTTTTCAATGGGATTTACTTTGTGTTATCTACCTAATTGAGTACTATTTAGTAATGTATAGTATGTACACGTATATTAAGGTTTGTGATTGACGATTTACACCTGCTCTTACTCGTCATGTTATGTAGGGATACTAATCCTAACTCATTGCTCTCCCAATGAAAATCTCGTAAATGCGATAAGAACGATCTTGGTGATCTGGCAATAGTATTCCAACACCAGTCAATTGGTTTCAAGCGTGATTTGAACCCTAACGCTTCATGCTGATCTATTTCGTTTACTATCTTACATATGTGTTCTATGTAATATGTGCTATCTTGTTATGTACATATGATGTTTGTTAACATACTGCGATAGCCGATCATAATCGTATTTTTTTTGGTTTGTTCTATCGATTGAACTGTTGGTTTTGGTTAAAATGATGAACATTATGTTTATGGAACATTGAATGTTCACAAGGCCGTTAGATAATCACCATTACAAGCCAATGGTGCGCATTGACTCCAGTATCTTGATGAAACTAACGGCATTTGAAGCAATTATTGGTCAACGGCTACCATGGGACCGCATCTTTTGACGTTGATTTACTACATTTTGGATTAAATCTCTAGGTTAAAGTTTCTGTGCGGTCTCCCCTAAGATATTCACCTGCTTCGTTTTGAGAACCCTGACGGTATCCCAACCCTCACACAAATTGAATGATTTATATGTCGCATATCTATTTGATACCTGTTTGTACCAATGGTTATTCATTTAAATAAATAACTTCCATAGGAATACATATGTTAAGTTTGTCTTACATTGTCCCTAAATGTTCCTTTTCTACTCTTTTGTATGTTGTTTTATACTACTTATTTACATTCAGTAGGCAGCAGTATGCCCAACAATTTTCACACTTATGTTGTAACTCAAGTTGTACTGTAACATTCTGGAATGTTCACCTATATCTTTAACGTTTATTTTACTTATAATTGTATTTATCATTATAATCACTGTTATTTAATTACTGTAACGATTATCCACAGTTTTGTGCATTTGTTTGAATGCAACAGTTTTCATATTGTTTGCTCTTGGTTCGAGTTTCGGTTGTTCATAAACTGTTACCAAATTTAGACACAGCTATCGGCTGTCTTTGGACTATCGTATGTTGTAATCATTCTTTAGGTTACTCTTACAGGAAGTCTTTGCTATTTTCATCCTTGAACGACGCGTTTAAACGCCTAGACACCTCACAAGTTGAGGTTTGTAACTAAATTTTGTGTATTATTTAATAAAGAACCGCTTTTGTAGACAAATCGTTGTTTTGGAACTTCGGTTTTGCGCGTATCTCAATCGGGGTTATTTGGACGCTTCGATAGAATTAACAACATATATTTTAGCTAAAAAATATCTATCCAAACATCCACACACACATATCTACAAATAAAATTGTATAAAATAGAGAAAGACAAAAGTGTGAAAATAAACAAGCAAACAACAACAAAACGTCTATCTATTAATCATCAAATAAACATTAAAAAAATAAAACCATGAGAAAACACAAATCGTTAAGGCAAAATCAAACAAACAAAAACTCTATTATCGAGACAGAGAGAGAGAGAGGGGGGGAGAAAAAAAGGAAAAGAAAAAAATACAAAAATAACTTGAATCGATTATTTTTGTTTGTATTGTGTACAATAAACAAATAAACAAACAATGAAACTTTTGATATGATGAATTCTTCTTAGAGAATCTTACCAACAACATATTCTTATTACATGAATTCACTTCTATAAATTTTAATAGAGTAACATAGAAATCCATTTAGTTCATTTACTATTAAAGGAGACAATAGAAAAATTGAACAAAGAAATCATAATCATTTAAAGAAGATTATCGTCTGACGTAGATACCCATCGTACTTCTGAAGATAGATAGATAGATAGATAGTTGAGAAAATTTACACAAAAATACTATACGGTTTAAACAAAAAATAAGTAAAGAGAATATGAAGGTGAGATCTAGAATTTATGAACAACCTTTGATTAACGCGCTACAGTGATCTCGAAACAATCCATTTAATCACTAGGACCAAATGAGCTTTATACACTAATATAAGGAATAAACATTAGTTATAATACCAAAATGCTCTTTAACCAAATGAATGAGTGAATTTTCAAGATTTGTTATCTTCAATCTGATTGGTTCATTCATTAATTCTAGTCTCACCAATAGGAATTTCACACTAAAATCCAAGATCAGTTATCTTCAATCTGATTGGTTCATTCATTAATTCTAGTCTCATCAATAGGAATGTCGCGCCAAAATCCAAAATCGGTTATCTTCAATCTGATTGGTTCATTCATAAATTATTGTTACGCAATTTGTTTTTTTTGTGGTGCTTTTTGTTTATTGAAATATGTTAATCATAAAAATCTTTGGCATCATATAAATCATTCATTCTATTTCATTATTGATTCTACACAAGTAAAACAATTTCATACTTGTCTTGTTGCTAACTGCTTTCTTTCTATTTTCTTTCGTATTGTTTGAAATATTACTAATTGATTATTCATTAATGATAACATAAGATGAATACCTTCAATAAGATATTGATTTGATGAAAGATTACATAATAATGATAGATTATTAATTCCTTCATTTAATTTAATACAATAAATAGGTACTAATGTTTCTGCCATGAAAATCATCAAATGTCCTGTATTAAATGACATTAGAATATGTTGAGATATGGAATGATTGAAATGATCATCTAAGTATTCTGCAGTATTATTATGATGATGATGATCATCATCATCATCTTCATTATGAAAAGTACATTTCGATTGAATTGGTGTTGATGTCAATAAAATTTGTGTAACAATTATTTGGTTTAATTCATTACTACTTATATGATTATAATCAGTAGTATAAATAAATGGTGAAATTTCTAATAATTTTTCACCGATTGAATTAAATAAACTTAATTTAGGTCCAATTTCTTCTTTATTTATATTAGATTGATTCGTTTTTATAATAACATTCCATTGTATATAAATTAAACCTAATCTAGGTGATATAAGTAGATGATTGACAGTAGTATATCTATTTCTATGTAAAAATATCTTTCCTGTATTTGGATATATCTCAAATGGATAATGTAATTCATTTATCATATTTGATTCGATTGTATTCAATTTAAGTACACGTGACCAATTTGATAATTTTACACTAAATAAATATAGATCATGATTAGCATTTGTTGCCATGACACCTGTATCTAAGGCAATATTTAGTGCAACACATGTTACTGGGTTACCATATAAATTTCCATAGAAAATTTTTATTATTTTTGCTAAACGTTTTGATTTTTTAGATTTATATGAATGAAATGGATAAAACGGTATACCAGCATTTTTATATTGTAAATGATAATCCATTTTAGGTAAATAGATTGTATTGAATAATAGTCTTGATGAAGAAGACGATGATGATGATGATGATCCAGTTTCATCAAAAGATCGATAACATGAAGGATGTTCCTTTTGATCTTGTTCATCATGTATAGTCTTTGGATCAGAATTCATTGATAGATCATCTTGACTACCAAAAAACACATTACTATTTAATAATTTTCTTTGATTAAATGAAGATAATAATGAATCATTAATAAAAGGTGAATGATCATATCGAAACTCTATGAGATCTTCTTCTTCATCACGATCATCATTATGATCATAATCATGATCGCGATCACGATCATCATTATCTTCTTCATTTAAAATATCAAAATCCCATATAGCACATGTACCATCACGACTACCAGTAATAATATAATAATGCGTTCTAATTGAATTCTTATATTGATCTATTAAGAATTTATTGATTTTATTAAAATCACCATGATATGTAAATGGTTGTCGATCAATTAAATTATATGCTGAATCCATAGCAACACAACTAATTGTATCTATATGTGGACTTGTTAATAAAGCATGAATTTTTGATTGATACATATTATATATAGTTAAACGTCCATCCCATCTTCCACCAATAAATAACCATTTATCATCATAGGTTAATGCAAATAATTGTGAACCAATAGTATTTAAAGATGAAGATTGTTCTGTATTAGATAAATTTAAAGAAAATATTTCATCAAGTTTAAAATTATTTGTATTTTCAATGAAATGAATCCATGATGAATCAAATGGTCCAACAGATCTATTGTGAAAATATGAAATAAGAACAAAACAAAGTTATCAGAAAAGGAAGGTTTTGTGAAGATTTTTAGTAATAGTTGAATTCATGAGTCAATTGAAGTTAGACCACTATGGAAAACTTGGAAGTACTTGATGGTTGTTTCATTCTAGTGTGGGACTCATCAGCAGTGTGAATCCATGATCCCGTATCGTGAGATTCGAATTCAGGACCTATCAGTCTAGTGGGCGAACGCTTAACCATTAGACCACTGAAATTTGACGGAATACGACAGTGTTAATGTTTAACTTCAACCAATCCATGAAAATGAGCTACAATCCATCACTGTCTTCAGTGAGTTACCATCTCACAACAGAACCGGTTGAACTCTAATGGTCATTGCTTCTCACTAGAACTCCAGGAAATACCTCTTGAAGCTAGTCACTAGTGAGCACATGATGACTATTATCAAAAAGGGGCTTTTGTGGAGATTATAGTCATTTTAAAAAAAAATAGTTGAATTCATGAGTCAATTGAAGTTAGACCACCATGGAAAACTTGAAAGCACTGGATGGCTGTTTCATTCAAGTATGGGACTCCTCAGCAGTATGCATCCATGATCCCGTATCATGAAATTCGAACCTAGAACCTATCAATCTTAACCTTTAGACTACTGAAATTGTCAATATCCAACAGTGATTGTTTGAAGTTTACTTAATTTTAAACAGAAATGATTGGTAATTAACAATGGAACTCAAAAAAGAGCGCTTTAATTAAACAATTGCGAACTGGATGTGCTTACACACCCTTGTTGACGTTTACATCCAGAATCAACACATAGTACCTTCTCTTTTTGTTCATACACCTAACACATCATTCACTTATCTATTGAGTTCTGATATTCACTTCTAGATATGATGTTACTCTGATTAAAACGTTTATGACTTAATAGACAATCTTCACAAGATGTAAACATACATCGAAAAGAGATTGATCAAATAAGTGCAGTTCTAAACCTCAATGAGAAAAATCAAACAAATTACATATGCATCAAGATTTAAGTAGTATTTATATATTTAGTAAAATTTATAAAAGAAATATTGGTGAAATTATAATTTATGAACGAACCAATCAGGTATAAGATAAAAGGTCTTGGATTTTTGGCGCAAAATCAATTCATCCATTTGGTTTGTGGAGACTGTACTAATTTTAATAGTTGAATTCATGAATCGATCTAAGCTAGATCACTATTGAAAATTCTCAAGCACTGGATGGCCATTTCGTCTTAATGTGGGATTCTTCAACAGTGAATATCCACGATCTCGCACCAAATGAACTTGAACCAAGGACCTATTGCTTCGTGCAAACGCCTAACCTCTAGACCGCTGAGCTGGCATTCGAAGGTGTTAATCTCTAATTTCAATCGATCCACGATCCTGCGTAACCCTTCATACATTACCTTAAAGTGTATAACTGTCTAACACCTGACATGGAGTGAACTCCACTGGGCAAGGTTTCTCACTGAAACACCAGGAAACCCATTCTGAGGCTAGTCACTAGCGGGCATATGATCGTTATAAGTATGGGGATTTGTGAGGATCGTAGTATTTTCACAGTTGAAATTTTTCCTCACAAATATGATATTCCAACTTTCAAGGAATTCATGTATTTCAGTTGTTGAAATCATGAGTCAATTGAAGCTAGACCACCATGGAAAACCTGGAAGCACTGGACAACGGTTTCATCCTATTGTGAGACACTTCATCAAAGCGCATCCACTTTAAATGACCAGATAATATTATCAGCTGTTATAGAAAAAAATTATGTCGTGTTGTATAATACCTCTTACATATTGAATAGAGATTTAATGAAGCGTAGTGTTTGATTAGCTAGTTATTTTATGGTGTAGTTAATCCTCACTTACTTACTTATTTACTTAATTACTCGTGTTACCTTTCATCGAAGAGTAGACCATCAAACAGGATTCTTTAACCAACTCCGTTCTGACCTCCTCTTTCCATTTACCCCTAAATGCTGTTTATTCTTTTGAAGCCCACCTGCAATATCCGACGCAATACTTTCCATGGCTTTCCTCTTTTCATTTAATTTCAGGATCCCAAGATAACACTTCCCTAGTAATACAGTTTGATGATTTCCACAATGTATGTCCTATCCAATGTCTTCCAATGTATTTTTTTAATTTCCTCTTTAAATGGGAGCTGGTTTGTTCTCTCCCACAGAAGGCTGTTGCTGATAGTATCCGGCCAATTGATGTTGAGTATCCTGCGTAGACAACTATTTAAAAATACTTGTACATTTTTGATGATGGTTGTAGTAGTTCTTCAGTTTTCAGCACTGTACAGTATCACTGTGTTCGTATTGAAGATTTGGACTTTGATATTAGTTGATAGTTGTTTCGAGTTCTATATGTTCTTCAACCATAGGAATGCTGCCCCTTACTTTCCAAATCCCTACCTTTACATCTACATCAAATCCTTCTTGTTCAATAATAACTAATTTATATAAAACTCAATGGGGATGATCTAGATACAATAGTCAAAAATAACATACAACTGAAATCTGATAGAAACTAATACTTAACATTAGATTCAAACTACTGAATTTTTTGAAAAAAACTCAATTACCAGTTACTTACTTGCTTACGCCTGTTACTCAAAATGGAGCATAGGCCGCCAACCAGCAATCTCCAACCCACTCTGTCCTCAACCTTCCTTTCTAGTTTCATCCAATTCTTGTTCAATTTTCTTATGTCTGTCTCCATTTCTCGACGTAATGTGTTCTTTGGTCTTCCTCTTTTCCTTTGACCTTGAGGATTACATGTGAGGGCTTGTCTTGTGACGCAGTTCGGTGCTTTCCTCAATGTGTGTCCTATTCACTTCCAATGCTTCTTCCTGATTTCTTCCTCCGCTGGGATCTGGTTTGTTCTCTCCCACAGTACGTTGTTGCTAGTTATGTCTGGCCAACGGATCCGAAGTATTTTGTGTAGACAACTGTTAATAAACACTTGTATCTTCTGGATGATGGCTTTCGTAGTTCTCCAGGTGTCCGCCTCATACAGTAGAACTGTCTTGACATTTGTATTGAAAATTCTGACCTTGGTGTTGGTCGACAGTTGTTTTGAGCTCCAAATGTTTTTCAGTTGTAAATACACCGCTCTTGCTTTGACGATCCGCGCTTTCATATCTGCATCAGATCCATCATGTTCATCAATGATGCTGCCCAAATATGTAAAGGTTTTTACATCTTCTAAATTTTCTCCGTCAATTGTGATTGGATTGGTGCATGCTGTGTTGTATTGGAAAAGCTTGGCATTGTTTTACTTATATCTTTCAATTGTTACTTAGGACTGCAACTGATCAGTTTCACGTTGGCATATGTACATCCTATGTAGATTGCTTTAAGTCACATGCTGTTTTTTTTAAGCAAAAATGGATAGTGGCTAGCAGTGGAATCCAAGACAATCGACACTTCATCCTATTTGGGAATCGTCAGCCGGATATACCTACATCCCAGAGTTGATGGGAATCACTCCGAGACTTGAACCCAGTATTGTTCGCTTCAAACGCCATCGCGTTCTTCACTTAGCTACTGAGTTCTGATATTTCAGTTTAAAAAAAAAACACATTTTATTGATTAATTTAAGATCATTCCTACCAATCAACTTACCCATATTGTGATGAACGACATGAATCATAGAATAAACCATATTGTTCCAAAGGTTCAATATTATTGTTCTTATATTCTATAGATTGTTGATCAGTTGGTATCCAAAAATATCGATCAATAATACCTCTACTATTAATAGTAAAAACAGCTGATGCTAAACGTTCCCAATTAGATTTTGGTAATTGATTTTCAGATATTGTTGTTGTTGGCGGTGGTGGCGGTGGTGTTGTAGTTGTTGCTGCCATTGTTGTTGTCACTAATCCAGCAGCAGCTGCTGCTGCTGCTGCCGATAACATCGATGAACTCCCAGTAGAGAATAAACGAGTTTTTAATAGATTTGTTGAACGATACATATCTGTATAAGATAAATCTTTATTGATTGTATTCATTATAGTTGATTCTTGTTTGGATGGACAACAAAATGCTGGTATAACATTTAAATAGATTGAATTCAATTGAGTTATTGTATTCTCTTTTAATTTTAATGTTTCTATACTAATACCAATATCATTGATATTTGAATGTTTTATAGGACACCATTTATGATTGATGAATTCAATCTTATCAAATAATGTATGAGTATTGAGTACTGAATGAAAATATTCATTTGGATTATTATCGGATAAGAGACGTTGAAAGAATGTTGTAGGCTTTGTACTGTTAGGTGTAGTACTAGTAGTACTACTACTGCTACTAATAGTAGTGGTAGTGGTAGTAGTAGATGTTGATTGTATTAAGGAGTTATGTTTGTGTATTGAATTGTCATGTTTAAGATTAGCATAAGTTAATAAACTAATAACAGGTAATCTACATTGATGAATTAATATAGATAACCATTCAGAATAGGTTAAACGTTTTGGATGTGGTACCTGTAATTATAGATTGAAAGAAAATAATATTAATAATAATAATAAAAATAATTACTAGCAAAGATGGATAGTGGTGAGTAGTGGAATCTAGGACAAGCGACACTTTGTCCTAATTGAGTCTTGTCAGCTGGATGTACCAATATCTCAGACTTGTTGATGTTCATCTGGGGACTCGAACTCAATACCGTTTGCTTCAAACGCCATTGTATTATCCACTTTCAGCTACTGAGTCCTAATAGCAACTAGCTTGTGCAATGGGGTGAAGTTTAAATTCACTTGATATTGTTTTGCTTGAATCTTTTCATTGATTTTTAAGACTGCAATTGATTAGTCTCTTATTGGCATATGTGCATACTATGTGTATTGCCTCGATATTGCATTAATAAGCTGACAAGTCTCAAATAGGACGAAACGCGCGTCCTGGATCCCTGTGCTAGCCATGTGCATAAAACCACTGACAGGGAAGTCCTACTCACTGTATTCTCGTGGCTTTACTGTTGTCTACTAAATTGAAAAGATGGAAGGCGAATGTCCGACATTTTAACCGGGTTAGTGGACACCGAGGATCCTGATTCAAAACGAAAGGTGCACATGCACTCTAGGGTCCTGAAGGAACGAATGGAGTATGGACCAATTATTGGTCACCGGTTACTATGGGACTGCACGTTCTTACGTTGCTCCACTGCCTTGTGGAATAAACCTTTAGGTCAAAGGTCCGGAGAGTGGTCCCTTAAGAAAACCACCTGCTTTGGTTTGAGCACCCGGACAATGTCTCAGCCATATGGACTAGAGATTAAGTGTTCGTTCGAGATCTTGGGTTCGAGTCTCACGAACGAGACCATAGATGCACAATTTTAAGGAGTCGCATGATAGGACAAAACGGCCGTCTAGTGTTTTCAGGTTTTCAATGGTGATTTAGCCTAGATCTACTCATGAATTCAACTATTAAAAAGAAACAGAGATAATCAAATGTTTATGACAAACACTAAACTGATCAGATAATCAAAATCATCCGATTTAAATAACTCGTACTGAGCATGAATTAAATGTAGTCTGATTGGTATATGGTGAAAAAGTTAGAGTGTAACACAATATTTCACTAAATTAGTCACTTTACATACTCTACATATGTGAATCTGTTAGTTCAATATTCTAATCTAGTCAATGAAGATCATTTGAATGTCAGATGTAATACTTCCTCCGAAATAATATCAAATTAGCTTACGTCTGACAGGTTTTACAACCAGCTGACTGACAGACTTCAATAGTCGACTACAAGTAGCTATCGAGATTTCAGTTCGCCTAACTCTGATCTAAATAATTTGGAGATTATAAAACACAAGTATTGTTTGATACTACCTGTCACCATACATCTAATCAAGTCATCTATAACTACAAAGAAGTGATCCAAATCAATTCTAATAATTTTGAGATGGTGGGTGATACAACCAAAACAAAGAACTAAACAATGACAGATTTAATGTCAACAAAAACCAATCAAACATCGAGGTCTACAAGACAAGCTGTGAATCATATGTGAAGAAATTTAACGAATTAACTTCTAACTGAAGTTTTAGCTGAGGATATCGTTCAGAAGAATGGTGAAGGCTCCACGACTAAACCATCCAGCTCAGAGAATAAAATTCCATCAAAAAGAAATAATTTCTTTACAATCAGTCAGTCAGTCAACAACGTAGAACTTTGTACGTACGTACATCAGTTCGAGTTTTAATACCACATTAGCACAGAGATACAATTGTCAATTCAAACCCCATAGTGGTAGAGGTAATAAATGTATAAGCAGTAATCGGAAATATTAGGGTTTGAAGATGTTATTCAAAGAGTATAATCCAGTGTAATAAATTTGGAAAGTGAAAAAAGGGGATATGAAGAATTCAGAATATTAGAATTTGGGAGAACACAAAGTGGGGATGCACCTGTGCACACTATTGCAAACGATTTTGAGCCAATGTCATTGAAGGTCTCTAACCATCGGTTGCTATCGTCTCCCACGGAATTTCTTTACAATACTATGACCTACTTGATCAAAGTTATTTGTTTAAATGATTTCAATAAGATTCAATTGAACTTTATTAATGAAAAATCATAAAAAACAAACAAACAAGGGTTTCATATATAAGAACTTTTGTCTAAATTTCATCGAATAGTTTCATAATATTTGGGCACCTTATTGATATGAGACATTAAAGAGGAAGGATGAATTTCAAGTAAAAATTCAACGTTTCATTTAGCTTTTTTCAAGAAAGTATATTCAAACATTAAAATTATCGAATATATAAACAAGATGGTGGTTGGAGGTAGTCAACAAGAAACCCTATACTCGGGTTTCGTGCTAATTGGCAATCGTCAGCAAGTTGTATCTGTAATCTTGACGGAACTAGTACTCCCTGACGAATTCGATCCCGCGTCACCCAGCACTAGATCCCTCAAAATTACAGGTACACCTTGCTGACCAGTGCCAAATAGCACGAAACCTAGATCGGTCAGGGTTTTCTGTTAACTACCTCCAACCGCCATCTAATATCTACATAGTGCACGAAATATCGAATCATCTAGACTAGTGGCCACATTGCAACTTGGTCGATAGCATTCGATCTGCACTAAGAAGGACTTGACACACATGACATTGATCACCACCCAGTGACCGATCAGTTGTGAATATATAAACAAATTAAATAGTTCTCTGGTTCACTGTATACTAAATAGGTCATCCAATCAACATTAACAATGTTTAAAGTAAGTATTGGCTTTAGTGTTTAAGAGACTTGTGGTGTAAAACGAACAAATTAATATTGGTACAAAAGTGGTACCGAATACATAAGTGCCATATAAGTCACTTGATTTGTGTGTGCGCTGTGATACTGCCCTGATGCCCAGACCGAGGAAGGTCGTCTTCTAAGGGCGCCATACCCGGAGCCTCCGATCCGAAGGTCTGATCCATAAGGCAGTGGAGTAACGTAAGGAGATGCAGTACCATTGTAGCTGGTGACCAACAATTGGTTCATAAGCCACTTTTTCCTTCAGGATACTGGAGCCCATTTACACCAATGGTTTGGAATGAGGGTTTCCCAACTCCTGTAGATGGATCCTGCAAATTCACAAACACGGTTAAAGTGTCGGACATTCGCCTTTCGTCCTCTCGATTCCGTAAACAACACACGTTGTATGAGAACGCAATGAGTAGGACGTCCCTGGCAGTGGCTGTGTACGCGTGGCCACATGAGAGCATTCCAAGATGGAGAGCTAACTCTCCCTAACCTTGGCCATACCAGGGCGTTTGGGAGCCTGAAGAAGACTTATCATATACGTAATTGGTGTCTCTGAACAGTGAATTTTTAAAAGAACACATACAATCTTTCATATATAGATGATATAAATCAATTATGTCATAGAAATTATTTACTTACTTTAAGTAATTGACTTGGAGTTTGTCCAAAATTCTGTATCATACTTTCTAAAGCTTCACGTTCACACGAATTACTAATTTTATCTAAATCTACAGCACCTTCATATGTTACAAAATTGAATACATTCAATGCATTCACTGCATCTGGACCACGTTGTTTATAACTGTAAATAATGAAATAAATAAATATTTATTCATTTGTATTAATAGTTGACTTCATGAGTCATTTGAAGATAGAACACCATGAAAAACATGGAAGTACTGGACGCCTGTTTCGTCCTAGTATGTAATTCGTCAGCAGCGCGCATCTACGATTCCGCCTGGCAAGACAAGAACCCAGGACCTATCAGTCTCGCATGCGAGCACTTAATCACTAGACCACTGAGCTGGTATCCAACAGTGTTAATGTCTAACTTCAACCGTTCCACAAAATTGAGCGACATATCCACCATTGTCTTCAGTGAGTTACTATCTCACTGCATCTCATTAGAACTCACTAGAGTCTCATGAGGCGGGATCGTGAATGCGCACTGTTGAGGAGTCCCGCAATAGGACGAAACCGCTGTCCAGTGCTTCCAGGTTTTCCATGGTGGTCTATCTTCAATTGACGGTAGGTGTTTTTGATACAGTGGTCCAATAAGTCATTGATCAAATGATAAGCGTACTCTATTGACCAAGTTTCGGTTTCCTTTCCTAAGGAACAGGACATATGTCACTGCACCTCAAACCTGCTAACTAAAGGAAGAAGACCAGATTCAACCAAGGGAAAAGTATATTCTACAGAAAGTCAGAAGCACAACCGAACAGACATAAGACACAAGTGTATTTATACAGAAGAAAAACATCCTTGGAAGACGTCACAAAATAGCATATTAAAAGTGGAAACGAACTAAGGAAATTTAAGGCCTCTTCAAGTGGTAAATACTGACTGATAGTATAAATGGGTGCTTTTGGCGCAAAAATGAGAAATCCAAATTTCCATAAATAAAATTACAGAAATAAGACGTTGACAAAATGATTTCTGAGGATCTAGCATCCCTGACACAATAACATAATCCAACACCAAACAACACAACAGCCTTCATAGCTTTACCTACCTAAAATGGTCTTAACTTATAGTTTTAAGCACAATGTACAGAACGGTAGGTGTTATTACCAACTCCAACCAGAAAACCCACTAGATTTATTTATTTATTTAAATATGTAGACATTGGTACAACAAGGCACCAAATAGATATGCGCCACATCAATCATTCGATTTGTGTGAGAGCTGGGATACTGTCCGGGTACCCAAACTAAAGCTTGCTAGACTGATAGGTCCTGGGTTAGAATTTCGCGAGGTGGGAACGTGGATGCACACTGATGAGGAGTCCCACAATAAGAAAAAATGGCCGTCTAGTGCTTCCAGGTTTTTTCATGGTGGTCTATCTTCAATTGACTAATGATCTCAACTCCTCTGATAGGAACACACTATTAGTTCGACTGTGACGACGTATTTAATAATAATAATAATTAATTAAAATTTACCCAAAAATTAAATCAATCCACAAATGTAAATGTGATGAAACATAATCAGATTCCAATGCACCACGATGTTTACGTATAAATTCTTCTGGTGTTGAAGCCCAATTCGGTAGTTCTACATCATGAATACGATTTTGATTATGTTGACGAAAACCTAAATCAAAATCTGTTTGTTTGTGAATAAAGAAAGAGTATAGTATTGTAATTATAAGTTAATATTCCAATAGGATTGATAAATAAACTAATGAAAACATAAAGATATAAGACTTAAGCTGGATGAGTACATGATGTGTTCATGTTGGTCATCTATAAATCTCAGGTTATTTTAAACGTCAGATGGGTTTTGTGGAAATTAAAGTAATTTCAATGGTTAAGATCATGAGTCAATTGAAGCTGGACCACCATGGAAAACCTGGAAGCACTGGATAGCCGTTTCGTCTTATTGTGGGACTCGTCAGAAGTGCGCACCCATGACCTCGCCCCCCTGCGTGATTCGGACCCAGGACCTACCGGTTTCGCCCGCGAGCCCCTAACCACTAGACCACTGAGCCGGCATCCAACGGTGTTAATGTCCAACTTAAACTAATCCACGAAATTGAGCGACACATCTACAGTTGTCTTCAGTGAGTTACTATCCATGGTGGTCTAGCTCCAATTGACTCATGATCTTGCCCATTGAAATATTTTAAACGTGACCAGAAGATAAACTTAAACTAGTCCTTCATGATTATTGAATCTATATATTGAATGTCGACTTACTTACTTGCTTACGCCTGTTACTCCCGATGGAGTATAGGCCGCCGACCAGCATTCTCCAACCCACTCACTCCGTCCTTGACCTTCCTTCCTAGTTCTATTCAATTCTTGTTCACTCTTCTCATATCTGTTTCCATTTCTTGGTGTAATGTGTTCTTGTTTGGTCTTCCTATTACCATTTGGTCTTGAGGATTCCAAGTGATGAAGTCTTGCCTTATGACACAGGTGGGTGCTTTCCTCAATGTGTGTCCTATCCACTTCTAACACTTCTTCCTGATTTCGTCCTCCGCTGGAATCTAGTTTTTTCTCTCTCAATGTAGGTTGTTGCTGACAGTGTCCAAGGTATTTTGCGAAGACAACTCTGAATAAACATTTGTATCTTCTGGATGATTGCTTTCGTAGTTCCCCAATTTTCCGCTCCATATAATAGAACTGTCTTGACATTTGTATTGAAAATTCTAACTTTGGTGTTGGTTGACAGACAGTTGTTTTGAGTTCCAGATGTCATTCAACTCTAGATATGCTGATCTTGCTTTGACGATCCGCACCTTCACATCTGCATCAGATCTACAGTGTTCATCAATGATGCTGCTCATATATGTAAAGGTTTTTACATCTTCCAAATCTTCTCTGTCAAGTGTGATTTAATTGGTGAATATCAACTTACACCTTGATATATAAACTAGAAACAATTATCATAAAATGATTTCTGAAGTGATTGCTTGGAATTCTAGTAAGAAGTTGTGATGATTATCAATCGAGGAGTTACGCGCAATGTGCACATATACCAATAAGAGATTGATCAATCGCAGCCTTAAACATCAATGGGAAGATTCAATTAAACAATACTAAGTACATTTAACCTTCACCCCATTGCACAAGCTAGTGCCTATCAGGAATCAGTAGCTAAGAGAGTAACGAGATGGAGTTCAGATCGAACGATACTACGGTACGAGTCCCAGAGTGAACATCAACAAATCTGAGATGTAGGTACATCTAGCTGATGAGAGACCCAAATAGGACGAAGTTGTATACGTCCTGAATTCCACTATTAATCACTAGCTATCTTTCCTTACAATCAAATATATATTTAGTTTTAAAAGTGTAATATAACTTACTATTACTATTTCGTAGAAATTCAGGTTAAAAGAAAAATTCCGGAATTAACTCTTTGTTATCATTTGGATTATCTAATATAAAACGCCATGCTTTTGGAATAGAATAGAATTGACGATCTGCAACATCAAATCTATCATTAAAACGAAAAAAAACAAAACAGACTGATCAATTTTAGTCCTTAACATCAATAGGAACATCTAAGCAACCTATCAAAACTTAGTAGTTAAGTAAATGGATAATTCAATGGTGCTTGAAGTAAACGGTACTGGGTTCGAGTTAGGTTTGAAGCTTGGTCTTCGCCGTCTAGTTAGCGGGGCTGGGACGCATCAAATAGCTAGCTAACTGGACTTGGGCCATTGGGTCTTTGTTCTTGTTCGCAGATTGATTGAACTCGTGATAGCTTCAAACCTAGCAGAAAATCAACTCTATAATTCAGGTATATTCAGATGATTAGTCTCAAATAGGACAAAAAGGCTCGTGTCCTTGATTTCACTACTAACCAATATCCAGCATACACATAAGCCAACAACAGAGACTATTCAATTGTAGTCTTAAACATCAATGGGAAGATTCAAACATCCAATAAACAAAATGAACTATTAAGAAGTTTTGAAAAATCGATAAAAACTTCCAATACCATTACAATCTAATAGGATTTCATGATTTCTGTTGAAGAATACGTAAAACTTATCCAGCTGAATGTATCAGCATCTCAGAGTTGATATTGATGTAATTAATTATTCTGAACATAGAAATAAACAGAATTTGTGTGAAAGAACCTTACTGTAGGATAAAGTAACTATTGATTACTCTTAGACATTCTCTTTCTTCTGGTGGTTGAATGGAATAAAAAGACCTCGATATCTGAGGAAAAGTACGGAATACAATGGACAGCTTGCAGGCAACTAAACGATTTGGACTCTGCAGATAACTTGGCTATTCTATCCCATACACACGAACAAATACAGATGAAGACAACCAGTGTAGCAGTAGCCTCTTCAGCAGTAATCCTCAACATATACAAGCGAGAAAGCAAGATACTCAAATTCGACACAGAGTGCAACCCAATCACACTTAATGGAGAAACGCTGAAAGAGGTGGAAAGTTTCACTTATCTGGGTAGCATCATCAATGAACAAGGAGGATCTGATGTAGACGTAAAGGCGAAGATTAGAAAGGCAAGGACAGCATTCCTACAATTAAAGAACGATTGAAACTCGAAACAACTATCAATCAACATCAAATTCAAAATCTTGAATACGAACGTCAACATAGTTCTACTGTACGAAGCTGAAACGTGGATAACTACTATAACTATCAGAAATGTAAAAGTATTTATGAACAATTGTCTACGTAAAATACTCAAAATCCGTTGATCAGATACCACCACCTATTGTAGGAGAGAATAAACCAGCTTCAAAATGAAGAGGAAATTAGTAAAAGACGTTGGAAGTAGATAGGACATACATTGTGGTTTTCATCAAACTGCACCTCGAGGCAAGTGTTATCTTGGAATCTTGAAATTCAAACGAAGAGAGGAGAGCCAATGAACATACTGAGTCAGAGATTGCAGGCAAATATCAAAGGAATGAACAGCATGTAAAAACAAGGGGAAAGGGAAAGCCCGAACAGAGTTGGTTGAAGAATCTTGGTCGATGGCCTATGCATCTCAACTAAGGGTAACAGGCCTTACTAAGTAAGTAACTCCTCCTGAAGCCCTTCTAGGATTACTACCAGTCCTAGCATTTTGTAAAAGACTAAAGTTGGATATGGGTTTAACAACAGTATCTTATAAAAATGAATATTACTTAAGAAATATTATAAACACTAACTGAATTGTACTAACTTATTTCCATGTAAATTTACATGATACGTTGTAAATGGTTCCAAACGGACAAGATAATGCAAGACACCAGCAGCGCTTGAATAATGAGTTCCATGATGAAATTTTTGCATAACACCACTTGGATCTTCAAATGAATTATATCTTAGTAGGTAATATAAGATAGAGAAATAAAAACAAAAGCTCAATTAAAGCATTCAAATGTAAATGAATTCAACCGATTGAAATTATGAGTCAATTGAAGCTAGACCACCATGGAAACCCTGGGAACACTGGACGGCTGTCTCGTCCTAGTATGGGACTCCTCAGTAGTGCGCATCCACGATCCCGCACTTCGCGAGATTCGAACCCAGGACCTATCAGTCTCGCGCCGTCCAGTGCTTCCAGGTTTTCCATGGTGGTCTAGCTTCAATTGACTCATAATTTCAGTCAGTGAATTTCTAAAAATATCCACAAAACCCCTTCTGGTAAATGAATTCAATATATTGTAAATGTAATTCATGATAATACTGATTATCGGTATTGGGTTAGGGAGATTGTTAAGTTTCTGACTGAGATTATGAATCGATCGATATTAGACTACCACCAGTGGAAACCTGGAAACACTGGACGGCCGTTACGTCCTAGTACCGGACTCCTCAGAAGTGTGCATTCACGATCTCACATGTGAGGTTCGAACCCAGAATCGTGGACGCGCACTTCTGAGGAGCCTCATATTAGAACGAAACGGATGTCCAACGCTTACAATTTCCTAGTGGTTGTCTAACATCGATCCATTCATGATCTCAATCAAAAAGATTATACTGATACTTACAAGCATAATTTTATGGAAGAATTTTGTTAAATGCTTGTTTTCTACATTACTCAAGTGAAAAGTTCAACAAGCGACACTCAAATAACTTAAATTTAGTGTTGGATGTTAAATGTAATGAATCGATTGGAAAGTATCAGATCAATATGTCATTGTTTGGTGGTACTACTTGACTCTCCAAATGATCTATCCCTTATTCCACATTAAATATTTACAAGTTAATAGTATGGAAATTAATCCACTGAAATCAGTTCTCAAAAAGAAATGAATAGTACTTGTTACTATGCCCTGGTACGGCTGAGAGTGGGGAACGTCAGCTTTCCCTCTCCAAATACTCTCAGATGTCCACGTACATACTACCACTACCAGGGAACTCCTACTCACTGCCTTCTCAAACAGATGTTATTTACGAAATTAAGAGGAAGAATAGAGAATGTCCGACACTTTAACTGGATTGATGGACATGGTGAGTCCACCTAGGTAAGTTGGAAAACCCTCATTCCAAACAAATGGTGTACACGGGCTCCAGTATACTGCAGGAACAAATGGTATATTAACCTATTGTTGGTCACTGGCTACCATGAGACTGCATCTCCTTACGTTGCTCCACTTCCTTGTGGATCAGACCTTCAGATCGAAGGCTCCGGGTGTAGCCTCCTAATAAAAAACCACCTGTTGCGGTTTGTGCACCCATGGAGTATCCTATCCGTCACACAAATCGAATGATTTATGTGTTACTGATATCCCACAAAAGTTATTTACTTACGGCTGTTACTCCCGATGGGGCATAGGCTGCCAATCAGTATTCTCCACAAAAGTAAGATCAAATATATATGTCTTATCTTTATATAATCAATAATAAAACATGATTCAAATAGATTAAGAACTCACTTCTCTCTGACTTCTTGAATAAATTTCGGATTAGCTAATCCAATAGGTCGTGAAAGATCACGAAATGTATGTTGTGAATTTAAATCTAATTCTGAAGAAGTATAATCAGCTAAAATCCAAGGAAACTGTACCAAGAAATTTCAGAAGAAAAAGAAAACAATAACATTCACCTTTATACTTTTAAACTAACTGCATGTATAGCCGATTCCATGGATCAATTGAAGTTGGACCACCATAGAAAACCTGGAAGAATTGGACGACCGTTTCGTCCTATTGTGGGACTCCTCAGAAGAAAGCACCCGTGATCCCGCCTTGCGAGATTAGAACCTAGGACCTATCAGTCTCGTGCGCGAAAGCTAAATCTGTAGATCACTGAGGCGGCATCTAATGGTGTTAATATCTAACTTCAACTAATCCACGAAATTGAGCGAAACATCCACCACTGTCTTCATTGAGTTACTATCTCACAACAGACCCGGTTGAACTCTACTGGTCACTGCTTCACTAGTCAGGCTTAAATTGATTCATGAAATCAACTATGAAATTTCTGAAATCTTCACAAAACCCCCTTCTGACAGCTGCATTTAGTTCATGATATTGCCAAACTATTTGGTAATAATGTTGGTAAGTAACTGCCTTACACTCGACGTGATTGAATTCAATTAGTCATAGCTTTTTCATTAGAACTCTGGAAACTATCCCTCATATTAGAAAATAACAAGCACACAACTATTGCTAGACTATAGGGTTCTCTAAGATTACTGCATTTCATAGTTCACATCATATGCTAACGTTAGTTAGATAAGAACCAAAAATCAATCCTGAGAGTCATGGTGAGAAGCCGTAGCCAGTGAGATTTAATCATATTAGCAGAAATACAATAACTCACCAATGGTATTGGAAGATGATTATTTTATAATATGAATTGAATGAAGTTATATCATTGTATGCTGATACAGTAGTGAAGATGCTAAAAGCTTATCCATAAACCTGTAGTTCCTCTTTTCAACCTCCGGGGTGGTCGTAGGTGCGCAGTACAAAGAAGCCTCATATTAAGAAGAAAACAACTGTCCCATATTTCTTGATTTTCAATGGTTGTTTAACTAAGACCAGTTATTGATGTAAACTCTAACACTTAATAACTACCAAAAACCTTTTACACAAAATCTATTCAGACGTAGGTTGTAACCATGATATAATTATGTCTTAAAGTAGGGAACCAATAATTAGCTTTACACATCAAGTTAACTACCTAATATCATCTCCCATAAGTTATTTCAGCGCATAATGTATAGTCCTACATGACTTATATTCTTACAGACTATAAGTTAAGACTGATTCACACCACAAACTAACATCTACTGAAGAACCATGAGAAACCAGAGGGTTACTTGACAATACTCGATCCCGTGTACGAGTTTAAGGGATACAATTTCCAGGTTTATTAAACTAAGACGAAACAAGAATCTTGTGTTTCCAGGTTCTTAATAGTTTACTTATTTGATATCAGTATGTTAAGCAAACTAAATTCAAACAATCATCTTCAAAGAGGATCTCTACTTACCACAGGATATTGACCTAAATCATTAAATGTTCGACCAGCTATTGTATTCAAACGCATTAGATATTCAAAATTCGATATTTCTCTATTTACCCAACGCTGAAAATATAGAAAAAGAACAATCATTACTTTTATGTATATTTTAAGTAACAAGCACTACACTTATAGAAGGTATCAGTTTTAATGCTTTTTCTTCAACTAGATTTTCTTCCGATTTCATGAATTCTTAATTTAACGAAATCTATCCTTAATAAGCAAAGATAGATAGTGGCTAGCAGTGAAATCTAGGATGCGCGTCACTTCGTCCTATTTAGGACTTGTCAGATGGATGTATCTGAATCTCCGAGTTGATATTCACTCCAGGACTCGAATCCAGTAACGTTCGCTTCAAACGCCATCGGGTTATCCACAAAACTACTAAGTTTTGATAACTAATAGCTTATTCAGTGGGATGCAATGGACTCAACTGTTAGCCACTATCAATCTTTGCTTATAAAGCTTGTGACTTCAGACAATATCGAGGCAGTGTGCACAGGATGCACATATGCTATCAAGAGATTGGCCAATTACAGTCCTATACAACAATGGGAAGATACAAGTAAAACAACACCAAGTGAATTTAAACTTCACCCCATCGCACAAGCAAGTGGCTATCGGGACTTAGAAGTTAAAAAGGTAATGCGATGGAGTTTGAAGCAAGTGGTATTGGGTTAGAGTCTCGGAGTGAATATCAACTCTGGGATGCAGGCACATCCAGTTGACGAGTCTCGAATAGGGCGAAATGCAAGTCAAACTGGATTCCACTGCTATTCGCTATCCATCCTTCACAATTGATTAATCACTGGGTGGTGATCAGTGTCATGTGTATCAAGTTCTTCTCAGTGAAGATCGAATGTTATCGGTCATCCGTAAGGGAGCACCAGTTCCCTCAAGATTACAGGTAGACCTTGCTGACAAGTGCCAAGTAGCATGAAACCTGGGTCCAGGGTTTCCTGTTAACTACCTCCAACCACCATCTAATTATCCAACTTTGTTTATAATACTGTCCACTAGTTTTTCTTTTCTTCATGTGTGTGTGTGTTTCTCCTTTTTTCCTTTTCCTCTCTTTCTCTGTTTCTTTAAGTTCACTACAGCTTCATCTCTCTTCAATCTTTAAACTTCTCTCTATTTCTTGTTATAATCCACTTTTTAATCATCTCTGAGAATAAACAAAAAGAGATGTGATCCTTTACACGAATAACAACAAGAAATAAAATGGAAATTAAAAAAATGATTAATTTTCCCCTCTGTAGCTACTACCGGTCTCAAGTTTGGATAAAAGAGGAGGGTTGGGCATGAGGTTACCGACTCCATCCTAATAGAAATTTAACTTATTCGAGAAAATGTTAACCAAAAGGTTAGTTAATAGAGATTAAAATCAATAAGACTTTTCATCTCCTGCTCATTTACTATTGAAATACCCAAAGAATTTACTACTTATATAATGCTGGTTGAGATCATGAGTCACTTGAAGCTAGACCACCATGAAAACCTGAAAGTATTGGATGGCCGTTTCGTGTCCCACAATAGGATGAAACCGCCAGTAGAGTTTAATGGGTGTCAATTGTGAGACATTTATCCACCTAAGACAATGAATGTAGGGTTACGCAATTATGTTTCATTTTAAAATCAACATTTGTCAAGAAATGACCTTGTACTGTGCACTATTGATGTCGATAGTTATAAGTAGTATGTATCATCGATCGAAAGTGAAACGTCTGGCGGCAGAAGATTAAGAAGATCAAAGAAAAGAGAACGAGAATAAAATCGAATCCCAAATCAACATATCACATGATAAGTATGTTAATCTCAGCATTCAATGATACACAGTTAATATATATCTTAATGAAATTTAATGAAATAGAATAAATAAGATAAACATAATGAATTACATCATAACTTACTTCTGTAAGTCCAGATAATTTAAGTGTTTCTCCAGGATTACGACTTTGACTATAAACTAATCTTGGTAATCGTAAACTCATAATGATCGAATAGAATTTATTACGAATCTAGATTTATTTAAACATGAAAGTAAATGTCAGTAATTGAAAATCAGATAATGCAGAATATATATATATATATAGTTAAGGTGAATAATTTTGATGAAGTTTTATTCTCTAAGCTGGATGGTTTGATTGTGAAGCTTTCATCATTCTTCTAGACGACATCATCAGCAGTACAAATGTCGAACATCTCACTTCTAACTAAAGTTCGTACTGATCAGGTTTATTTTACACAGCCAATTTGCCTACTTATAAGTAGTTAAACAGTTAAAATAAAATTAATGAACTTATCGCAAAGATAAAAATTGGTACATTCGAATGACCCGCGATAATTTTATGTTTTATTTGGCAGTTCTTATTTGAGAAGTTAAACAATCATGATCTCTCAATACAATACATAGAAACATAGACTGTTGATCTGAGTTGATCTGTGAGATAATTCAAACATATAATTAAAGACCTAAAGCTCCAGTGATACGTTTCCATGTTCAGTTTGTTTCAATTTTAGTTGCGTAAATGCCCCCTCTCTCTGGGTTTCTATGTCAGATATCACAACTTCAACAGTATTAAACGCCATGATAATGAGTGGGAATAAATAAAGTGCTCTATAAGTTTGATAGGTAAATATGATAGAAACTAACCTCAACTTCAACTTACTTTAGTTTCAAAGTTAAAAAAATAATTAGAATTGTTTTCAAAAAATATCTCAATAGCTGAACGACGTAGATTGTAACGACGTAAATGTAATTCACGTAATTTAGCTAATGACCAATTATATCGAATGTAGAATATTTGTCTAGCTGAAAAGTGAAATAAATGAAAATATAAAGAGTAAATTATCTAGTAGATAGTTAAAGTACAGATGAATAATGGCTTGCAGTGGAATCTTAGATGTGTGTCTCGTCTGATGTAAGAATTATCAGCTGGATATGCCTGTATCCCATAGTTGATATCTACCTCCATGACTTCAAACCAGTAGCGTTTGCTTTAAATGCCATTGAGCAATTCACTTATCTACTAAGTCCAGATAGACACTGGCTTATGAAATGAAGTGAAGTTTGATTTATATTTACCTACTTACTTACGCATGTTAAACCTCTCCATCCAACCCTGTCCCAAGCAAACCTTCCTAGCACTTTCCAATTGTTATTCATCCTTTTCATATCTGATTCTATTTCCAGACGTAATGTGTTCTTTGACCTTCCTCTATTCCGCTTCCCTTCAGGATTACAAGTTGGAACTTGCCTAGTGATGCAGTTCTATGATTTCCTCAATGTGTGTCCTATCCAACTCCAATGTATTTTCCTAATTTCCTCTTCACTTCGAAGCTGGTTTGTTCTCTCCCACAGTAGGCTGTTGCTAATGATATCTGGCCAACCAATATCGAGTATCTTGAGTGAAAAACTATTCATAAAAACTTATACCATTTTGATGACGGTTGTAGTAGTTCTCCACGTTTCACCTCCATACATTAGGACTGTGTTGACGTTCATATTGAAGATACTGACTTCGATATTGGCTGAGAATTGTTTTGAGTTCCATATATTCTTCAACTGTATGAATGCGATCCTTGCTTTGCTTTGATTTATATAGATATATTAATCGCTTTGTCAAGTAGATAATCAAAAACATTCTTTAAAACGAAATACAAGTATGACGAATTGTTGGTATCATTCATATATATTTAGATTGATGAGTTTAACTGGATCATTTATTCTTGCATCAAATTATCTGGCTTTTTAATAGTTGAATTCATGAGTCCGTCCAATCTAGACTACCATTGAAAACATAGAATCAATGCACGATCAATTCTTCTCAGTATGGGACTCCGCAGCAGTGTGCATCAATGTTCCCACAAAAAAAGTATCAAACCCAGAACGTTTGGTCTCAATTTCGAGCGCTTAGCATTCAGACCACTGAGCCAGCACCAAGAGATGTTATTCTCAAACTTTAATCGATCTACGATCTTGAGTAACCCTTCATACTACTAATAATAATCATATGCTCACTAGTAACTAGATGAAACACAGATCTTCTGGATTTCTAGTGAGAAGCCGCAATCAATGGAGTCAAACCCATGTTCGGTATGAGACAGTTATCAACCTCAAAAAATACATGAAAGGTTGTTCAAGATCAAGGATCGATTGAAATTAGACATAAACACCGTTAGATGCCAGCAAGTTCAATGGACTAGAGATCAAGTGTTCCAGTCCTTTCATTATGGAATTGTTGATGAGCAGTATTGAGAATCGCCGACATGTATATTATCAATAACAATCAATTAGAAATGATCAAATTAGAATCAGAGGGGGTTTTGTGGAGATAGTAGTAATTTCAACAGTTGAGATCATGAGTCAATTGAAGCTAGACCATCATGGGAAACCTGGAAGCACTGGACGGCCATTTCTTCCTAGTATGGGACTCCTCAGCAGTGCGCATCCACGACCCCGCCTCGCAGGATTCGAACCCAGGACCTATCGGTCTCGCGCCAGGCGCTTACTCAACTAGACCAATGAGCCGGACGGCATCCAACGGTGTTAATGTCTAAAGTCAACTAATCCACGAAATTGAGTGACACATCTACCATTGTCATCAGTGAGTTACTACCTCACAACAGACCCGGTTAAACTCCACTGGTCACTGCTTCTCACTAGAACTCCAGGATATATCTGTTGAAGCCAGTCACTAGTGAGCATATGTTGATTAGTATCAGAAGGGGTTTTGTGGAGATTGTAGTAATTTTAAACAGTTGAGATCATGAGTTCATTGAACTGCTGAGGAGTCCCACAATAGAACGAAACGGTCGTCCAGTGCTTTCAGGTTTTCTATAGTAGTCTAGCTTCAATTGACTCATGATCTCAACTGTCAGATATCAGGCCACTCACACACAAAAAACAACAACAACAACTGAATACTTCATAAGCTTATAATCAAAATAAACACCATAAACTAATTAAAAGGATTCATTAACTTACAATGATTCAATTTTGTATTGTTTACATCTAGTTTCTCATTGATAATTTTATATCCAAATGGTATTGATAATTCAGTAGTATCATAAGTAGTATTGTTATCATCAGTAGATAGATTATTATTATTATTATCATGAATGACATTATGAATAGATGTATCAAATATTAGACGATTTTGTGTTAATGTTAATATACCTTGAATGACTTTAATTGCTAGAATTAATTGTGCATTCACACTGAATAGAATACCTTTACCTTTTTGTATTTGAGGTATATAATGAATCATTGATGAATTGAATGAATTCAATCGAGTTGATTGATGAGATGATATAGATGAGATAAAGGATTCATTATTAGAATTGTTTCTTAGTTTAAGTTGATTTAATTGGTTATCATCATTGACTGGATCTTTAATGGAAGTGTTCGAAGAATTGGATAAGATGGTTCTGAAGAAATAAAGATAGATAGGGATTAGAAGTGAAATCTAGTTTGATGCACGTCATTTCATTCTATTTGGGACTCATTCACTGGATGTATCTGCATCACAGAGTTGATTTCCACTCTAGAACTCATACTCAGTAACATTCACTTCAAACACTCTATCGCGTTATCCACTTAGCTACTGAATCCTGATGCTTTTAAGTTAAGGCAATGTGGAGGTAATAATTACAATATGCACATATAACGATAAGAGACTGATCAATTGCAGTCTGAACATATCAATGGGAAGATTTAAGTAAAACAATACCAAGTGAATTAGAGCTAATGTATTCGATGATGAGGTATTCAAATGAAAGAATGTATAGTGATGTTAGAATCTTCTATTGAACTATTGATTCATATGCTTTTGTTGCTCCACCGATGTGTAACTGAGATTCAAGAAATTTCAAACTAGTTATCTTTGTTGGACAAAATTAGATGTCTTAGAAATATAGCTCATATGTGCTAAAATCACCGGGTAAGTAATAGTGAGGTTAGACGCAGTATATTAGGGAATGATAGTAAATTAGTTGATGAACTTGTAAATCTTCATCGACTAATATGGTTGGGTCACGTATTACGTATGCCTGAACACTGATTACCACGATGTGCTATGCTAACTGGCATTGGGGATGGTTAGAAGGAAGTTAGGGGCAGCCAAACCAAAACGTGACATCAGTATGTCAAGTCACTAACTTCTAGTCTGAGCCATGTTGGGAGATGCAGACTACTTGGTTGGGGTCCGCATGACTATCATAACCAATGGTTGGAGACTTTCCGTGACATGGCTCAGAATCGATCACAATGGTGTAGGTGTATACATTCTTTGTCTTCCCTTAAACTATGAGATTAAAATCGTTTCATATCTTTCTTTCTACAAGCTAATTCTTTCTTCCTGTACTACAATCTTTCTTTTATATATTACTACCATTGAATTAACTACTTCTACATGCCAGGAACTTATAATTTGATGACCTCACTAACTGATAGTTATAACCTTTTAATGTTCATTATATTGAAGAGCTTTTATAGAGAAAAAATGGATAATAGCTTTGTATGAATTGAGTGAAATAGAGAAATGTGTTCAAATGAACATCAGTAAGGTAACTACTGAATAGTATTATACATGATTCCATACATGAAGGATCCTTAGGGTATTTCCTTTTTGATTGATGATACATACTACTTATATCTGTCGATATCGATAGCACATATCACAGTAGATTGTCTGACAGTTATTAAATGAGTTATATATTTCCCTACCCTTATGATTATTGTGACTTTTTTCGGTTATTGAAGTGGAAATATACTGGACATTCTAGTCAGGTCAGTCAAGTGTTCTTGATCTGAGTTGTGTTTAAGTCCTGTAGAATAGACAAATGGGAGGGTATCTAGGATATATGAATTTCCCATTTGTGTAAGGGAGAAGACCGAACGTTCCAAACTAAAAAAACACAACTCTATTCACTAATGTAACTTCTTGATAGGAGAAATGAACCATAGATGCTGAATATGTGTGTATAAGAAATATTCATATAGGCATTTTATTTATTTATTATTTGAACACATAAACATTGGTACAAAGGGGTACCGAATATACATGCGCCACACAGATCACTTGATTCGTATGTGGGCTAAGATACTGCCCAGGTGCCCAGACCGAAGCAGGTGATTTTCATAGGGGGCCACAGTCGGAGCCTTCGATCTGAAGGTCTGATCCACAAGGCAGTGGAGCAACGTCAAGAGATGCAGTCCCATGGTAGTCAGTGACCAATAGTTGGCTCATACGCCATTTGTTTCCACAAGATCTTCATGCCCATGTGCACGGGTGATTTAAAATCAGAGTTTATCAACTCCCCTAGATGAATCCTCCATATCCACCAACCGGATTAAAGCGCCGGATATTTGCTTTTCGCCTTCTCAATTTAGTAAACAACAATAGTGTCGCAAGAACGCAGTGAGTAGAACTTTCCTGGTAGTGGTAATATGCACGTGGCCATGTGTGAGCATTTCGAGGGATAGAGCTGACTTTCCCCCACCTTCGACAGTACCAGAGCATTTGGAGGTCATAAAAGCAACAAACCTTCATTATTACTATTCATTATCAATAAAATTCAATAAACACAATACTAAATGAAGCTAGACCACCATGGAATACCCGGAAGCACTGGACATCCCGCACACCGCGAGGTTCGAACCCAGGACCTACTGGTTTCGCGCGAGAGCACTTAGGCAGTAGACCACTGAGCCGGCATCCGACGGTGTTAATGTCTAACTTTAACCAATCCACGAAGTTGCGCCACCGTACACCATTGTCTTCGGTGAGTTGATATCTCACAACAGACTTGGTTGAACTCCACTGGTAACGACTTCTCACTAGAACTCCAGGAGTGTCTTCTGAAGTCAGTCACTAATGAGCAGGTGATTATTATTTCAACCAGTGAAATTTCTAAAAATCTCCGCAAAACCCATTCTGATAACAATACTAAATCCCAAAAAACTAGGAACTTACGGAGTTTTTATAGATTCATCTGGAATTAATGTACCACGTCGATCATCCGATAAATAAAACACTTCATTTTCCATATGGATTACATCATCATTATTATTTGAAGTCGATTCATTACGATCATCATTTCCTTCAATGGATGTTTGATTCAAAAGTTGAGGATATTTCATAATTTGTCTCATAATAACATCAGTATTACATTCTATTTCATCATTCTGTGAAATATCTAAACTTGTTTCACTAGAAGAAGCTTTCAATGTGGATAATGAATGACAAATAGATGTTGTAGATAATGTATGATCATTATCTACTGAATGTGGTCGTATACGTGATTGTATAAATTTAATTAAAGATAAACCATCTCGTTTAGCACTAGCATTTATATGTGAATTGAATGTTACATTTGGTTCTAATTTTGGTCGTATACGACTGATTGTTTCCAATGCAGATAAACGCCAATGTTCAACTTTTGCATAACTAACATTTCAAAGAAAAAACAATGAGATGAATAGGATAATGAGGAAGAAATATGATGGTTAGAAAAGATTACATCATAATTGAATTCACTTGGTGTAGTTTCATTTGTATCTTTCCATTGTTATTTAGGACTGTAATTGATCAGTCTCATGTTGGCATATGTTTTATACGGACCATATTGCCTCGATATAACTTTAAGTCACAAGCTTCTTTAAGCAAAGATGGATAACGACTATCAGGAGTCAGTAACTAAGTGAATAACGCCATGGTGTTTAGAGCGAACAGTACTGAGTTCGAGTCCCAGAGTGAACATGAACTCTAAGATGCAGGTATATCCAGCTGACGAGTCTCGAAGAGGACGAAACGTGCATTCAGACAGCAAAACTCTACCAAAATCATCCACCTAAGCTATAAATCTACTCCACGAAACGCACATCCTAGATTCCACTACTAGCCATTATCCTTCTAAGTAGCAAATATCTATGAACCTAAATGAAATGACTTTATATCTTACAACAAGCACAACTGTAGCAATTCATCATAATTAGTACTGAATGATAGTCATAAAATATTGCAAACTGATTAAAATCGATGAATTCGAACCATTGTGAAGAACTGGAAGCTTCTCGATTCAAAGAATTAAGTGCCACCCCCCCCCGTTACTAAAAATAGCTGTTTGTTTCTATAGATTATGTCACTGTGTAATGAAGATTAACTTCGAATTGATAAAGTCTTCACAAGATGTCTTCAATGAACTAATAGATTATGGATATTTGTTTCTATTTAAACATTATGATTGGCTGAAACCTGCTAAATGAGTTCTCAATGGATGATATTAGGCTATGAAACAGCTAAACAGTTATAGGCAAATGATAAAAAGATCTTTTATTACTGAATTACGTAACTGTTAGTACAGGTAATCATTGATCCTTTAAACACTTAAACTCCTACTATGATGTATGCTACGGACATTGACAGATATAAGTAGTATGTATCATCAATCGAGACTGAAATACCTGGAGGCAGAAGGTTAATAAGATCGAAAAAAGAGAATGATTGGTGAGGAAACGAAAGAACAATGAAGTCTGAGATGATTTATTGACATATTGCAAATGACTTATTCACTGTATGGATCTCAGATTCTACTATGAGATTTTGTAATGTTGTATTCAAATACATTAGACTGTCTCGACTTGTGTCCACCTGAGCCATAAATCTTCTCCACCATCTCAGAATGAATTGTTTAAATGCTATCCCTGTCTGGGGCTACTGTCAGTCTCAAGCCCAGAATGAAGGAGGTGGATTGGGTATAGGGGGGGGGTTAAGGACTCCATCCCATAGAAAACTAACTCGCTCAACAGCAGCAACAAAACATGCTAACCGTAAAATATAAATTTTAAGCAAATTTTATTAATGAGATTAAAAACCTGTAGTGTTTTAAATCTAATCCGTTATAAGCAAAGATGGATAGTGGCTAGCAGTGAAATTCAGGACGCATGTTATCGCGTTATCTACTTAGCTGTTGACGAGCTACTGACGAATCCCAAATAGGACGAAGTGACGCGTATCCTGAATTCCACTTATACCCACTATCCATCTATGTCTATAATGCTTGTGAATTAAGGCAATATCGAGGCAATATGCATAGTATGCTCATATGTCAATAAGAGACTGATCAATTACTGTCCTAAACAACAATGGGAAGATTCATGTAAACAGTACCCCACTACACAAACATGTGGTTATCAGAACTCAGTAGTTAAGTGGATAACTTGATGGTGTTTGAGGCGAACGGTACTAGGTTCGAGTCCCAGAGTAAATACCCACTCTGAAATGCCGGTACATCCAGCTGACGAGTCCCTAATAGGGCGAAACGCGTTTCTTGGATTCCATTGATAGTCACTATCCATCTTCACTTATAATGCTTGTGACTTAACTCAATATCATGGTAATCCAAACAGGATGCACATATATATACCAATGTTAGAGATTGATCAATTACAGTCTTAACACATCAATGAGAAGATTCAAGTAAACAACAATACTAAGTGAATTTAATCCGTTATAACTTGATTAAGAAGTAGGGGAGGGGATGGAAAGGAATCAAAATAAATAAAATCAATAATCAATATAAATTCACCTTATAAACCATGGAGCATTCAATGATGTATACATTAATCGATATGATAAAGCATGCCAATAATTCATTTGTTGATTATATTTTTCTATTTCTGTTGGATAATAATTTTGTTTGTTAATAAATGATAAGGATTGAGGTATATCATATTGATTATTATCGATTGATGTGATATGTTTTGTTGTCATGGTTACAGAATGATCGATTGACTTTTCAGAAGTTGATGGATCAACAACATATGGAATGATCAATGATTCATTGGATATTTCAGATATGTTATGTAATAGATAAGAATGTAAACTGAATGATATATTATCTAAATAATGTTTATGTTTATAACGTGATTGTTCAATATCATCATTAGCTTTAGCACGATATATACTTTGATTTGTTGCTGTACTGATGATATACTGAATTGTATAGAATTCTGCTACTGGTTGAAGCTAAAACAAACAAGAAAAGTATCATTCACTGATAATGAGAATCTCATATTACATAATAGAATAGGGATTTGTAGAACTGATAGGTTCTAGGTTCGAATCCCATGAAACGGGGTAGTGGATGCGCACTGCTGAGGAGTCCTACAATATGATGAAACGGTCATCCATGGTGATCTAGCTTCAATTGACTCATGATCTCAACTATAGAAATTTTTTGAAATTAATTTTAACAATTGAATTCATGAGTTTATCTAAGTTAGAGAACCATTGAAAGTCTAGAAGTACTGGATAGCTGTTTTGTCGCTAACCCAAGACCTACGACTTCGCGCGTAAACACTTCATCTCTAAACCACTAAACTTACCGGTATCTCACGGTGTGAATTTCTAACTCTAGTTGATCCTTGATCTTGATCAACCTTTCATGTATTGTTTGAGGTTGATAACTGTCTCATATCCGATACGGATTGGACTCAACTGATCACAGTTTTTCATTACAACTTCAGGAGTTCCATTTTGTACCTAGTCACTAGCCGATGCATAATTATTATTAGTATGAAGGATTGCTCAAGATCATGGATTAATTGAAGTTAGAGACTAACACCGTTGGGTGTTGGCTCAGTGGACATTTCATTATCACATAAAACCTTCTAATCATTATAGCATTCTTCTTAAACTAGATAAATAGTTCTGACTGATATTGACTGAACACATTCTTTGACAATGAAATGAATATTTCTATCATATTTGAATTTAAACACAATACACTATTTTTTAAATGCCCCCAAATGCCCTGGTACAGCCGACAGTGTGAATAGTAAACTGTCCCTCTCCAAATGCCCTCACATGGACACGCGTATATAACCACTGTGAGGGAAGTCCTACTCAATGCCTTCTCGCACCACGGGTGTTGTTTATGAAATTGAAAGGATGAAAAGTGAATTTCAAGAGTTTTAATCAAGTTGGTGGATATGGAGGATCCATCTAGGGAAGTTGGAATATCCTGATTCCAAACCAGTGGTGTATATGGACTCCAGGATCTTAAAGGAACGAGTTGCGTATGAAAATATTGTTGATCAATGGCTACCATGAGACTATATCTCCTTATGTTGCTCCACTCCCCTGTGGATCAGACATTTATGTCAAAGACTCGGGATGTGGCCCTCTAAAGAAACCATCTACTTCGGTGTGGGAACTCGAGCAGTATCCTAGCCCTCAAACAAATCAAATGATTTATGTGTTGCATATCTATTTGATGCCTTCTTGTACCTATGTTTATATTTTCCAGGTTTTCCATGGTGGTCTAGCTTCAATTGACTCAGGATCTCAACTATTAAATTATTATAATATTCACAAAACACACTTCTGATACTAATCAACATATGTACACTAGTAACTGGCTTCAAGATATATATCCTGGAGTTCTAGTGAGAAGCAGTGACCAGTGGAGTTCAACCAGGTCAGTTGTGAGGTAGTAACTCACTGATGACAATGATGGATTTGTCACTCAATTTCGTGGATTAGTTGAAGTTAGACATCGACACCGTCGGCTGCCGGCTCAGTGGTCTGGTTGGTTAAGCACCTGGTGCGAGACCGATAAGACCTGAGTTCAAATCTCGAGAGGCGGGATCATGGGTGCGCACTGCTGAGGAGTCCCACACTAGGACGAAACGGCCGTCCAGTGTTTCAAAGTTTTCCATGGTAGTCTAACTTCAACTGACTCATGATCCCAACTGTTAAAAATAAATATTCTTCAAAAATACAAATACGTTTAGTACGTAAATTGCCTGATCTAACCAGAGATATCTCCTGACATCAAAAAAGGTGGATATATAAAGTTAATCAGTTTGAGAACATCTTCCCATATCCTATTTACAATACAAATCTAAGTAATTTGTTTGAAACATCCCAAAAGAATGAAGTTAGTCGATTGATCGAAATATGGTCATCTTCCATACCTAGACTGGATGAATTATTCACAAAGGCTGCCTTCTATATACAATATATAGTCGAAAGGTTTTTGAGATATTATTTATCATTATTAAACATGGGATCACAGAAGGTAGGAATCATATAACATCATACAATTAAATAATTGAAAAAGATATGATTAATCTGTTTCTACCGGACAAAGATTGGATTCCAAATGTCGCAACTTCTCACTGGAACTCCATAAAATCCATCTCGAAGCAAATCATTAACCGGTACATGATGATTATTAGCAGAATGGAGTTTTATAGTTGAACTCATGGGTCGACCACCATTAAAAACTCTCTAATATTTGTGACTTTTGCAAAAGTTAAATCAATAATATGAAGATAATGGAGTCCTAAAAATGAATTAGCAATTGTTGGAGTTGAAACAAGGATGTAAACATATACGTTGTACAGATTTTTAGCGTAGGAAAACATAAATATTTTACATAAAAAGTTTAGTTACTTAAATCATTTAAATAGTTTAAAATACAATTCAAAATAAAATCTATCAACATACACGATATTCAAGAAAGCATTGCCATTCACCATGTGGTATAGTACGATAAACTTTAAATTTTTCGAGAAAATCAGATGTCATCTTTGGTAAATTAGGTGTCCACTTTTCCATTTCTAATAGTACACTATAATCTTTAAATAATTTAAAGATTATTGGAGTTAAATATAAAAGTAGATTATGTGATTGTGAATTGGTATTTATACGTGATGATAAATGGTCACTGATAGGATTAGTCTCAGAAGGAATACTTTTATTTACATTTCTTACATCGTGATTAAGAGGAATATTCACGGAATGATCACTGGGAATTTCACTGAGTTTTTCCAGTTTATGTATATCATCTACATTTATCATGGATTCTTCATATTTTGACCATATTTCAATTACTTTGTCCAAACGACAAACAAGAAATGCAATCTAGATAATAGAAGATAAAAAAAATAGGCTTCGTTAGTGAATGATAAAAACGGGGTATTCTCCTTAACTAACCCTTCCTGGAACCCTTCTGGGGCTACTGCCAGTCCCAAGCCCAAATAAAGAAGCAAAGTTTGACTTAGGATTAGCGGCCTCACCCAGTAGAAAACTAACTCGCTAAAAAAACGCCAACCAGAAAAAATAATTCAGACCATTTAAACTCTGCCTTGGGAGGTAGAAGGCCTTCATTTAAAAGAGTTGTGATACGTTACGATGAAAGCCGAGTTCATTCGGAAGTCAAGAGGCTGATGCCCCTTCTGACTACCAGAGCAACCATTAATTTAGGTACATGGAATGCTCGTACAATGTAGGAGACCGGAAGAGTCATCCAAATTGCTGCATTTTCCTTAACTGATGATCCATTATCATTTAAATGAGTAGAGAGTAAAAGTATGAATTCAAGAACTTCGAATAACTGACATGTGGTACATTATTAACTTCTTGTTTTGATTATCAAATTGTCTCAAACTTATGCTTGTGCTATTTGTGATCGTTGTCAACTGCTTTCATTATTAAATGTAGGTGCATTCTATATCCTTAACTGAGTTGTCAGTTCATTTTTCTTCTTTCGTCTTTTTCTCTTCCAGATCATCTCATTTACAACTCCTTATGCTAGCCCAGCTCATAAGGTACTTTCAGGTTAAAATCTAATCTTCTTAAGGCTGAATGTTACAGTGGAATCAACTTCAAATATTCCCCCAAAATTCTGAAGAAACAGTATTGAAGATGATTTATAACTTGGTCATTTAACTTGAATTGTGAAGCCGTTATTGTCCTTCTGGATAAAAAAAGTGTTCCTTTAGTGTCTCTTTTAATCTAATGATAGCTATGAATACACAAGGTCTTGAGTGCAGTTAGAGGTATGAGGGCGGTTATCACTTCCCGGTTGCCCATACCATGGAAGGGTTGTTCTGGAGGTACCTGAAAAGGAAATTGGATTAGAAGTGGTCTTTGTGACCTGAGAGCGTGACCGCAGTGCCCAAGGGACAACTGCTTGAGGTCGGTCACACATGACCTTTTTATGAGTAATTTTTGTGTTAGCTCTGTACTTGTTGAGACCTTACCGCCGGAGACTGATATCCGTGGGATAAGGCGAGGTGTGCATTTTTAGGGTCGACCTTTTCTAACCCCACCCCTCCTTTTGGGAAACCAACATCGCTGTCATGCTGGTTGTCTGAAGAAAACACCTTACTGCTGTCACACCTCTGTACAGTCAGCAGTACGACTTCGCCTTCGGACTTTTGGTTTTTCGCTTTTAGTCTTACTGCTCTTCAACAGACTGTCTGGCATGATAGGACCTTGAAGAACGGTTGTTCCAGCCAGTATAGCTCGGTTGCTTCATCACGATAGGCAAGCCCGACCATCACGTCAAGGTAACAACAAAGGTCGGGAATCTAATAATAGAGTCAATGACAACAAGAAAATTCATGAAGATAACAAACCTACAAAAAGCATTTGGTTACAATTGAAGTCAATAACATTAAGCCCTTGTGTATTAATTTCTAGAAGCTCAAATCTTAAAGTACGCGTTTATGATATTGCCAAACTGATATTGAAAGGCTCTAAGTTAAACAACCTACATTATAAAAGGCAATACAACTGAAGTTTGAAATGAAGAGGTCTAATAAGAAGTCATGAACATTAAAGTTTAATCCTGTTAGGCTTGAAGAATGTACCCACCAAACAAAGTAGAAGATAGTCGCACAATATCGTGAATTGATTGAAAGTAGAACAAATGGACAATTTCACTACCATTAACTTTGAATGGTAGAAATCATACCATGAAAAACACAATGGACAATATGGTTCAATCTACTTGTTACATCAAAAGCAGTATGTTATGTTATAGAAATTAACAAAAAAACTGAGGGAGTAAACACTGTAAAGAAATGAATATAAGCTAAATATTTCTATTGAATAGTGAAGAATATCCCGCGAGCGAGATCGTGGATGTGTACTGATGAGGAGTCCCACAATAAGACGAAACAGCCGTCCAGTGTTTCCAGGTTTTCAATGATCGTCTAACACCAACCGGTTCATGGTCTCAAGCAAAAACTTAATAATCTCAACAATTCTATGCTGATAATTATGTGCTCACTAGTGACTAGCTTCATGAGGAAATCCTCAGAGTTCTAGTGAGAATCTGTGACCAGTGGAGCTAATCCGTGTCGGGTAGAGAAAGGTATCTATCTCAGTACAATGGAAGATGGTCGCGCAATTTCGTGGATTGGTTGAGGTTAGACATTAACACCGCTGGATACCGGCCGAACCAGTGGTCTAGAGGTTAAGCATTCGGGCGCGAGACTGAAGGCCTTGCGAGTGGGATCGCGAATGTGCATTGATGAGGAGTCCCACAACGGGGCAAAACGGCCGTCCAGTGCTTCCAGGTTTTCAACAGTGATCTAACATCAATCGGTTCATGATGTCAATCAAAAATTTAATAATCTCCCCAACCATATACTGTGAAAAAATACTCACAATATTCCATTCATCAGATGCTTCAAACTATGTGGTTCAAACTAGCTTTCAATTGTTCAAATGCATTCAGCATCATTAATCCCATGACCCAAAGTGATTTCTTTTTTTCCTAGGTTTTCAACTACTATTCTTTGTGTGATTTACCTTACACTGACTGGATCAACGTATTACTATTAACTACGACGGCTTGTCATTCAGTCATGGATTTATAACTTTAATCAACCTTGATGAAACTAAAAAACACTAACCACTAGCCTATCGTAGTTCCTATGACTCGGTCTAAAATAATTAAATACTGGGCAAAGTATTGATTTATTATCAGAAGGGGGGTTTTGTGAAGATCTTAGCCATTTTTATAACTGAATTCATGAGTCAATTAAATCATGGAAAACCTAGAATCACTGGACGGTCGTGTTATATCCGGACAAGAGTAGCGGATGGTAACTGTTGGTATCTATCTAGAACAAAAGACCAATATGGACTGTAGGCTGCTCATACCAGTCATACGTCAATGATTTGGCACAGTGTTAAAATTGTATAAATCATGTTGTATACTAACTGGGTGAAAGTCACAAAGATTTCGGTGTTCTCGATAATTACCTCTTGATTTATTGATTTTATCTATTAAAATGACTATCAATCATCGATTATTATTATTATTCACTTAATAGTTCATCAGATTCATATTGTGGTGTGTACTACTGATGTCGATAGATATAAGTAGTATGTACCATCAATCGAAAGTGAAATGTCTGCTAGCAGAAGGTTAAGAAGATCTAAGAAAGAATGAGAACAAAGAATGATTGGTGTAGAAATGAAGGAACAACTAAGTGTGAGACGATTGATTAACATTTAGCGAATGAAGTAATTATTGTATGGCTCTCAGATTTTACTAAGATGTTCTGTAATTTTGTGTTCAAATACATTTGATTCTCTCCATTTGTGTTCTCGTTCACTACATTAGGTGTCGCTGTCAGCCAGAAAAGGAAGGGTGCTGTCCTGCGGACACCGTCGCGGATCTGAAGCTGGGGTACTAATTGGAGCGATCCGTTGCAGGGAGGTGGCGCCGAATGGAGTGTTCTGGCGGGGAGGTGTTGGCTTTAGCGGGTGCTGTTGACAAAGAGGAGCAGTGGGACGTATGGCTGCCGAGTAGACATCGGATTTTGATGGCCTGGTAGGTCTACGGAGCTATGGAGGTCAGCGCGTTGCAAACTCCACATTTTAACGGAGGGCGTGGTACGGATTACAGAGAAGAGGAAGAAAGTGGCACGGTGAGCAGAAGCACCGCAACAACGACTGCTTTAAAGTGGAAATGAGTGTGGTGTGTGCTACTGATGTCAACAGATATATGTAGTATGTATCATCAATCGAAATTGAAATGCTTGGCGGCAGAAGGTTAATGCAACAATGAACTTACTTCTTCAAAACATGATCTTGATTCCAATTGACAAATGATATAATGTAATTGAGTTAAAGAATAAATAAATAAACGAGATTGTAAATAACTATTATTAATAATCCACCATAGAATTAAATGTATAGTTAATGCTTGAACTTCTTTCCATTGTAATGAATTTAATTCCCATATAAGAAGTGATTCTTGTAATAAATGTAGTAAGGATTCCATTAACTAACAAACAAAAAAAGAAGTAAAGTATTTATCAAGATGAAGAATAGGAAAACGCTAAAGATTATACTATACCGACGATCTCTACTTACTTACTTACGCCTGTTACTCCTCGTGGAGGAGCATAAGCTACTGCTCGGTTTAGAGCAGTTACGAGTTCACCTAGACTGCGAACGGAGCAAAGATGTGTGACCAACGACCAATAAACTAGCTTTTATATTGCGTCTCACCACGCTAACTAGCGAGAGAAGTCGAAATCCGAACGGGGAAGTATATTCCCAAAAAGCCAGGAAACACGAGTGATGACAACAGATACAAATCAAAACGTATATATACAGCACAAAACCGTCCTTGGGGAGAGTTACCAAATAGCATACTAAAAAACATTGCGGACCAACAGCATCTAAGATTCTCCCAAGTGAGAAATCCGACATAAAGGTGAAAAGAGCGCTTTTGGTGCGAAAACAAAGAAATCCAAATTTTCCAAATGAAATTACAAAATTAGGTCCTTTACCAAGTGAGTTCTGGGGATCTAACGTCCCCAACAACCCCTACCAGTATTTTCCACCAAACTCTGTCCTAAGCAATCCTTTCCAGCTCTTTCAAGTTATTATTCATCCTTTTCATATCTGTTTCGATTTCCTGACGTAATGTGTACTTTAGCCTTCCCTTTTCCACTTCCCTTCAGGATTTCAGGTTAAAGCTTGCCTTGTGATGCAGTTTGGTGGTTTCTGTATTGTATATCCTAGTCATTTCCTAGTTTCCTCCGCCTGTAGCTCTTCTAGAGCTACTGCCGGTCCCAAGCCCGGATAAAGGAGGAGGGTTGGACATGGGATTAGTGATCCCATCTCGTAGGAAACTAACTCGCTAAAAACAAAACGCTAACCAGAAAAAATAATTCAAACATGTATCCAGGTATAATAAAAAAATGCACCGTGATTCTGTTGTTTTGTTGCATTTTTATAAACGTAACCAACTACCTATATGATACACTGTAGTTAATATTATGTAACTTGTAGTGTTGGTTGCTATGGCAACCCACATAACTTATTCTAGCTTTCGGACAGCGCAGTTTATTCATTCTTCTTTAGTTACATTTTAACCTTGCCAATTATTCGCTTGTCTACCTTAATTGTTTCTATGTAAAAGTATGTATGTGTATTTCTTATCTTATTCATCCTATGTCTGTAACTTATTTTTGTCTGACTATAAAATCGATTCATGCTTGATTACATCGAGTTGGATCACTCGCTTTCTCCACTGTGAGTCATTTCGGTTCGGTTCGCTTCTCTTTCTTTGTTCTTCGCTTCGTTTCCTTGATTGTCTGTTCAGATCAATGACTGTCCAAAATATATATATTCGAAACTTTACTGTTGTATTAAACTTATTTTAATTCCGTTATTCACTAACTCAATTAAACCTTCAGATCATTCAGTTGACAATCTGTTATTTACATGTTTAACATCAATCAATTTGCGATGTTGTTACTCAACCATCTTCGAATATCATTAGTAGGTAGTTGTGCAATATCATGAATTGTTTGAAATTAGACATGTAAACTATCAGCCTACTATAGAAGAGGAGAAAATCAACTTTCAGCTGAGGAGGAAATTACGAAAAAACGATGAAAGTGGATAGGACATACATTACAAAAATCATCAGTCTGTATCACGAATCCTGAAGGGAAACAGAAAAGAGAAAGATCATGAAACACGCTACGACGAGAATGAAAAGCAAATGTCATAAGGATGAAAAGCAACTGTAAAGAACTGAATAGGATTACCCAGGACAGGGTTGAATGAAAAATACTATTGGGCGGCTTACGCTCCTCCAAGAGTTTTAAAAGTTGTAAGTAAATATGTAAACTATCAAATGAGGACATAGTGGCCAAAAGCATAAGTTCTGGTTATAAGACCTGAAAGTCTTAAGTTCAATTTCCCACAGAATCTTGGATGCAGTGTTGAGAAGCCCCATGGTAGGAAGAGACACCTGATTGATATTTCATGCTGTGCGGATTGTCTCAATATAGCCTTAAGTCACAAGCGTTTTTAAACAACGATGGATAGTGGTTAGCAGTGGAAACACAGGATTCTCATTTCGTTCTATTTGGGACTCATCAGCTGGGAGTACCTGTGGGGGGGTGTTGCTTATATTGACATATGTAGTAGATTATGTTAGTCGTGAACAGAAGGTCTGGGAGCAGAGAGACAAGAGGATCAAACAGTAAAGAATGGAAACAGAATGCAATTTGTATGAAAATGCAAGAACAATGAAGTCTGAGTCATTATGAGACAATTGATGAACATTTTGTAAATTACGTATTTACTATTTGATTGTTAGATTTTATTAACAAGTCCTGTAATTTTGTGTCAAATACATTCGATTGTCCCCACCCGTGTTCTGTTCACTACACCTGCATCCCAGAGTTAATGTTCACTCGGGGACTCGAACCCAGTACCGTTCGTTTCAAACACACAATCTCGTTATTCACTTAGCTACTAATATGCATATACAAACATATAAATAAGAATGCCGACTTACTTCTACCCGATATTCATAATCGATCCAGTTTTTATGATTACAAGTAGTATCAACTAGAAACATCATAAATAAATGAACAACTCTACGAACTTTATCTCCATCAACTGCACCTGGAAACAACAAATTTTGATCTACAAAAGAAGCCAAAGTATAGAATAAGTCAAGTACATATATTTTTAATAGAGATATGTACTGCAGGAATTGGGCAAACAATGAATAAGTTATCATTATAATACAATTATCTATACCTGTGACTCGTCAGTTAGATCATATTTACACATAGCTTAATATGTCAGATAGATATAAACATCCATTGTTAGTCATAAACTATCCATTTTAAACTGCTAGTAACAAAGTAATTTACACAAGAAGTATGTATGTTACCAAAAATTGAGGGTTTCCAACTCCCTTAGGTGGGTCCTTCATATCAATCTAACCGGTTAGAGCACCGGAAATCCACTTTTCACTCTCAATTTCGTAAACAACACCCGTGGTTCGAAAAGACAGTCAGTAGAACTTCTCTATCAGTGGTTGTATACATGTGTCTATGTGGGAGTATTTGGAGAGGGTGAGCTGACTCTCCACAGGGCGTTTGGAGGCCTAAACTTTTATTAATTATGGTATCAACAGTATACTCATTGAATAAGTTCGTGATTATCGGAATTTAGTACTTCAATAGATAACATAATAAGAATTTAAAAATGAAATTATGTAGAGTTCGAGTCTGAATGTGAACATCAACACTTAGATCCAGTTGACCATGTACTTATTTATTTATTCGAACACATAAATATTGGTACAAGAGGGCATCAAATATATATGCGCCACACCATATTTGTGTGTGTGGGCTGTGATACTGCCCGGGTGCCCAAACCGAACCAGGTGGTTTTCTTAAGGGGCCATATCCAGAGCCTTTGACCTAAAGGTCTGATCCACAAGATAGTGGAGCATCGTGAGGAGATGCAGTCCCATGGTAACCAATGACCAACGATTGGTTCATACGCTATTTGTTCCTTCAGGATACTGGAGTCCATGTGCACCAATGTTTTGGGATCCGGTTAAAGCGCCTGACGGACATTCGCTTTTCGTCCTCTCATTTTCGTAAACAACACCCTTGCCACGAGAAGGCAGCGAGTAGGACTTCCCTGACAGAGGCTGTATACGCGTGGCCGTGTGAGAGCATTTCGAGAGGAGAGAAGGGCTCACCCTACTCTCGGCCATACCAGGCCATTTGGGGGCCGACCATGTATTAAATGGAATGAAACGAGCATCTTGAATTCGATATCCCATTTATTTTACATAACAACTAAATGCAATTGCTTATTAAACACAACAAAATTGCAAGTTTATCTCAGTCTTTAGATGGAATGAAATGAATAAATGAATGAATTTACTAAAGTCACTTACTATAATTTGGTAATGATTGTTCTAATGAATAAATAATGCATTCAAATAGTCGTTGAATAATCCAAAATGCAGGTTTTATAAGAACATACTGACTACTGATTTCCATAAATGATACCATAGCTCTATAATATCCCTATATATAATAACCAAATAGAACTTATTAACAAGGATGTTAACGATGTGTATTAGATTAATAACAAGTTTAATTTCATCATAGAACTTTTTGAACACAAGTCACTTGATTTGTATGTTCTGTGTGATACTGTCCGGGTGCCCAGAACGAAGTAGATGGTTTTCTTAAAAGCGCATTCCCAGAGTCTTCGATCTAAAGGTCTAATCCACAAGGCAGTGAAGTAATGTCAGGAGATAAAGTCCCATGGTAGTCGGTGATCAACAATACGTTCATACACCATCCGATTCCTCAGGATACTGGAGCCCATGTGCACCATTGGTTTGTAATGACGATTTTCCAACTTCCCAAGGAGGACTCTTCGTGTTCACCAACTCGGTTAAAGAGCCGGACATTCGGTTCTCATCCTCTTAATTTCGTAAATAACAATAGTGCCGCGAGAAGTCAGTGAGGAAGATTTCCCTGGTAGTGGCTGCATATGCGTGGCCACTTGAGAGCATTTAGAGAGGGGGAGCTAACTCTCCCTACTGTCGGCCGTACCAGAGCATATGGGGGCAAACGTGCTTCATAGAATAAACAAAATGTACCCTAATATCAACAAACATGGAGAGACTATAATTTATGGACGAATAAATCAGATTTACGATAACAGTTCTTGGCATTCGGCGCGAAATTCATTCATCTATTTGACTAAATAGCGTCTCGACGTTGGTTTAGAACCCTCATTTAGCCGTAGTATATAGGTGAATATTCTCAAGGTCTTTATAGAATCACTCAATGGTCGTCCATAAATTATAGTCTCACCATAAACAGTCTTTAATGTCCTGAGTAATATAATATACCCTTTTCTCAAACATATACGAACCAATAGTATTATGGAGGAATATTAACTAATTCATAATACAACAGAATGTATCTACTGATGTATCAAGCGAGTTACTATTCTTATTAACCGGTAATTCCAAACCGACTAACCCAATTAAATAGTTCTTCACTGCACAATCTAACTGAAACATTACTTCTTAGTATGATTAACTTCACAGTTATATAATATACCCTTGTGGGCCAGGATAGTTTTCCATTGGTTTTCAGGAAAATCAGACACCATTCAGACTTTCACGTGACAACCCAAATAGCACAGCTCAATCCCGTTCAACATGAAAGTCAGACACTACCCAGGCTTAAACTTTATAACCCGAGCAGTACAGGTCAATCGCGCTTCAGAGAAGAACCAGACACCATATAGGTTTTAAGGCTACAATTTGAATAGTACAGCTCAATCCTATGGCGCAACCACACAGGTCTCAAGCACCCTAGTGATAATGATGATGATGGTGATTAATTTAATGAGAAGTAAATTAGAAAAAAAGGGAAAATTTGATAAACAAGTTTGATTTTTTTCCAAAGAAAAAATGATTTCCTGACCCTATGAAAATGTGATTATTATAACTCCGCCTGGAGTCCCTCCAGGGGCTACTGCCGGTCCCAAACCCGAATAAAGAAGCAAAGTTTGACTTGGAGTTAGTGACCCCATCACGTAGAAAACTAACTCGCTAAAAAGACCCTAACCAGAAGAAATTATTCAAGCCATTGAAACTCTGCCCTGGGAGTCAGAAGGTCTTCATTTAGAAGAACTATGGCGCCTCATGATGAAAACCGAATTCCTTCGGAAGTCACGAGTCCGATGTCCCTTCTGACAACTAGAGCAACCATTTATTTAGGTACATGGAATGTTCGTACAATGTGGGAGACCGGGAGAGTCTTCCAAATTGCTGCATAAAAAGAAAAAAAACGTTTTAAATACTTACCACCCATGGATCATCATTTGTAATGGTTGTACTTAAATGCCAACGTTCTAAATGATTAGACATCCATAGAATTTCATGTAAACATTTAATAATTAATTGAGTTAAATTCTCTTCTATAATGTTATCATTTTTTAATGATAATTTATATGAATTACTTATACTACTATGTATATTGTTATAAGTAGTATAATGTTGAGGAGTGTTAGAAGATGAAACTGGAGATTGAATAGGTAAAGTTTGTTTTAGATTATAATTATTGGATATTGAAACTGAACGTTGATTTGTTCTAATATGATCTGAAATAGTAATAGGTTCTTGTTTCATACTTGAAATGGGGAATGAATTCAATAGATTGATATCTTTCATATCATCCATTGTATCAGGGATATGTGTATTGGTTGGACTATTGAAGACAGATTCTACTTCATTAGTTGATAAAGATGATGTTATTGATGTTTTATTCTGTGGTATAGATAGAGTTGGTGAGTATAAGTCGTCAGTTTGTGAATTAATTGAACTACCATGACCAGAATCATTGGTAGACTTAAAAAAAAGAAAAACATGATGATAGGAGTGTAAATGTGAATGAATCTTTCTTGTTAACTTTGTAGCTGTGTGTATGTGTAAAAAGATGACCTAGAAGCACATCATTATATCTCAGTTCAGTGGTTTAAAGATCCAATATTCGATTCACAATGGTGGAGATATGAATGAGCACCCCAGAAGAGTCCCATACTAGGATGAAACAGATGTCCACAACTTCTATGCTCTCAAAGGTTATCTCACTTAGACCGGTTTTTGATTTTATTAAAATTTAACAGTTCCCACAACCCTCATTTATCTGTTGTTTTCAAAGTAATGCGACTTATTATCATTATGATTATTCGTTGCGCAATATTGTGGATTAGTTGAACTTAGGAAATAAAACCGTTGGATGCCATCTCAGTGGTATAGAGGTGGAGTGTTCACGAGCAAGACTGAAGGTTTTGAATTCAAGTTTGTTTGGTGTGAGATTGTTGACGCGCACTGCTGTGGAGTCTCATACTGGGGCGAAACGGCAGTCCAGTGTTTTTAGGTTTTCAATGGTAGCCAAACATTGATCGATTCATGATCTCAATCAAAACTTAACAATCTTCACAACCCTATACTGACAATTATTATTACTAATGTCTTTATTCAATATTATATTTTTGGTACAATATATAATTCTCAGCACATAATATTTCAACAACAGCAGTCTATAACAGCCCAATGTGGGAAAAAACAAACCAACTTCCAGATGAAAAAGAAATTAGGAAAAGACTATGAAAATGGATCGGACATATATTACGGAAATCATCAAGCTGCATCACGAAGTAAGAGCTAACTTGGAATCCTGAAGGGAAGAGGAAAAGTGGAAGACCAAATAACACATTACGTCGAGAAATAGAAGCAGATATGAAAAGGATGAATAACAACTTGAAAGAGCTGGAAAGGATTGCTTAAAACATGGTTAGATGGAGAGTGATGGTGGGTAGCGTATGCTCCTCCACGAGGAGTAACAGGCATAAGTAAGTAAGTAAGTGATATTTCAATAAGTTTCCTTTTCTTGTTTCTTGATCGATCCTGACGACAGATATTGAGTGATCTCTGGTTGGATGTAATCAGTTTAGGAATCAACATCTGAATAATTTTTATCCCCAGCAACTACGATGTCTTTGATGATGATTTTAATCTTTGATGGTTGAACAGAAACGTGCCTGAATATTTCATGCAATGAATAGACATAATGATATGTTTAAACAAACAAAAAAATAGATAACTTGTTGAAATATATAAATGACAGGAACAGATAGATCAGATATTCAAGCAGACCGCCAAAGATTGAAATAATGACTGATTTCAACTTTCAATCTGTCATTCAACTAACTACTAATTTCGATAGATATAAGTAGTATGTATCATCAATCAAACTGGAAATGCCTGCTAGATCAAGAGCAAAGAATGATTATTGTGGAAATGCAGGAACAGTGAAGTCTGAGACGATTGATCGACATTTTGTAAATGAAGTATTTATTGTATGGTTCTCAGATTTTACTGACCTTATACTTTTGTGTTTAAATACGTTCAATTGTCCACACTGATGTTCTCCTTCACTATACAACCATTGATTAGTCTGTCACTGCTTTCATAACATGATCTATACAATTTGATGGTCATTGACAGACACATTAAATCTTGTATCCAGATTTCTGACAGCTTCTAGAAAGATTTTCACTTTCATGCTCAACAACATTTTCCAACATGAATAAACAAAAGTGTAGTTAAAATAGTATATCCCATTTATTTCGAACTAGTCATAGATCCAGAATAAGTCAATCATCTTTAATAAGATGATTCCATAATATTGTATCCGGTTGTCCCCATTTGTGTTCTCGTTCACTACAACAGAACCGTTGATAATTGTATTTCTTGTGAAAAGAAATTAAAAACAATTAGAGAACTTACTCCTAGACGTCTTGTATGAATTTCATTCAAATATTTTTGTGGTGAGCGAATCCCAGTTAATCCAAATCGAGATATTGATATTCGGTCAAGTTGATGAGTATTCCTAAGTAATGAATACAAAAAATGACATATAAATATAATATGTACACAGATTGAAATTATGAGTCAATTGAAGCTAGACCATCATGGAATGCCTGGAAGCACTGGACGGCCGTTTCGTCCTGACATGGGACTCCTCAGCAGTGCGCATCCACGATTCCGTACCCCACGATATTCGAACCTACGACCTATCAGTCTCGTACCAGGCGCTTAACCAACTAGACCACGGAGCCTGCCGACATACAACGGTGTTAATGTCTAACTTCAACCAATCCACGAAGTTGCGCCACCGTACACCATTGTCTTCAGTGAGTTGATATCTCACAACAGACCTGGTTGAACTCCACTGGTAACGGCTTCTCACTAGAACGCCAGAAGTATCTTAAGCGCCTGGCGCGAGACTGATAGGTCCTTGGTCAGAATCTCTCGAGGTGCGGGATCGTGGATGTGCACTGCTGAGGAATCCCATACTAGGACGAAACGGCCGTCCAGTGCTTCCAGGTTTTTCATGGTGATCTAGCTTTAATTGACTGATGATTTCAATCAGTGAAATTTCTAAAATCTCCACAAACTCCTTCTGATAATAATATGTACACTTGATACTCATACAGATAATTGTTAATTTAAAACTTGATAATTGATTGAAAGATCATGGATATGCATCGCTAAGGAATCCCATATAAGGACGAAACGGCCGTCTAGTGCTTCCAAATATTTAATTGTAATCTAGCTTAGATCAATTCATGAATTCAATGTTTAAAATATTACATTCTTTAAAAATCCCTCTAATGATTGATAATACACCAATATGTTTGTAGTTTAAACATGTTAGAGCTCAAGTATATCATAGACAATATTTCAAAAATTAACTTTTTGGAAGTATTATCAGAAAGGGGTTTTGTGGAGATTATAGTAATTTAGTAGTTGAATTCATAAGTCAATTAAAACTAGACCGTCTTGAAAAACTTGAAAGTACTAAACGGCTGTTTCGTTCTAGTATGAAAGTTCTCAGCAGTGTGTATCCACGGTCCCGCTTGTGGGATTCGATTCTGTGCTTCCAAGATTTTTAAACTAGCCTACGAGTTCATTAGGTATTTACTTACTTGAATCTTCCCATTGATGTACAGGACTGCAACTGATCAGCCTCTTATTGGTATATGTGCATACTGTGTGCATCGCCCCGATATTGCTTTAAATTCACATCAATTAGAAGATTCAGGTAAAGAATACTAAGTGAATTTAAACTTCACCCGATTACACAACCAGGTGACTATCAGGACTCAGTAACTAAGTGAATAACGCGATAGCGTTTGAAGCGAACGGTACTGGGTTCGAGTCCCGAAGTGAACACCAACTTCTAATGAGTCCGAAATAGGACGAAGTGACGCGCGTCCTGGATTCCACTACTAGCCACTATCCATCTTTGCTTATAGTCAAGGAATCATTGTTAGAAGCAAATATGGTAAAATTCCTTGATATTTTCATTGATTTACGAAAAATATATAAACACCATACATCAACCACACATCTAAACAGAATAAACATAGCACTCTATATAATATAATATAATAGTATAAGCTGGATGGTTTGGTCATGGAGCTTTCGTCATTCTTCTGAACGACATCATCAGCACAAACTTCAAGTAGAAGTGATGTGTTCGAACAAAACTCCATCAAAATCATCCACCTCAGCTATAAATCTTCTCCAACATCTCATCATATAATTCTATTAAAATGCAGTGTAGGCACAAGATACTGTTTTTTTATATCGTTGACTTATAGATAACATATTGTTATATTCGGACGAAGAATAAGTGAATGATAACCGCTAGGATCTATTTATGGATTATTATTATTATATGTATTCTTGTTGTCCCCAAATGGCCTGGTGGAGAGTCAGCTCTTCTTCTTCAAATGCTCTCATGTGGACACGTGCATACAACCACTGACAGGAAAGTCCTACTTACTATCTTCTCGTTCCGGTGGTATTGTTCACGAAATTGAGGGGGAAAAAGCGAATTTCCGGGTTAGTAAATACGAAGGATCCATCTAGGGGAGTTGGAAAACCCTCATTCCAAACCAATGGTGAACATGGGCTCCAGGAGCCTGAGAAAAATAAATGGCGTATGAATCAATTGTTGTTCGCCGGTTTATCATGGAACTGCATCCTTTGACGTTACTCCACTGACTTGTGGAAAAGGCCTCTAAGTCGAAGGCTCCGGGTGTGGACTCCTAAGAAAACCACCTCCTTCGGTCTGGGCACGCGGGCAGTATCATAGCCCTCACACAAATCAATGATAACTTCTACTGTCCCCATTGTTATTGTGTGGCGCATATGTATATGATACTTCCTTGTACCAATGTTTATGTGTTCGAATAAATAAATATCACTGTTCTAGTCTGAATCAATTGGGTTAGGCGAGAAGCTACTATCTCGGAGATTCAATAAGAACTCAAAGTTGACTCTAGGCTGCTCGTACTGGTTTATACTTCATTGACCTACTTAATAAGTCGATGTTCAGAATTGGTGAACATAACACTTGATAATTAAACAAGTCATAAAGACATTACACATACTACAAATACTTACTCTTTAGGACATTTAATCAATAAACGGAAAAATGAATCCAAGAATACTGGGAATTGATTTAAAATTTCAATAACATATCTTGATGATTTATTAAATATATCCATAAAGGTATTTACTGCTAAAATACGAAATTTCAATGGACTTTGATATAATAGATCCATTAAACGTAACAATCCCAAAATATCATATGAAGGACCTAAAAGTATTTAGAAAAATAAAACTTAATAAATGATTAAGAACTAATTATTTTGAGTTAGTAGTGGAATCTAGGAAGTGCGTCACTTCGTCCTATTTCGGACTCATCATCAAGCTCGATGTACCTGTATCTTAGACTTGTTGATGTTCACTCTGAGACTCGAACCCAGTACCGTTTGCTTCAACGTAGAAATTCATACGTACGTACGTACATCAGTTCGAGTTGCCACATCACATTAGCACAGAGATATAATTGTCGATTTAAATCCCGTACTGATAGAGGCGGTAAGAGTATAAGCAGTAATCAAAAACATTAGGGTTTAAAGATGTTATTTAAAGAATATAATCCAGTGAAATAAATTTGGAAAGAGAAAAAGAAAGGAATATGAGGAATTCAGAAGATTAGAATTTGGAAGGACACAAAAGGTTAGGGCACCTATGCCATTGCAAACGATTTTGAGCCATGTCATTCAAAGTCTCTAACCATCGGTTGCTATCATCTCACGGATCCCAACCAAGTAGTTTACACCTACCAACATGACTCAGTCCATTTGTCAGTGACTTCATGGACTTGTGCCATGTTTTCGTCTGGCCGCCCCTAGCTTTCTTCCAACCTACTCCTATACCATTGAACATCGCACGTCGAGACAGTCGGTGGTTTAGCATACGTAACACGTTTCCCAGCCATCTCAACTGATGAAGTTTTGTATCCTAGATTTCACTGCTAGTCACTATCCATCTTTGTTTATAAAGCTTGACAATTAAGGCGATACGCACAGGATGAACATATACCATTAAGAGACTGATCAATTGCAGTCTTAAACATCAATAGGAAGATTCAAGTAAACAATACCAAGTGAATTTGATAATTATTTTGATGAAGATTATGAACTAATCAATGTTAGAGAATCATTAAAATTCAAGAAGTATTGAACGACAGTTTCGTTCTAGCATGAGACTCCAAAACAGTCTGTACAATTCACATATGAATTCTGTTTGTTTGTTTTTACAGTGTGTATATTTTTTCATGACATGTTTTAGAGGAATATGATCTACATTAGCTCTTAATTTCATCAAATGACATTACACAGAAGTTTCACAATTTCCAGCTTCAATGCTGAAGCCTAGGATAAATACCAGAATCAGTCGAGCGATAAGGCCACTACAATGACACTAATCCAACGACTTCACTAAACCATTCAATCAGTAGTAGCGATGAGCGGTGTGTACAATGATACTGGATCTTCAATTTTTATAAGATTAGAGAAGAGGATTTTGAATCACTAATGAATAGTCTATACAAGTTGAAACAGTCCTATTTAGATAAAAAGATAATGATTTATCGTTAACTGATTGAAAAGTGGTATTATAAGCTAACATCACAAGGAGAAGCATAGAAAAAGCAGAGTATATTTGAAGAATATTATATTCAAGCTTAATTCCTATTGTATGCTTCGTTAATATGTACTTTGAGCTGAATTGGAAAATTATGCATTTGACACTATGTAAACCAAATTCCTGATTCTGTTGGAACGATTCCCGCTCACGAGATTCCAACCCAGGGCCTTCGGTCTCACGCGCGAACGCTTAACCTACTGGATCACTGAGCCGGCATCCAATTGTGATAGTGTCTAACGTCAACCAATCCACGAAATTGCTCGACCATCTTATATTGTACGGCCGTCCAGTGCTTCCAGGTTTCCAAAGGTGGTCTAACATCAATCGGTTCATGACCTCAATCAAAAGGAAATTGATTACTACGGAAGTACCCTCCTGTTGTTTTTGAGAGGTATCCCATTCCGATAATGATAAAGAAACTTCTTATGCTCCAAACTTAACCGGATATTTGAATGAGAAGACTGATAGTGAGAAGATAGATTTTTATCATAAAATAATCGTGGTTGGACAATCATTGGAAACTTCAGAGTACTGGACGAATGGTTTATTCCAGTACTGTACACGACTTCGCTACTGCGAATCAAACTCAGGACCTTCTGTTACACACTACTGACCCGAGATCCAATGGTGTATATGTTTAACTTCAACCAACCCATGATATTATGCGACTATTTACTACTGTCCTCGATGGGTACACACAAGAGAAAGTACAAGACCCTCAAATACAACATAGAGAACACTAGCTCAATCACACTTGATACAGAAACTCTGGAAGAGGTGGAAAAATTAACATGCCTCCACAGCATCATCGATGAACAAGGAGGATTTGATGCTGATGTAAACGCGAAGATTGGCAAAGTAAGGACAGTATTCCTACGGTTTAAAAACATCTGGAACTCAAAACAACTGTCAACCAATATCAAAGTCGCAATCTTGAATACGAACGAAAACATAATTCCAATGTACGGAGCTGAAAAGTGTATGACTACCACAACCACCATCAAAAAGGTACAAGTATTTCTAAACAATTGTCTGCACATGAAACTGAATGTCCGTTGACTGGATACCATCAGCAACAGCCTACTGTGTGAGAGAACGAACCAGCTTCCAGATGAAGAAGAAATTAGGAAAAGATGATGAAAATAGATATAACATACATTACAGAAATCACCAAACTGCATCACGACGAAAGCGCTAACTTGGAATCCTGAAGGGATACGAAAAAGAGAAAGACCAAGGAATACACTACGTTGAGAATAGAAAACAGAGATGAAAAGAATGAATAGCAACTAGAGACAATTGGAAAGGATTTCCTATGACAGAGTTGGATGAAGAATGCTGGTGGGTGGGATATCTTCTTTCATGAGGATTAACAGGCGTATGTGTGTAAGTTCTAGGTCATAGGATGCTGAAGTATATACGCAAAATAATTCAAATTAAATGATTCAACCACAATTGTTATTTCTATCCATACAAGTCTGTAGTAACAACAGAACAAAATCTCTCATAAGCATAGTATATGACAATCCAACCAACCTGGATAAGAGATTATAATTTTATCAAACAATCTTTTTAGTCGATATAATCTGAGTTGTTCGGAAAAACGATACAAACCAATGGCTCAAATGACCTGATTTCATAGATTATGTTAAAGAACAATGAATTTAAGCTGCATCAACAGCTTTTATTCCTTTGAAATCATGAACTGACACAAGTCAGATCATCATTGAAAACTTTAGATCACTGTAAGGCTGTTTCGCCCTAGTATGAGACCTCTCAACAGGGCGCATTCACCATCACGTATACGGGAATGGAACCGAGGAACTTCAGTCTCGCAGTTTTTTCAATATTCAAGACTTAATAACACGACGGTTTTATAAATCACCAGAAACATTCGTGTATTAATTAAATAAAATCAAGTAGTTGTTTTTATCCCAATATAATTCTTATTGCGTAAACATCATGAAACCAAAATTAAGATTCACAAAACGGGTTTCAAACTAATAACTGAATAAACAATGATGGATGGTGGCTAGAAGTGGAATCAAGGACGTACGTTTCATTCTGTTTTGGGAGTCGTCAACTGGATGTACCTGCATCTCAGAGTTGATGTCCACTCCGGGACTCGAACTCAGTACCCTTTACACTTCAAACACCATCCATCTGTACTTATAAAGCTCGTGACTTGAGGCAATATTGAAGAAGTCCGTACAAGATGCACATATGCTAACAACAGACTGATCAATTACAGTCGTACACAAAAATGAGAAGATACAAGTAAAACAACACCAAGTGAATTTAAACTTCACCCCATTGCACAACCAGGTGACTATCAGGACTCAGTACCCAAGTAAATAACACGATGACGTTTAGTACGAACGGTACCAGGTTCGAGTCCCAAAGTAAACACCAACTCCGAAATGTAGGTAAATCCAGTTGAAGAGTCCCAAAAATAGGACGAAACTCAAGTCCTAGATTCCACTGCTAGTCACCATCTATCTTTACTTATTCAGTTATGAGTTTGAAACCTGCTCTGTAAATCTTAGGTACTTTGATCAATACTTCACTAGTTTAGTTCGATTTCCAGTAAAGATAACAAAACAATGAATAAAGAAGATACATACCACGTTTCATTAGATCCAAGAATATTTTAACAATTTCATAATCTTGTAATAATATTAATATATTTGAATTATTATTATTCAATAATGAACTGAAACCATTCCAATCTTTAAGAAATAATTGTGACTTGTATTTATCCGTGACTCGATCAGATAAAGCTAATTTATGAATAAACTAAAAATGAAGATGAACAAATAAAGATAATAGAAGTTATATAGTGACTGGAACTGTTTCTATCTATCAGAATGGGTTTTGTGGAGATTTTAGAAATTTCACTTGTTGAAATCATGAGTCAATTGAAGCTAGACCATCATGGAAAACCTGGAAGCACTGGACGGCCGTTTCGTCCTGACATGGGACTCCTAAGCAGTGCGCATTCACGATCCCGCCCCCCGCGAGATTCGAACCCAGGACCTATCAGTCTCGCACCAGGCGTTTAACCAACTAGACCACGGAGCCAGCCGGCATCCAACGGTATTAATATCTAACTTCAACCAATCCACGAAGTTGCGCCACCGTACACCATTGTCTTCTATTTAGTCAATGTTGATGATATAACTTGGGAACATTCATAATAGAATAAATATATTGAGTTGATACTTGCTCCTTGATCTCTGAGTGATATGGATCAGAATCGATTACAATAGCGTCGGTGTATACACTCTCTGTCCTCCCTTAAACTATGAGATTGAAATTGCTTTATATCTATCTTTCTACGAACTGACGATTTCTTCCTATACTTTCTCTTTATATGTAATCTTTCTTTGATACATTACTATCATTAAAGTGATAACTTCTATGAATTTGGTGTTCATCTTGCTGTGGTAATGAGGTATGGTAATTTGGACTGATGCATATATGTGCCTGGTCATATACTGTAGCTGACTGACTGAGTTTTGCCTTTTTGAACTAGATTCTCAATCTTCAGTTGTTGTTATTGTTGTTGTTTTTATTCATGATCCAAGCTAACACATTAGTTCAATCCTTTCATTAGTGTATATATATATCCCAAGTTCTAAGATGAACGTGCTCTTTTCACATACCTGATAAATAAATGTGCAATGTGTTGGAATACTGCTCGAGAGCCCCCCAAATCGAAGCAAGTGGTTTTCTTAGAGGGCTACTCTTCGAGCCTTTGACCAAGTAGTCTAATCTACAAGGTAGTGGAGTAACGCTAATACATGCAGTCCTATGGTAGTCGGCGACTAACATTAAATCTTCTTATAATGCTCGTTAATGGACGTTAATTTACCTTAGACGAATATCTACACTAGATTCCCTCCCAGCGTCTATTCTACAGGATTTTAGCACAACTCAGATCAAGAACACGTGATTAGCCTGACTAGAGCGTAAATACATTTACACACCAAAAACCGACAACAATTCAACAACAATCAATAATAATAAGGATAGGGAAATATATAACTCATCTAACGCCTGTCAGACTATATATATAAGTCTAACTAAGCAAACAACCAATCATTATCATCTTCGCCCACACAGATTCATACTCCGTTTGTTCCCTTAGGATCCTGGAGCCAATTAGCACCATTTATTCGGAATCATGGTTTTACAACTTCCCCAAAAGGATCCTCTGTGTCCACCAACCCAGTTAAAGTGAGGAGCATTCGCTTTTCATCTTCTCAGTTTTGTAAACAACACTCCCGCCGCGAAAAGTCAGTGAGTAGGACTTCCATGACAGTAGCTATAGACGCGTGGTTATATGAAAGTGTTTCGCGCGCGGGGAAGAGAGAGAGAACTGACTTGTCTCGCTCTTGACCGTACCAGGGCATCACGATAGTGTCACTCAACCATCATAACATCAGACTGATACTTTCACAACTCTTAATCACTTAGTGATAGAATAACAATCAAGTAATAATGAATACTTCTCATAGCTTAGTAATGATTATCACAATCATAATAACTTTCTATGTATATCACTTACCTTTAATACTAATTTCTTAGTTTCAATATCCACTTGATAATTTGATCTAAGTAATAAACTATACAATTTTACAATTAAATCTGATTCATAAATGATTAATGTAAATGGATCATTGGTATGAGTTCGATCAAAACAATTATGTAACATAGTTATTACATCCTTTACCTAAAATTAAGAAATAAATATTAAAGGTTTGATCCCCCCCAAAAAAAATCCTAATCCATCTATAAAGAATCCCCTCCCCCGAGTAAAAAAGGAACAACTTGATATAGATATAGATGGCAACAAAATCAGACACTAAACTTCCTCATGACAACTCAGGGTTCAATAAATCTTGCGAGCTACTCGATGTGTATATATATGGATTGTATGAGTGTCGCTTTGTATAGTTGGTGTATGTAGGTAAATGGAAAGAGTACGAGTGCAGGCTCGCAACAGGACCTAGATCAAACGGTTGAAGATACAGTAGCAAATACTAGGGAATGAGGTGACCATCAATCCTTCTTGAGATCATTTACGCTAATGTATATGTTATGAAGTGCATAGATTAAAGTGCCAGTACCGGTGGTATGTATATAATACTTAAGAGACAATCAGTTGTAGCGAATACGTTCAAAGAGAGTGGTAATCATCTACCCTCACAGGTGGGAGAATATACCTATAAGTATGCTATGGAATGCATGCGTGAAAACGTGTATGTTACCGATGTGCATGTAGACTATACTTACTCCGGGTGAGTATATCTATGTGTAAGCCAAGGGGAGCTGGGTTAAAACTTATGTGTCATTGGTATGCATGTAGACTATAATTTCCCTCGTGTGATGTTCTCTGTAACGATTCCCCTACTTAATCAACTTCACGAGATGAGTTTCTGTGACTTAAAAACACGAAATTTTATCACAGAAAAGCTACAATGGCTTCACCAGATAAGGCTTCATCAACATTTAATAGATGAAAAATGTTTCATAAGGACATCAATTTGAAGTAAATGTTTATAAATCAAAATAAAACGTACGAATGGATAATAATAATAATAATAATAATAATAATAATAATTTCTAATCTCAACCAATCCACGCGCGAGACTGAAGACCCTGGGTTCGAATCCCATGAGCGGGATTGTGGATGTGCACTGCCGAGGAGTCCCACAGTAGGACGAAATGGCCGTCCAGTCCTTCCAGGTTTTTCATGATGGTCTATCTTCAATTAGTTCATGACCTCAACTATTAAATTACTATAATATTCACAAAACACACTTCTGATACTAATCAATATACTCTCACAAGTGACTGGCTTCAAGATGTATTTCCTGGAGTTCTAGTGAGAAGTAGTGACCGGTAAAGTTCACACAGTTTTGTTGTAAGATAGAAACTCACTGAAGACAATGATGAATGTGTCACACAATTTCGTGGATTAATTGGAATTAGACATTAACACCGTTGGATGACGGCAATTTTAGTGGCATAGACGTTAAGCGTTCACCCGCTAGACTGATAGGTCTTGGGTTCGAATCTCACAAGGCGGGCTCATGGATGCACACATCTGAGGAGTCCTACAATAGGACGAAACACCCATCCAGTACTTCTAGGTTTTTCATGGTGATCTAGCTTAACATGACTCATGATCTCAACCATATTAATATTATTATTATTACTATTATTACTGATTAATCCAACTTACCAATACCATAATTGGACAAGTGATAATAAAATTAACTAATTTAATTAAATCTTTACTTTGTGTCCTTGGCAACAGTTTCATTTCAATTAATTTACACATTTCTATTCTTATTTGATTTGATATTAATAATTCATATTTATCATTATTATTTATTATATTAGTAGTTAATGTAGGTAGTTTGAATAAGATATCAGTAGTATATGTTGTAGGCAGATCATTTAACCATGAATCTAAATGACTAGAAAAGAACGAAAATAATGATAATAATAAATTAATGATGAAGAAAAAGAAGAAAAAAACGAAAGAAATCTCGTTTGGATCTTGTCAACTTATGTTACCACCTATGAAGAAGGCGAGATATCTGTCTATCAGTTAAGAGATGAGTATACTGTGCAGCAGTTCTGTTGAGTCGGCTTTCCAAGAACTACAACGGAGCCTCCAGAGGCCCTAAAGGAGTCGAAGAATCCTAGTCAATCAGAGCATGATGGAGCCTTCTAGAATGTCAACGTGGGGTGATACTATTGATCAGTAGCATAATATGTCTTTTAGCGAATTGGCCAAAATATGATGTTGATTTAACCAAATGTTAACATCTATAAATACCCGTGTATTCTGTGCAAAAATGAACATTTGGATTAAAGTGTTTCTCGCTCATTTTGCGTCTTTTCTCTCGAATTCAGATCACTGCGTAGTTCTAGCTTGCGGGTTACCAGAAGAGCTTAGGAACCGAATAAAGCGTTCAAATTAACAAGACTTATCAAGTTCGTTCTGTTCTATTTTATGGATATAAAATGCGGCCATTGAGAGTAGAAGATATTCGTAAGCTACTAGTATTTGATCACAGACGTCTTAGAAATGTTGCTTGCATCTGCTGGGATAACCAGGTAAGTAATAGTGAGGTTAGATGTTAGGGTATTAGGGGATGATGGTAAGTCAGTTGATGAGGTTGTAAATCTTCATCGACTGAGATGGTTTGGCCATGTGTTGTGTATGCCTGAAATCCATTTGCCACGACGCGCAATGCTGAGTAGTGTTGGAGACGGTTGGATGAACGTTAGGGATGGTCGAACCAAAAACGTGGCATCAGTCATTAAGGTTACTAACTCTTAGTCTTAGCCATGTTGGTAGATGCAGACTACTTAGTTGGGGTCCACGTGACTATCGTAACCAATGGTTAGAGACTCTGGGTGATATGGCCCAGAATCGATCACAATGGCCTCGGTGTATACACTATCTCTTCCTTTAAACTATGAAATTAAAATCGTATTATATATATATACTGCTACTATCACTACAGATTTTCGTTTGTAATACACTCAGTCCTATAATAACTCAGATTTTATAATAAACAGAGGTCAATTGGGAAATTATTGTAAAATAGAGAACACCCAATAGCTTTAGATTCTCAGCTAAGAACTTATCGTTAATATGCATTCATAACAATCGAAATTTGATCACATTACAACTTATTAAAACATTTATATGAGTTTTTAGTATACTTGAATTAGCCCGGTCGCTAACCGAATCGCTCAGTCGTAACATTGCAATCTATGAAGTTGAATGACACTGGTTCAAATCGTAAAGACAGTATCAGTACCCGAAAGATTCTAGGTACTCTACAATGATAAGTTCTAGCTATCATGAATGAAACCTACGTCAAGTAGGGTTTAAAGCTAGCTACCTCATCTTATTTAACATCTAACCATAGTGTATATTTTGTTAAGTAATCTAGACTAATGTCCACATTACAACCGACAGGTATTGATAATTGATCGATCGCTAGGTGATGATTAATATCATGTATGTCAGGTCGTTCTTAGTGCAGATCGAATCCTATCGATCAAGTTGCAATGTGGCCACTAGTCTAGGTGATTCGACATTTCGTGTATTATGTTGAGATAAGATGATGGTTAAAGGTAGTCAACAACCACCATCGACAGGATTTGAACAGCAATAATTGACAAGCAAACATCGATCATTGATCAGCCGATGTAAATGATTAGTGAATTCATGGTACATACATGACGAAAGTCTTTTGAAAACTGAATGACACATCATAAAAAACACGCTACAAAATATTCGATCAGTTTTGAAATTACTCAAAATTACATGCATTCTTGATATGTCTTGAGATGAATACACTATTCGTTGATATAATTATACTAACATTAGAATTACTGCGCACAGTTTTAATGACAAGCATTTCTCTGAACTCCATATGAACCACCTTAAAGTTTTGTTCATATTTGAAATCTAAAATGACTGACGGATATAAAGCAGATTTGGGGTAAATACCATCGTCTTATTAAGAACTGAGCCTGGATCCCCTCTGTAGCTACTGCTAGTCCCAAGTCCGGATAAAGGAGGAGAGTTAGGCATAGAGTTAGCGACCATATCCCGTAGAAAGCTAACTCACTAAAACAACACTAACCAGAAAAAATAATTCAAACGATTGAAACTCTGCGATTGAAGTTAGAAGAGTTATGACGCCTTATAGTGAAAGCCGAGTTCCTTTGGAAGTCAAGAAGCTGATGCTCCCTTCTGACAATCAGAGCAACCATTATTTTCGTACAATTAAAAACTTCATAATAAGATTAAAATGTATATCACCACATATCGATTAAGATTATTACGCTAGTTGCACTGTCCCATACATCATAAAGTCGACTATGACAGTAATCCAAAACAAACCAAAGAGATCATGAACCGACTGATGCTAGACCACCATTGGAAATCTCGAAGCATCGGACGGACGTTTCGTCCTATTTTGGGACTCCTCAAGAGTGCATATCCACGATCACGCTCGCGGAATTCGAACTCAGGGCCTTCAGCCTTGCGCGAACGCTTGACCTACTAGACCACTCAGTCGGTATCCAACGATTTTAATGTCTAACCTAATCTTCCATTGTACTGAGGTAGATACCTGTCTCTACCCGACATGGGTTAGCTCCCCTGATCGCTGATCCTACGAGCGGGATTGTGGATGCGCATTGTTGGTGAGTTTCACAATAGGGTGAAACGGTCGTCCAGGTTTTCAATGGTGGTCTAACATCAATCGATTCATGATCTCGATCGAAAACTTACCAATCTCCACAACCCGATATGGACAAACTAAAGAATAATTTAGTTACTAAGGAATCTCTTAACATCCAATATATACAAACTTATTATCATTAAAAATATGATTTACTTATGATACTGTACAAGTGATCCTAATAATGAATCAACTGATAGTTCCTTTAATAAACTATTATAATCAATAACCAATTGATTTAATTTCTGTAAATGTAACATAATTGCTATGGAATTAGGTTTTGACCATAAATCCCAATCTAATAATAACTGACAAGCAAGATATAAAACATTTCCAGATAGTATTTGATTAGTTTGATTATCAAACCAATTTTGTATTGTATTCATATTGAATAAAGATTGTCTTTTACTAGGTAAATAGATAAGAACACGGAAGAGGTCATGAATTGTAGATACTACAAATGAATCGAAACGTAAAGGATGAAGCTGTTAAATAGAAAAGAAAACAAAAAAACATTATCAGTATACGGTTGTGAAGATTTTTAGGTTTTTGATTAAGATCATGAACCCATTGATGTTAGACCACCATTAGGCGTTTGCATGCGAGACGGATCGGTCTTGGGTTCGAAACTCGCGGGGCGAGATCGTGGATAATAGAACGAAACGACCGTCCAGTGCTTCCAGGTTTTCAGTGGTGGTTTAACATCAATCGATCCATGATCTCAATCAAAAAAATAATAATTTCAGTAAATTAATAAAATCAATACTTACTTTAAGATAGATTATATGTATAATGTACCCTGCTTCTATTTGGGCATCCAGGCAGTATCACAGCCCACACACAAATCAAGTGACTTGTGTGTGGCGCATATGTATTCGGTGCCCCATTTGTACCAATATTAATGTATTCAAATAATTAAATAAATAAATATTGTAATGGAGAAGATTTGCAACTTCGGTTGTTAGCATTGACTGTGGTGTCCTCTAAATTAGATGGCATATTTGTGGTATTGTCATTGTTATTTCGAACAATATTTTTAGTGCCTACATCATGTAGAAGTGAACTTTCCAGTTATTCTACAAATGGCGAGATTATAATCTACGAATAGGCCAATCAGAAGCGTTTGAGGGATTTCAAAGTCACAGAGCCGATTTCAGTACCTGATGCTTACGTATGATCGGTTCACAGAGAATTGTAGAGTAAACGAGATAATTGAACGACTACAATAAATGGAATTACTAAGAAATTCCTTTATTTGTGATTGTGATAATCACATGACTTGTGATGATGTTATCTTTCGATGTAATATGTGTTACAGGAAGAAGTCTGTTAGAATAGAGTTTTTTCACTCGATCTAGATTGAGACTAAGGTAAATTGCGAACTGAATAATAAAAGCACCAGTAACACTGGCTACAACCGGGTACTACAATATTCGGATGACTGAAGAACTTACAGACTCCTACACAGACTTCATTGTGTGCATTGCGTCGTTGTTCACATGAGGCATTTTGCGGATCGAACAACCGGAGCGCACACAAACAATATCTAAGCTATGTGATCGAGACTGAAATAGTTTTTGTGACCTTATCATGGATCCAGAAACCGACTATTATGGAACCATATGGATGAGTCCTTCTACCGTATGCATTACGATTTCAGAACTGCAGAGCCTTTTCTTTAGTTCAATCTTCTGCTAGAAAGTACTCAACTTTCAATTCCTGCTATATATACTACTTACATCTGTCCGTATAATTAGTATACACGGCAGTAGGATAAAAACTAATTCACATGATTCAAAACAAAATGTAGATAAAACCAAATATATAGAGCATCGTCAGTTAGTTTCATATGTTATAGATGTATATTTATAACTTGACAATTTTTATGAATTATGTTCACATACTACTTAAATGACTAGACAGTACTAACGTACCATTCAATTACTATTCAATGTAAATCAAATGTACAAGACTTAATGTATTCAGTGTATGTATTCATTCCTTTTATCAGTTTATTAGTAGTATAAATGGTATAGTTAAATACGTTTTCTTCCGTCATGGCCCCTAAATGCCCTGGTACGGCCGACAGTGGAGAGAGTCCGCTCTCCCTCCTCAAATGTTCATACATAGCTATGCATAAACAGCCACTGATAGGGAAGTCCTACTCACTATCTTATCGCACCACGGGCGTTGTTTACAAAATTGAGAGGACGAAAAGAGAATGTCCGACACTTTAACAGGGTTGGTGGATATGGTGGATCCATCTAGTAGAGTTGGAAAACCCTCATTCCAAACCAATAATGCACATGGGCTCCAAGATCCTGAGGAAACAAATGGCGTATGAACCAATCGTTGGGCACTGGCTACCATGAGACTGCATCTCCCTATGTTGCTCCACTGCCTTGTGGATTAGACCTTTAGGTCAAAGGCTCCGAGTATTCCGCGGCAAAGAAAACCATCTGCTTCGGTCTGGGCACGCGAGCAGTATCACAGCCCACACACAATTCAAGTGACTTATGTGGCTAACATGTATTCGGTGCCCATTTTGTGCCAATATTTATGTGTTCAAACAAATAATAAATATGTTCATTCATAACACGTGAATGGTAACATCTCTGGTAATAGCCCCTTACTTTGGCGAAAAGCCTATTACTGGTTAATGGTCTATGTTCAAACTAAGTTGACTAAAACAATCACAACTGAACAATCATTTAACTTGACATTATGCGATCATAGTGTAATGACGAAAATCGTTATATTTTGTCCAGAAATATCGAATGAATCTCACCAGTCAAATTATGATATGACCAATAAACCAAATGACTCCGAATTGCTATCCAATATGTTTGATGTTAAGGAACCGTAAAGTTTCAAATTGATTAGCATTAGTCAACAAGAATCGCCTGAGGAATCTTGAAAAACAACTGGTCATTTTCTCTAGATTTAAACCAATATCATTTAATGATGTAGTCAGAAACAATGAACAAATTATCATTAAGTTAAGACTTTGACTTTCAACAGTATAATATGGGCCAGTCTAGAAATAAACTCGAAGAGTGTTATATCAGTGATGGTTACATCCAGATTCCCGACTGTTGCTGCTACCTTGACGTGTTGGCCGGGCTTGACAATCGTGATGAACCAATCAAGTTATAACGGCTGGTCGGTTGAAGAACGATAAAACTAAAAGCGGCAAACCCAAGGTCCGAGGGAGAAGTCATACTGCTCACTGTTAAGAGGTGTGATAGAAGTAAGGTGTTTCCTTCAGACAACCAGCATAATAACAATCCTATCTTCCCACAAGAAAGGGTAGGGTTAGATAAGGTCGACCCCAAAATCAAACACCTCACTTTATCCCACGGATTTCCGTCTCCGGAGGTAAGGTTCCAATAAGTATGGAGCTAACACTAAAATCACCCACAAAAAGGTCGTGTGTGACTGACCTCAAGCAGTTGTCCCTTGGGCACTGTGGTCACACTCTCAGGTCACTAAGACTACCCCTAATCCAATTTTCTTTTCAGCTACCTCTTGAAGAACCCTTCCATGGTGTGGACAACCGGGAATTGATAACTACTCTCTTACCTCTAACAGCACTAAAGATCACTGTATTCATAATCAACTCTTATTGATCCCTCAACCAGATTATGTTAAGGAACTATTCTTATACTTTATAAATATTCACAAAGAAAAGAATACACAACACTTAAGTATAATAAAATATCTTCATTTGATATAAACCATTAAGATAATTTACCCACCTTTTTTAAAAGGTATAAAAGGGGTAATATAAAATCAGGAGATAAAACTTGTACACGATTTTCCGGCTTTGACACTATTAAATTACGAAGAATTAAGAGTAGATTAGCCAGACTACTATTACTCAATGTACTATCTATAAGACAAAAAGAGAAAATACAATGCATTGTATATATAGATGGATATGTATCCAATTCATGGTTATAATTGAGTCAAATGTTTGTATAAGGTTGTGGAGATTATTAAGTTATTCATTGAGATCTTGAACCGAATGATTTTAGACTACCATTCAAAACCTGGAAGCACTGAACGGCCGTTTCGTCCAACTGTGAGACTCCTCAGCAGTGAGTATCCACGATCTCGTCTCGCGGGATTCGAACCCAAGACCTATCGGTCTCACGCGTGAGTGCCTAACCACTAAACCACTGAAATTCTCGGCATCCAATGGTATTAATGTCTGACTTCAACTAATTCAAGAAATTGAGCTACCGTCCATCATTGTCTTCAGTGAGTTACTATCTCACAACTGACCCGGTTGAACTCGACTGATTCTCACTAGAGCTCCAGGAAATACTTCTTTAAGCCAGTCACTAGTGAGCGAACGTTGATTCATATCAGAAGAGTTTTTGTGGATATTATAGTAATTTTTTTACATTGTTGTATATTCAAATGTTAATTTGTAACGACTGATTCGTAGGCTTTTATTTATGTATCCACTAAAAATGTCTAATGTTGAATTAATTCAAATGTTATTAAGAACCCGAAAATGATATTTTTCATCCTTTTCTCAACAATATTTTGCCCCCAATTGCCCTGGTAAAGTCGAGGGTGGGGAGCGTCAGCTCTTCCTCTCCAAATGCTCTCATGTGGCCACGTGTAATACAGCCACTGGCAGGGAAGTTCAACTGATTGCCTTCTCGAGGCGGCGGTGATATTTGCGAATTTGAGAGGATGAAAAGCAAATTTCCGGAGCTTTAACTGGGTTGGTTGATATAAAGGACCTACCTAGTGGAGTTGAAAAACCTTGATTCCAAATCAATGTTGAGCGTGGGCTTCAAGTTCCCAAGATAACAAATGAATTATGAACCTATGGATGGTCACCGGCTACCATAGAACTGTATCGCTTAACGTTTCTCTACTGCCTCGTGGATTTGATTTCTCGGTCAGATTCTCAGAGAGTGACCCCTTAAGAAATCAACCTGTTTTGATTTTGGCGCTCGGGCAGTATTTCGGCCTTTACACGAAGAAATGATAACTACCACTAGCTTCATTGTTATTGTGCGGTGCATATGTATTTGGTTCCTCCTTGTACCAATGTTCATGTGTTTAAATAATAAATAATTGCGTTATATAACTACCACAATTTATTTTTCATTTAATCACTTAGAATGATACATAACTTTATCATAATAAGACATTCAACCTTCAGATTTCATCAGGATAATGTTCCAAGATTATTCATTAGCTAAATTCTAACAGTCGTACTAAATGAGTGAATGTCAAACGTTTATTCGAATTGGTTAGTTCTAATCATCTTGATACAAGTTATCCTATTAGCATAAAAAGGCGAAATTTAAAAGATAACTTCTGATGAGTCAGTCCCATACTAGGACGAAACAGTTATCCAGTAGTTTCAGGTGTTTCCATGGTGGTCTAACTTCAATTGACTCACGTATGCAACTATTAAATTAGGTAACTAATCACCGAAATGCATCTATATTCAAACATTAATTAAAGTTATACGTAAAATTATATTTTCATGAAAATATCTAACTACTGATCCAAAGCTTTTATAAGCAAAGATGGATAGTGGTTAGCAGTGGAATCCAGGACGCGAGACACTTCGTCCTATTTCGAACTCGTCAGCTGGATGTACCTGCATCTCAGAGTTGATGTTCACTCTGGGACTCAAACCCAGTACCATTCGCTTCAAACGCCACCTCGTTTTCCACTCAGCTACCGAGTCCTGTTAGCCACTTGCTTGTGCAATGAGGTGAATTGAAATTCACTTGGTCAATTGCAGTCTTAAACCTCAATAAGAAGATACAAGCAAAGCAATACCAAGTGTAGTAGTATGTAAACAGTCTCTAAAAATATCATTCCTAAAACTTCAAACTCACTAGATATAATTGAACAAAAAGAACTACTTCGTTCATCTTTTGAATTTGGTGTACTATTACTAGTACCATCAGTGCTAATTAACGAAAGAGATTTAGAACGTGGATGTAATTCACTTGACTCATTCAATGAAACATTATTAGATGTCTTCATGGAGACCATATCATGAGGTAGGTTATTAGTTTTTGTCATCTCATTATTGAACACAATATTCATATCATGAATATAACGTTGATATGCAAAGATGAATAGATCAGTTAAACCTATATCATCTGTTGATAAATATGTAGCATCTATAGGATACAATTTCTTCAATGAATTATCATAGTCATTTGTTGGAAAATATCGAAGTAATTTAAGAATTGGTAACAATACACCCATACCTCCAATTTGATTGATTGAATCCTTCAATACCCATATACAAAACAAAAAGATGAGAGAAATCATATAAATGATTAGTTTACTGTGATATACGTTAAAACAAGATAGAGAATCATTTGAAATGTCTAACAGTTTAGTATTTGAAATGAAAGATTTTAATAGTTGACAAGTACTGGATGGCCGTTTCGTCCTATTGTGGCACTCTTCAGCAGTACGCATCCATGATTCCACCTCACGAGATTCGAACCCAGGACTTATCAGTCTCGCATGCTTCCAGGTTTTCTATAGTGGTCTAGCTTCAATCGACTCATGATCTCAATTATTCAAATTACTATAATATCTACAAAACCCCTCTTTGATACTAGTTGATAAGTAGTTTAGTGACCAGATATCTGACTCCATTTAAATCATATTATGATGGTGGTCTAGCTTCAACTGACTCATGATCTTAACCATATTATGATAGTTGTCGATTTACGCATATCATCAATCTTCGTATACTTTATCGACTTGAATCGCATTAGTGAATAACGGTGAATCAGTAACTCAAATACAAGAATGAATTCTTGAATACGTCTATTTCGTAGAATTGATGATCGGAAAACAAAACAACTCGCGGTGGAGAAGCCAAGTAAGCCAACTCACTTTAATCAAACGTTACTCAATATTCATAGTAGAATTGAATCGAGGCAAAGAGAGGCAAGGTGAATAATTAACAAGGTCAAAAGTGACACAAGAAAAAATGAATAAATCAATCTGTCAGAAAGCTTAGAATAAGTTATGTGCGCTTGACATAGCAACTGACACTACAGTATAGTGAATATTACTAGAGAAACAAATACATATTTATCTATGAATATCTGAACAATTTAGCTACAATCATGATACTGTAATAAATCATACACAAGAATAAAATGGTGAACCATTTCCTACATAAGTGGCTCATGACAATATTCATTAATGTATGTATAGGTTCATGAGAATTACACCTTCTTGTTTTATCCGGAAAAGTTCAAGTTATGGGTAACTTCTTTATGTACTGTATAGGGCGGAAACTTGGAGAATTATGAAAGCCATCATCCAGAAGATATAAGTGTTTATTAACAGTTGTCTGCACAAAATACTTCGGATCCGTTGACCAGACACTATCAGCAATAACCTACTGTAGGAGAGAATATATCAGATTCAAGCGGAGGAAGAAATCAGGAAGAAGCACTGGAATTGGATAGGACACACATCAAGGATAACATCCAACTGAGTTACAAGACAAACCTTCACTTGAAATCCTTAAGAGTGAATAATGACAGGGAGACGAAAGAACAGGTTACGCCGAGAAATGGAGACAGATAGACATGAGAAGAATGAACAACAATTGGATAGAAATAGAAAGGAAGGTCCAAGACAGAGTGAGTGAGATGTAGAATGCTGTTCGGAGGCCTATGCACTATTGAAGGTAACAGGCGTAATTGAGTAAGTAAGTAATTCTGGAAACTATTTATAGACTATTACTATATTCCTTTCATTATAAGCTCCCATTTGCCCCACTGACTACTGTTATACGATTTAATATTCTTAATTTTGTTCTTATTCTGTTAGCTATGGTCTCCTATACACACAACCACTTTTGACTTGATCTTGTATAATGATTATATTTCATTTAATTGTGTAATGAGGTTTAGTCTGCTTATATATAAACTACGTATGTCTAAAATATATGATTCATATAGTGGAGGTTGATATTCGTATTCTGGAATGAACAACCAAGTCTAAGCGACAAGCTGCTTGCTATATCGAGTACCAATAAGGATTCAAAGTTAGCACAAGACAGATCATCCCGGTTAACGAGCTATTAGTTTAACACATAGACAAGGTTATATAAGTCGGTGTTCTAATTGATGATTTAGTCAGATGATATTTGACGAAGCTTAAGACACAACAGTTCCCTTCATACTAATTAACCTTTTGTAAACATCCAAAGCTTTCTGTTGATAAACTATTAACAAATTCTAAATCAAAACTGTACATAAAAATCTCTATTCAAATCTAAAGCTTTGTTTCATCCATTGACATTTAATCAATATTAACAATCTTGTTAAAAGGACCGTATAGTGTCGATAGCTAAGGTTAGCAAACTTTGGATGTTGACTGATCACTGGGTAGTGATCAATATCATGTATGTCAGGTCCTTCTTTCATGAAGATCGGATCCTATCGACCAAGTTGTAATGAAGGAAACTCTAGACCGGGATTTCATACTATTTGGCACTCGTCAGTAAGGTGTTTTTTTTAATTATTTTAACACATAGATATTGGTACAAGGAGGCACCAAATACATATGCGCCACAAAGATCTCATTTGATATGTGTGAGGGCTGTGATACTGCCTAGGTGCCCGAACCGAAGAAGGTGGTTTTCTTAGGGAGCCACACCCGGAGCAATCGACCTGAAGATTTGATCCACAAGGCAGTGGAGATGCATTCCCATGGTAGCCGGTGACCAACAGTAGGTTCATAGACCATTTGTTCCCTGAGGATAATGGAGCCCATGTGCACCATTAGTTGGGAATCAGGGTTTTCCAACTTCCCTAGGTGGACTCTTCATGTACACCAACCCGGTTAAAGCACCGGAAATTCGCATTTCGTCCTCTCAATTTCGTAAACAACACCCCCAACACGAGAAGGCAGTGAGTAGGACTTACATGGCAGAGGCTATATACGCGTGGCCATGTGAGAGCATTTCGACAGGGAGAGCAGACTCTCCCCATACTCGGCCGTAGCAGGGCATTTGGGGACTTCTTACTATTTGGCACTCGTCATTAAGGTGTATATGGTAGGCTTCAGGGAACTGGTGCTCCTTGAAGGTATTAATCCCGTGTCATCCACCCACATGTTAATGATTTGATTTCCTAATCCATTATATTTCACTGATAACTTTATGATAAGAAATTTTCAGAAAAATTCTAAAAAAACATTGAACATTATACCAGGGACGAATGACCTTCGTGGGGAAAAGGCGCCCGATTCAAAACAAAAACAAACTTACAGTTATTCGAAATGTTTCAAATCGTTTAGGTCCTAATATAGTTGCTGGTAAACCACCATAATTTTTACATTTATAATAAATATGTTTAAACCATAAATATTTATGATAAAAACTTTCATTAATTAATAAATATTGATTTTTTTGTTGACATGGTAACAAATGGATACATTCAAATGAACTAATTAAACCAAGATTTTCACTATTTAATTCTAAACATATAGAATTATATAAATTTACTGCTTTAGCATGATAATGAAATATAATTTTTGTGAAATGATTTATATTTCCAATAGAATCATCAGTATTAATACTACTGATATTGGTATAAGTAGTATTAGTATTAGTAGTAGTAGTAGTAGTAGTAGTAGTATTGGTAGTAGTATTGTTTATATTATAACATCCATTGTCCAATAGATATGTTAAATTACAAGGTCCTAGTAAAAAGAAAACAGTTAGATAAGGGAATAAAAGCGGTATGAATATCTTTATGAATTTAGTTATTATCATTATTGTAAGTTGGTATTCATTAAAGAAACAATGTCCCGGATTCGAACTTACAACTAGTACAAATTGAACAACTTGAATATGGTAGATAGTGAACATACTTTGTTAGAAATTATCATGTACTAAAAAGTAACAAGTTTACAATTGATTGATCACTGGGTAGTGATCAATGTTATGTATGTCAGGTCCTTCTTTAGTGAAAATCGAACCCTATAGACCAATTTGTAATATGGCCACTAGTCTAGGTGACTCGACATTGAATGCCCTATGTTGAGATAAGATGCTTGTTGAATGTAGTTGATAGAAAACCCCGAACCTAGGTTTCATACTACGTGGTACTCGGTAGCAAGGTGTACTTGTAATTTGAGGGAACTGATGCTCCCTGACGGATTCTATCTCATATCACCCAGTTTCACAGTCAGAGAGGTTAACACTGGGATATCCTAGCTGAAACTGACCTCCTGTAGAACTGAGGTGTATTTACGATTGATTGATCACTAAGTGGTGATCAATATCATGTATGTCAGATCCTTCTTTCGTAAAGATCGAATCGTATCGAACAAGTTGTAATGTGGCCACTAGTTTAGGTGACTTCAATATTGTGTGCACTATGTCAAGATAAGATGGTGGTTTGAGGTAGCCAACAAGTCCTTCTTAGAAAGCATCGGGTCTCTAAAGATTGCAGGTAAACTTTACTGACGAGTGCTTTGTAGTACCAAACGTAGATCCAAGGTTTACTGTTGATGATCTTCAACTACCATCTTAAGTAACTGGTTTCAAGTTGTAATTCCTAAAATTCAGATGGATATTACCAATGGTCTTATAGTGGTCTTGAATGCTGTTAGAGGTAAGAGGGTAGTTATCACTTCCCGGTTGCCCACACCATGGAAGGGTTCTTCTGGAGGTACCTGAAAAGGAAATTGGATTAGGGGTAGTCTTAGTGACCTGAGAGTGTGACCACAGTGCCCAAGGAACAACTACCTGAGATCAGTCACACACGACCTTTTGTGGGTGATTTTAGTGTTAGCTCCATACTTATTGGAACCTTACCTCCGGAGACGGAAATCCGTGGGATAAGGTGAGGTGTTTGATTTTGGGGTCGACGTTTTCTAACCTCACCCTTCCTTGTGGGAAGATAGGATTGTTATTATGCTGGTTGTCTGAAGGAAACACCTTACTGCTGTCACACCTCTTAACAGTGAGCAGTACGACTTCGCCTTCGGACCTTAGGTTCGTTGCTTTTAGTCTTACCGCTCTTCAACCGACCTGTCTGACATGGTAGGACCTACAGGAATGGTTGTTCCAGCCAGTATAGCTCGGTTGCTTCATCACGATAGGCAAGCACGACCACCACGTCAGGGTAGCAACAACGGTCGGGATTACCAATGGTACACTATAATCATCGTGTATCATTGTGAATTAAATGAGATTTTTACAAAAAGGGACAATATGATTATTGAGATTTACCCCTGTGACATTGAAGACAATAGCTTCACAGAGTAAAATGTAATAACTCCAATTTAATAAATGAAAAACAATATCATTATTGAAAAAATATGAATGACCCTGATTGACTCTCCATTAAGCTTCAAGACTGAATATAGCTAAGTAGTCAAGAAACATGAAGAACCTTCCTTTGAGTTTCCTCTTTCTAACCGATTATTCAATGATAATATTAATAATAATAATAATGATAATAATAATAATAATAATAAACGAAATACGAATTTCATAACACGAACACTTAACCTCTAGACCACCCACTAATGACAAGCTTCAAGATGGCATTCCTAGAGTTCTACCGAGAAGCTATCGAAATACTACAATCTCCACAAATCGCATCCCCCCTACTGTATGATTTCATGTAATTATCAGAGTACTTGCATACTTTTTCCCCATACATCGCATACTTTTATGGATTTAGTAATAGTTTGATTGATTGAATCAGATCTAAGATACAGACCTACCCAACTAACGAATCACAAATAAGACTTAATGCATATTCTTTCTAGACTCCAGTTTATAACCATCATATACTATCTAATCCAATTAAACAGATTACATAATAACTATATTAAGATACACTTGATGTTGTTTGGCTTGTATCTGAGTGGATAACGCGATGGCGCTTGAAGCGAATGGTACTGGGTTGGAGTCCCAGAGTGAACATCAACTCTGAGGTGCAGGTACATCCAGCTGACAAGTCTCAAATAGGACGAACCGCTAGCCAATATTCATCATTGCTTACAAAATATATTAAGATAATTGATGCAAAATAGCATAGAAACTAATTAAAATGAATCAATTTAATTACCATGTGAATAAACTTCTTGCCATATAATATCCGATAATGCTTCATTAAACATAGAACATGAAATTAATTTCCCTTGAAATGAACATAATTTTCCCCATAATAAACGTTCATTACCTAGATCCACTTTATGTATTTTACCAATTTCAAGTTGTTGAGAGAAAAGATTAAAGCAATTCTTTAAATTTTCTTGATATATTGATGAAATTGATGAAACAGATAAAGTTTCACGATTGATATATGAACGTTTATTCATCGTTTGTTGTTTAGATATAACAGCATTACGTCGACCAGTTCTAGAATTGATATGACATAATAATTTAGTGTAAGCAATTTGATCAACCCAATTTGGACAACCACCAATATGTAGAATGAATATATTCTATTTGGGAAAAATACGGAGAAAGTGAGATGAAAAAGAAAACTACTGAAACATTAGTCAGTAGTTTTGAAAAATTCAACTAAAAAAACAACCGGTAACTAGCACGTTATACAAATGAACAATCGATTGGCTAAATAAAGGATCAAAATTGGATAGAAACTTATCTGTATTGAATCTATTAGATGATTCTAATTGAATGATTTCCTTACTTACTTACTCAGTTATGCCTGTTAGCCACAATGGAGCAGAGGCCGCCAACCAGCATTCTCCAAACCACTCACTCTGTCCTGGGACTACCTTCCTAGTTCTATTCAATTGTTGTTTATTCTTCTCATGTCTGTCTGTCTGTCTTTATTTATCGGTGTAATGTGTTCTCCTTTAGCCTTGAGGATTCCAATCGAGGGCTGGCCTTGTGATGCAGTTGACTACTTTCTTCAATGTGTGTCCTTTCCACTTCCAACGATTCTTCCTGATTTCTTCCTCCGCTGGTTCGTTCTGATTTTTTCTCTCCTGCTGTAGGTTGTTTCTGATAGTCTGGCCAACGGATCCGAAATATTTTTTGTAGACGCCTATTAATAAACACTTGTATCTTCTGATTGATGGCTTTCGTAGTTCTCCATTTGTCCACCCTATACAGTAGAACTGTTTTGACATATGTATTGAAAAGTCTGACTTTGGTGTTGGTTGACAGACAGTTGTTTTGAGTTCCAGATGTTCTTTAGTTGTAAATATGCTGCTCTTGCACTGCCGATCTGCGCCTTCACATCTGCATCAGATCCTCCATGTTCATCAGTCATGCTGCCCAAATATGTCAAGGTCTTTACATCTTCCAAATCTTCTTTGTCAAGTGTGATTCGATTGTTGCATGCTGTATTGTATCGGAGAATCTTGCTTTTCCCTTTGTGTATGTTGAGACTTACTGCTGCTGAGGCTGCTGCTACACTAGTCGTCTTCTGCATTTATTGTTGCGTGTGTGATAGAAGAGACAGGTCAAATACGAGGTCTAGATTGTCCAGCTGCATCCTATCTGTCCACTGTATCCATGCTTACTATCAGATGTTGACGTCTTCATGATTCAGTCGATCATCAGGTGAAAGAGAAAGGGTGAGAGTAAGCAACCTTGTCTGACACCGGACCTTACTTCAAACGAGTCTATGAGCTGTTCTTCATTCACGGTTTTGTACATTAATCCATCATAAAAATTCCGTATGATATTGACTATCTTCTCAAGCACATCGTGGTGTCGAAGAAGCCTCCGTAGTGTTGTCCTGTCCACTCTATCAAATGCTTCCTCGTAATCAACGAAGTTGATGTAGAGTGATTAATTCCATTCAATCGACTGTTCCACAATTATCCGTTGTGTTACGATTCGGTCGGTAATTAAACGATTCATCTGTTGTCTACTAAACGATACAGTTGCTAATGATATAATAAGAAATATAGCAGAGAGGTTTGTCAGAATTATTGATTGTTATTTGTATTATGAAATGACCTATGTTAGACAAATACTGAAAACCTAGAAGCACTGTACAGTTATCCTGTTCTACTTTGGAATTCCTCCTCACCAGTACGCACTCAAGATTCCACAAAAAATTCGACCTAGGGTCTTAGATTTCGTGAACGACCTTTTAACCTCTAAATTAATGAGCCAAAACTCAATGGAATGAATTTAAAAAGCTAGTGAAGCAGTTACCCTTGCACTATTGTGAACTGATTGAAGTTAGGCTTATGCATCATTGTATGTCGCTTCAGTGATGCAGAGATAAGCACTCGCGCACAAGACTGAAGGTCTTGGGTTCGATAACCTATCGAGTTGCTGATACACTGATGAAGAGTCCCGTACTAGGAAAAAATGGCGATCTAGAGTTTTAAGGTTCTCAGTGGTCACTGGTTTTAATAAAATTTAACAGTCTCTACAAGCTCACGTACTAATAGCAACACAAGGTATTCAATTATAATGAGTAGTATTGTAAAACATGCACAAAAAGAGGATGAAAAGAAACAACATTGAATGACAATCCTCAAATGGAATACACAATCTGAAGCTAAATTACTCCCCCCCTTTTATTTTCCTCCGAATGATGTACTTGCAGAACCTACGGAATTGATGCTTCTCCTTAGACGTTTATCACTGAGATACAGAAAGATTATTGAATAATCTGAATTTTAGAAATCTAGAAATACCGAGAATAATGAATAATCAATCTCGAATTAAAGCACAAAGTTGAAACTAGATTTAACTAGTGACTGGCTTTAAGAGGTACTTCCAGAAGTTCCAGTGATAATCAGTGGCCAGTGGAGTTCAACCGGGTTTGTTGTGAAATAGTCACTCACTGAAGACAATGGTGGATGTGTCGCTCAATTTTGTGGATTAATTGGAGTTAAACATTAACACCGTTGGATTCCGGCAATTTCAGTGATATACAAGTTAAACGTTTGCGTGAGAGACGGATAGGTTCCGGATTCGAATCTCGCGAGACGGGATCGTGAATGCGCACTGCTGAGAAGTCCCATAATAGGACGAAACGGCCATCCAGGAAAACAATCTCTGAAACAAGGTTCCATACGAATTATCACTCATCACAACTGAGATAGTGTTACTTGTATATCATGATAACCAGTTGACAGCCACCTTAAATTGAATCTAATAAGCATTAAGAACCGAACAGCATGACATCATTGAAATAGTTGTAAGAGACCTATTTTTATGTTTGAACCAGGTGTCAATGATGCTTTTTAGAGTAACATGAAGCATTTGTAACCAGATCAACTTGATTAAATAACTCACATATGTCGCATGGCCTGTCAAATATCATGTAATAAAATTGCTAGTCAGAATATCAACTTCCATGACATTATCCCAGTGGTAAACCAACGATTCATCAACCAGCAATAGAAGCCTTGAGTCAACTCTGAATTCTTATTGGTACTCGATATAGCAAGCAGTTTGTCGCTTAACCCTGCCCGTCCAGCGTAGAATACAAATATCAGTCTCTACTGTATGAAGCATATATTTTAGACATACGAAGTTTATATACAAGCAGACCAGTCCATTTTTTCTGTGTGACTATAGATATTGATTAACCCTTAGTTAAAGAGAGCGGAAACCTGGAGAACTACCAAAGCCATCATCCAGAAGATACAAGTTTTTAAGAGCAGCTATCTAAGCAAAATACTTGGGATACGTTGGCCAGACAATATCATCAACAACCTACTGTGGGAGAGAACAAATCAGATTCAAGCGGAGGAAGAAATCAGGAAGAAGCATTGGAAGTGGATAGGACACATATTGAGGAAAGCACCCAACTGTGTCACAAGGCGATCCCTCACATGAAATCCTCAAGGCCAAAGGGAAAGAGGAAGACTAAATAAGAACACATTACACCGAGAAATGGAGACAGACATGAGAAGAATGAAGAACAATTGGACAGAAGTAGAAAGGAAGATTGAGGACAGAGTGAGTGGGTTGGAGAATGCTAGCCGGCGGCCTATGTTCCATTGGGAGTAACAGGTGTAAGTAAGTTTGTTAGTTAAAGAGAGTTGGCTCACATGCCTTCTCCACTGAGCGTCGTTTAGCTCTCTTCTACTATTCCTTCGCTACATCTCTCTGATTATCTGTTTCGATCAACGTTTGTACAAAATATATGTATTCAAAAATCTATTCTCTTATTTGACTTATTTAATTCCGTTATTCACTAACGCTATCTAATTCGATAACTATATACGAGGAATGACGATATGTACATTTCAATAGCAATCAGAAACGGTCAAACTGGAGTCAGATCCTGGGCCATTAAAAGTTATATAATAATCATACAATACGAATATATATATATATATATTATAATAGTCCGTTTCTTATTTCTTAGTCGATCCTGACGATGAATATTAAGCGATCGCCAGTTACATGTTAGCAGTTCAGGAATCAACATTTGAATAATGTACATTGTTTTCCATATGATATTGTCTGCCAGACACCACGATGTCTCTGATGATGATGATTGTACTTTATTGTAAGTTGTACAAAGAAAGATCGTAAACTTTTCTTATAAACTCACTTGAATAGGTTATACGGTTAATAAACATAATGATGTGTTCAAACAAACAAAAAAACAGATAACTTGTTGAAATATCTGGATGACAGGAACAGATAGCCCAGATATTCAAGAAGGCCATCAAAGTATGACTACTGGGAAACTGTTTCTTACATATCATAGTTTATTTGTTTAGCGAACGAAATATGGTGTGACTATAATTTATGAACAAACCAATCATGTATAAGATAACAGATCTCGGATTTTGGCGCGATATTCACTTATCTATTTGACTAAATAGAGTTTTAGTATTATAAATGATATCAGTTCGTGATGTAAACTCGAAATCTAATTCCTTCCTCACACAGGTTTAAAAGCTTCGTTTGATACTGGTTACTAGGTGAACACTCTCAAGGTCAATCTGGCGTCACTCAAAGGTCATCCATAAATTATAGTCTTACCCAAAACATTATAATATAACATAGAATCAATAGAATCTATAGGCATTGAAATGAATATCTTCAACTAGTTCATAATTAACCCAAAAGACTAATTTCTAATCATAATCCTTAAACTAATTCTATAATATGCCGTTTCGTCCTATTGTGGGACCCCTCAGCAGTGCACATCCACGACCCCACTCCCTGCGAGATTCGAACCGAGAACCTACTGGTTCCACGCGCGAGCACTTAACCACTAGACCACTGAGCTGGCACAAAACTCATCTGATATTAATCAACATATGCTCCACTAGTGACTGGCTTCAAGAGGTATATTCTGGAGTTCTTGTGAGAAGTAGTGACCAGTGGAGTTCAACCAGGTCTGTTATGAGATATTAAAGATTCCCATTGTGAAAATTAGAACAACACATATAAGCGAACAATATTGTTTTCAATTAGATCGTCATCAGGCCTTTACTCTAATATACATGAATATTTATACGAAAATTTTTAAACCAATCAAGGCAATATGGGTCAATAATCACAATGAAATAGAATAAGTCACTACACATAAAATAGGTAAAAGTACAAGTTGATAGTAGTACGAAGACAGGTGAACAGATAGTGGTAAGAATAATAAACTACAATAACAAAGCTCTTATCAATAGTTAATCGTTGGCAATAGAAGGTCAAATAAACATGGGTAAATAGACTAGGAATAGTAATCACAAAACATTAAAAATCATTACGTAATAAGATGTGTGTAAATAATTCGATAGTGAAGAATACAAAGAGGCGGATAATGACAAACAAATAATGGATGTGGAAATAAGGTTAACAATAACACAGATAGAATAAAATAAATAATGATAATAATAAAATTCAAAATAAAAATTGTTAGTTAAGTTATAACTGGCCATGGAAGGGATAGGGGAGTCACGTATTTCTTCTGTACACATAGATTGGGGTTATATGTACGAATTCCAATGGCTTCAGCTATATATAGGAGACGGGAACGGATTCCGTCGGGAAATGATGGAGGTATACGATAGATAACTCGAAATGATTTCGATTTCTCTACTGTATGACCGCTATCAATAAGATGTGCTAGTATAGAACTGCGAATAGTTTTTCTCTGACCCTTTATGTACCAAGTTGGTAGATGTTCACTCATTCGTTGGTTAAGTTGCCTGGTAGTACGCCCTATATAGCTATCTCCACAGGAGCAGCTGAATTTGTAAATGCACATGGAAGAGGCCAAATCAGGTAACTTATCCTTCGTTTGAGTAGACATCGCTGGTCGACAAGAGAAGGTCAACGCAAGATTGGCTGCGTAGAATGTCTTGGTGATTACTTTGGTTAACCTATATTTCAGAGTGTCACTAGCCACATCCCCGTTGAATTGCACTTTCATGTATAAAGGTTTCTTACGAACAGTCGAAATCTCCGACTTCTTTATTATATCCTGCATGTATTTCTTGATGAACGCGCTGGGGTAGCCGATCTCGGTCAGTGAGTTGTTGAGAAATTCAAGCTCCTGACTTAGAGTGTCTACTGTACAGATCTTTTTTGCTCTGCTCGTGAGACATCTGACCAAATTTCTCTTGTACCGGATGGGTGTGAAACTGCAGAAGTGAGTATATTGACATGAAGAGGGGTTTCTTCTATACACGCTTCTACTTAATGTGCCGTCACTTCGTCTGCTTAGCGTGACGTCAAGGAAGCTCAGCTTCTTATCATGCTCGCTTTCACCAGTGAAGGTGATCGCTGGGTGAACACTGTTGAATTGGTCTAGGAGTTCCTCTTTACTAGTGTTTTGGTCTACGATAATGAATGTGTCGTCAATGTATCGGCAATATAAATCCAGTTTCTTAATAGTCTCATTGAGAGGTCCGTTTTCTAGCTTTGCTAGGAAGAGGTCAGCTAAAATCGGGCCTAGAGGCGAGCCCATGGCTATCCCGTCTATTTGTCTATAGTAAGTATTGTTGAAGACAAAATGTACATTCAGAGTGCATCTTAGGAGCAGTTCCCTTAGGCTATCGTTAGGCAGGCCAACGTTGATATGTTTCTTTGATATTTGCTTGCATATAAAATCAATAGTCTCTATAAGTGGTACGTTGGTGAACAAAGATTCTACATCCAATGAGATCATATTTTTCATACTGACATTAATATTTTCTACTTTGGAGATGAAGTTGAAGACATCTTTTACACTATTTCTAACAACTGATTTGTGTAAAGGTTCTAGGATTCGTACTAGCCACTTTGCGATTTTGTGGTAAGGAGAATTGTACATATCTAGAACTGGGCGTAGAGGAAGACCCGATTTATGTACTTTAGGCAAACCATACAATCGTGGTGTAAATGATCCAGTCGGCTTAACTGAATCGTAAATCTCGGTCGTAATTATTCCCTTTTTCGTTAGATCTTTAAGGAAATTGGCCAATTGTCTTTCTACTTTATTATTGATGTCACAATTACTAGTAATTATCTGAAATTTGCTAGGATCGCTAAGCATTGCTTCCATTTTTCCCATGTAATCATTTTTGTTCATGAGAACTATACTTCCTCCTTTATCTGGTTTGGTTATGGTCAGGGTTTCATCTTTTCTTAGTTTCATTAAAGAGTCACGGTGCTGCTTGGTTAGTAGGTGATTTGTGGTACCCTTACTATTCTTGTATTGTTGGCAGCTATCAACTAGTGTGGTTTTAAACCGAGCAAGGTCATCCAATGAGGTAGGAATCAAGTCAGTTGTTTGTGAAAATAAATTCTCAAATTGTACATCAGTATCTAATTGGTTGATTCTATGTCTACTATCACAGAATTTAGGTTTAAAATTTTCGTATAAATATTCATGTATATTAGAGTAAAGCCTGATGACGATCTAATTGAAAACAATTGTTCGCTTATATGTGTTGTTATGAGATAGTAACTCAGTGAAGACATTGATGGATGTGTCGCTCAGTTTCGTGGATTAGTTGAAGTTAGACATCAACACTGTTGAATACTAGCTCAGTGGTCTAGTGGTTGAGTGCTCGTGAGCGAAACCATTAGGCCCTGGGTTCGAGTCCTGTGAGGCGGGGTCATGGATGAGCATTGCTGAGGGGTCCCACGATGGGACGAAGCTGATCCCCAGTACTTCCAGGCTTTCCATGGTGGCCTAGCTTCAACTGACTCATGATCTTAACTATTGGAATTACCATAGTATCCACAAAACCCATATGATATAGATTTTATAATATTTAAAATGACAAAATTTAAGCTACTTTTACGAAATTCAGTAATATTCTCGATTATGTTTCAGTTTTCAAAAATATCAGTTTCGGTTTTTATAATATAACTAATGAAAAGATTATGAACAAAGATGAATAGTGGTTAGCAGTAGAATTCAGGGTGCGCGTTTCGTCCTTTCGGGATTCATCAGCTAGATGTACCTATATTCCAGAGTTCATATTCACTCTGGTATTCGAAGTCAGTATCGTTCACTTCAAACGTTATCATGTTATTCAGCTAGCTACTGAGTCCTGACATCCATTTGTTTGTGCAATGGGATGAAGTTTTCCCATCGACGTTTAGGACTCAGTAGCTAAATGTGAATGCCGAAAACAATTCTAGTATTTGGATTTGAGAATAAGGTAAATAAACAATGGGACAGTTGTAAACAGTGTATCCTGACCTTTCCTGATTGTCCAAGGGAAACATTTAATTGCCATCAAACAGTCTGCAATGTGACTTGCCCTCAAACTAAAAACTTGATTCTTTTAGTCTTACTGATCCCCAAAAAAGCTTATCTGGTGTGGTAGGTCCCAAGGGAACGGATATTTCGAGTGATATAGTTCGATTTGATTATTACGATATCCGAGTCCGATCACTATATCAGTGTAGCTGTGACGAAGAATAACTTTTTTTTAAAATAATTTCTTCTCGTTAGCGTTATTTTGGTGAGTTAGATTTCTACGGAATAAGGTCGTTAACCCCATGCCCGACCCTCCTCCTTTATTCGGACTCGAGACCGGCAGTTGCCCGAGAGGGGGTCCAGGCGGAGCTGTGACGAAGAGGAACTTCATAAAAGTGTGTTCTCAAAATTGCATGCGAGATAAACAAATGAATTCTAAAAAGCATAAAACTTGGGTTATGACCATTTTAAAAATCTCTCCTACTTGATCAACAGAACTTTCAAAATGAAATAAATTGAAGGAAACACTTACTCCATTTATTTGTGGATGAGGAAAATCCCCAGAGTAACAAAGATTACCATCTATAAAGACTTTGAGTATAGCTTTGGTAACTAAAAGACGACGGGTATGACAAAAGACAACTGCAACAGAATGCCATTCACATGGTGTTAATTTATCTGGCCCACATGTCTACAATTAGGACAGTTAAAATATATGAAATTGAAAATTAGTATTGAAAAAAGTAATGTGCTAAAGGGATAAAAATCATGTGTCTGATGTTGATTCACTAATATAAGGGTTAGTTGGATTTAATGAGTTTACGTCCGTGATATGTTCAAGATATCGTCGTCGTTCCCGACCGTTGCTGCTACCTAAACGTGGTGGTCTGGCTTGACTATCACGACAAACCAGTCAAGATATACTGGCTGGAACAATTGTTCCTAAAGGTCCTACCATGCCACGCAGGTCGATTGGAGAACGATTAGACTAAAAGCAGCAAACCCGAGATCCGAGTGAGAAGTCCTACTGCTGAATGTAGAGAGGTGTGACTGCAGTAAAGTGTTTCGTTCAGCCAGCATAACATTGATGCTGCCTCTCCACAAGGAAGACCGAGGTTAGAATAGCCCGATCCTAAAAATGCACACCTCACCCTATCGCACGGATATTCGTCTCCGGACATAAGGTCTCAACAAGTATGGAGCTAACACGAAAATCACCCACAAAAAGGTCGTGTGTGACTGACCTCAAGCAGTTGTTCCTTGGGCACTGAGGTCACGCCCTCAGGTCACTAAGACTACAGTCCACGAGTGGACTCGAGGAAGCTGTAAGAAGCTCAAAAAGAGCCAAAGATATTTCGTCAAATCATCTTTGGAAGAATATACTAGAATCTCTATGTAGAGCTCCGTGATTGTACATTGCTAATAACCCCTTGTGTGCGAACTGGATAGCTATAATTAGGATTTCGTTTTTACTAAAAACTATAAATACCTAACAGTTTTTGTACTGTATTTTGACACTGTTTGGAATAACATTCCTTTCATTAGTCTTCTGTCTTCTCATTTGAGACTTGGAAGGATTCTAGCGTTCAAGTGCTCAAGTTATACGCGTCATATCAAGAATATAAGCTCTAATTATAACAGGGTACAAAAAATCACTTTATATACAAATTACAACTGTAATTCATATTCTTCTTTAAACAGACATAGCGGAGAAATAGTTGACTATTTAAAGTCTGCCAATGCAATAGTCAATGTAAAAAGCTCAACAGAGTGTTAATGAGACTATATTACAGCATGTACTGTTGTTAACCAAACAAATGAATGTAAGGCAATTACAAAATTACAAAAATCAATTTAGAGATTTGAAGATTGATGAAGTTCCTTGAAATCATGAACTGATCAATGTTAGACCACCATTGAAAACCTGGAAGCACTGAACAGTCGTTTTGTCCTAGTATGGGACTAAATAGATTGATCGAAGTTAGGCATCAATACTGTTGGATGCTGACTTAATACTCTAGAGGTTAAGCATTCGTATGTGAGATTGAAGGTCCTGAATTCGATTACTTTTGTTGGAGGAGTATAGATCCACCTTGGTCAGGAGTCCCATACTGGGATGACATAGACATCCAGTGCTCCCAGGTTTTCAATCGTGTTCTAAAATTGATCAGTTAATAGTTTCAATAATAAATAAAAGTTAGCAAAGAACTGAACAATTGAATACACTGAAAGGATGAGACAAGGTAAACTATTTGATAATATATATTTGATCTAAGGTGATCCAAGTAAGTCATCCAGAAATTATTCAAATCGCCTCTGAACTCTTACCAACTAGATAGTTTGCATAATGACAAAATATAGATAATAGGTGATTACGAAATTATTCATTTTATAGCGGAATGAATATTGTAGAAGTTGGAACTAGTTTCCAAATTATTGTTCATTTTAATTTGTTGTATAGTTACTAAGTGGTTAGAATACTTTGGTTATGCATTCCTTTTATCATGAGCTCTTCATTAATGTACTAACTACGATTACACATCATACTTACTTATCTTCCTATTCATGATACTCCTTGCGGAGGAGCATAGGTTGCCTACCAGCACTCTCCATCCAACCCTGTTCTTGGTTATCCTTCCCACTTCTTATCAGTTGTTATTCATCCTTTTCATATCTGCTTCTATTTCCCGACGTAATGTGTTATCTGCCCTTCCTCTTTTCCGCTTCCCTTCAGGATTCCACCTCCGCTCGTAGCTCTTCTAGAGTTACTGCCGGTCCAAAGCCCGGATAAAAGAGCAGGGTTAGACATGGGGTTAGCGACCCCATCCCATAGAAAACTAACTCGCTAGAAAACGCTAACCAGAAAATTATACGTCTTATTATTACTATTTTATTGCCAGTCAATAAGTTACAGTCTCTCCTACTCACAAACACATTTGTGATCTGGTCTAGTTCGTCAGTATATAAGCCACATCTGTTTGAAATATAAATATTATAGATGCTGATTACTACTTCTGGACTCAAAAGCTTAGCATAAAGAAGAGTTAGCGTATAGCTGCCTAATATGGAATTAGATATCAGCTCAGTATCAATACAGCTGAATAGGCGTATAATCGGTCAAGTTAGATACATAAAGCTAATCAACCAAATTAGAATCAGGATTCGAATCAAGGATAATCACATTAAATCAATACATCATTTGAAATAACTTACAACAACATAATTGAAACCTTCTTGTGTTGATACAGCAACAATTAAATAACCATATTTTGTCAAAAATATCTCTAAACCATTTCCATTTGTACATAATAATCTGAAAAGGCAGTATCGTTTTGGATCGATTGTTTGAAATGGATCACTAAGTGAATTATCATTATCAGTTGATTGATTATTAATCGATAACCAAAAATGTAAACTCATATCAGTTGATAATGGATTAATGGATGTAAATGAGTTTTCAAAAGTGATACTGATATCTTGATCACTAGGGGATATAATATACAAGAAAATAATATTGGTTCAAGGTTAATAATTAACATAGAATAGAATAGAACAGAGATTAAACGTTGATGCACGAGACTGATAGGTGCTAGGTTACAATCTCAAGGCGTGAGGTTGTGGATGTGCACTGTTGAGGAGTCCCACACTAGGACGAAAATGCCATCCAATGCTTCCTGGTTTTCCATGATGGTTTGTGTATGTATGTGTGTGCAAATAGAAAGTGCCTTGTAAAATTAATAAGCTAGTAATGGATTATACTGTGAATGAAGTAAGATGAATAAAATGTTTTTATCAGAATGGGAGATTTGTGAAGATTGTAGTTATTTTAATATTTGAATTCATGAGTCTGTTTAAGCTAGATCGTCATTGAAAAACTGGAAGCACTGGACGGTCGTTTCATCCTAGTATGAATTCAACTATTAAAATTATTACGATGTCCACAACTCCCCATTCTGATAGTAATCATGTACTTACTAGTGACTACCATCAATATGGATTTCCTGGAGTTCTAGTGAGAAGCCGTGACCAATGGAATTCAATCCGTGTTGGATGTGTGACAGTTATCCACATCAGACAATAGATGAAATGTTACGTAATGTCACGGATCGATTGAAGTTAGACATTAACATCGTTGGATGCCAGCTCAGTCGTCTATAGGTTAGGCGTTCACACGTGGGACTGAAAGTCCTGGGTTTGGATCCCTTTAGTTTGGGATCGTGGACATGCACTGCTGAGGGGTATTGAATTCTACATTACTAAATTCAACATATCACGACATGATTTCTACAAACAACAAACAATTTACATGCTTATCCTTGTTTAAGGCTGTTAAGTAGTTGAACTGATCAAACTGAACAAATACTAGTATAGGGTTAAGGAGATTACTAAGTTATCCATTGAGATCTTGAACCACCACCATTGGTCACCTGGAAGTACTGGACGGCCATTCCGTAATATTGTGGGACTCCTCAGCAGTGCTTACTCCACGATCCCGCGCCAAAAGGATTCGAGACTACGGCCTTCGGTCTCGCGCGCGAACGCCTAACCTACTAGACAACTGAGCCGGCATCTAACGGTGTTAATGTCTAACCTCAACCAATCCACAAAACCGCACGACCATCTTCCATTGTACTGAGGTAGATACCTTTCTCTACCCGACACCGAGTAGCGATGCTGAGGAGTCCCACAGTCGGACGAAACGGGCGTCCAGTGCTTCCAGGTTTTCAATGGCGGTCTAACATCAATCGGTTCAAGACCTCAATCGATAACTTAATAATCTCCACAACCCTATACTGATAATTACTATGTGCTCACTAGTGACTAGCTTCCTGAGGGAATTCTCGGAGTTCTAGTGAGAAGCCATGACCAACGGGATTCAATCCGTGTCGGGTAGAGACAGGTATCTACCTCAATATAATGGAAGATGGTCGCGAAATTTCGTGAACAAATACTAAGCGAAGTGATATTAAATCGAAGATATGAACCATTGTTTGGAAATATTGTATTGGTGGGCGCGGGAAAAAAGGTTTGAATTATTTTTTCTGGTTAGTGTTGTTTTAGCGAGTTAGTTTTATATCGGGTGGGGTCGCAAACCCTTTATGCTCAACCCTCCTCCTTTACCCAGGGGCTTGGGACCGGCAGTAACTCTAAAACAGCTACAGGCGGTAAAAAAAGGATTAGTATCAAACATTCATTTTCTCTAATATATATGTTTCGAAAACATTCCACTTACTATTTTAAATCTCCTAATTCCGGTCCAACTGGTAAAACAAGAAGACTGTCTTGTGGTTGACTAAATTGAAACCAATAGCCAGAACTTGGTAATGGAGTTAAATTCAACTGAGTTTTTTGTGTAATTTTTACAAGTATCTAGAAAGTAGGGGTTTTTTGAAGAAAAAAACGTCTATAGGAGTTGTAAAGTATAATTAAATTTCAACAGTCGAGATCATGAGTCATTAGAAGATAGACCACCATTGTGGGACTACTCAGCAGTGAGCATCCACGACCCCGCTCACGGAACTCGGATTCGGGGCCTATCAGTCTCGCGCCAGGCGGCTTAACCAACTAGACCACTGAATTTGCCGGCATCCAACGGTGTTAATGTCTAACTTCAACTAATTCACGAACTTGAGCGACACATCCACCATTGTCATCAACGAGTTACTATCTCACAACTGACCCGGTCTAGCTTCAATTGACTCATGATCTCAACTGTCGAAATTACTACAATCTCCACAAAATCCCTTCTGATATTATTAAATTATTAAATATGGTAAATAGTTATAAGCAATGATGGATGGTGGTTAGCAGTGGAATCCAGGATACGCCATCATCCATCATTGTTTATAATACTTGTGACTCAAGTGAATATCGTGGTTGTCTGCACAAGATACACATATGCCAATAAGAGGTTAATCAAATCCAATCCTAAACAATAATAGAAAGATTCAAACAAGCTATACAAAATGAATTTAAACTTAACCCCTATTGTACAAACGAGTGGATAACGCGGTAGCGTTTGAAGCGAACAGTACTGGGTTCGAGTCCCAGAGTGAACATCAACTCAGACGCAGGTACATCAAGTTGACAAGTCCCAAACAGGAAGAAACGCTCGTCCTGGATTCCACTGCGAGCCACTATCAATCTCTGATTAGATTCCTTGTGAATTAAGGCAATATTGAGGCATCTTATTAAAATCTGAGAATCACTTGTAAACTGTCAATTAATCATCTCAAAATTGACTGCTCCTGCATTTCCACATCAATTACTTTCTATCCCTGTTCTTTCCTTCTCGATCTTCTGCCGCCACATATGCTATTCCTGATTAAAGTTGTATACTACTTATGTCAATATAAGTAGCACACATTAATCATCGGTTACTTAAATTATAATTTTTATTATTCGCAATAAAATAAAATCTATTTTGATAATATGAGCTTACTTGTAGTAATCTATTACAAAATAATCTGACAGATTCTGAACGAAACATTCTTAGAAAATTTGCAAGATCTGGAGCAGACATTGAAAATTCTCCTAAACATTGAAGTATGGTTAAAAATATATTGAAGATTTTAAGTGTTTGGAAATATTGATATTTCACTACCTACAAACGAAATTAGAAAATAATAGAGTTATAAACTTGAAAAAGCTTTATTCAATGATTATTTCGTTCTAGTATGGGACTCCTCAGATGTGCGCATCCACGATCATGCACACAGGATTCGAACCCATGACCTTCGGTTTCGTGTGCAAACGTTTGACCTCTAGAGCATTGAGCCAGCATCCTGGATTTCTAGTGAGAAGCCTTGACTAATCAACTCCAATCCGTGTCGGATATGAGACAGCTATCGACTTTAGACAATGGATGAAGAGCCTCGATTTCTTTTAGTGTGGGATCGTGCATACGCCCTACTGACGAGTCCTATACTAGGAAGAAACGACTGCCTGATACTTTCAGGTTTTCAGTGGTGGTCCTTCCATTGCATATTTTTGTTTGTATGCAACGCTAGAAATCGTAGCCTCTTTCATCATAAGTGATATGAGATCTTAATTTAGTACGTCTGATACAACTTTGAAATATTTGCATTGAAAATCACTAGCAATCTAATAATTGGAATCAAGTTCAATAGCTATGATTTAGCAAATAGCTGACAAACATCGTTTCAAGGGGATCCGATTGTTTTTACCGAGTATAATTACATTCGAACACAATTCAAATCCCGGACACCTAAAGGAACTCACTAACATATAACTACCAGTAGCTGCTATACTTTGAATATTAAATGAAACGATAATAAGAACAGTTGTATGATAGTAAACCATAGATACACTTAATGAGCATGGAAATCTTTCTACCTTTTACTCATTTATCAAGGTCACATACATATGTTATTTCTTTACATCGACTAACCACTACCGAAATTGTAATCGCATTATATTTTGCATGACATTTTTAACTACTCACGAGTAGTTTAAAGCAAAAAGAAGAAAATTATTTAAACTAACCTCATAATCAACTTTTTCTTGTTCAGTACTTAATATGCCAAGTTTATGTTTTAATAATTCACATAATTTAACAATATTTGGAATTATTGCATATCGAATTACTCCAACTTGGCAACAATATGCTTTACTCAATTGTCCAATTGTATCCGGATCCAATAAACAATCAATAATTATTTTCAATATTTGATGAATGATATGAAAAATGGTTACATTTATTGATTTGTTGTATGATGAACATTGTGATGAATTCATTACATTCCATAAATAAACGATCCAATTTAATAAGACGATCAAAATATCGCCATGAACAATAACATGGGTATACGATTTTGAAATATTTTCATTACAAGGATTGTCTATCAAATGATTTAATTGTGGATCAATACACACTGGTAGTATTCCAAAAGCCTAAAGAAAGAGGATCACATAGAAAAAGAAATGACAGTCAGTCAGTCAGTCAGTCAGTCAGTGGTCTTGAGTGCTGTTAGAGGTAAGAAGGCAGTTATCAATTCCCGGTTGCCCACACCATGGAAGGGTTCTTCTAGATGTATGTGAAAATGATATTGGATTAAAGGTGGTTTTAGTGATCTGAGAGCGTGACCTCAGTGTCCAAAGGACAACCAATTGAGGTCGGTCCCACACGATCTTTGTGCTAGCTTCATACTTGTTGAGACCTAATCGTCGGAAACGGAAATCCTTGAGCTAAGGTGAGATGTGCATTTTATGGTCGACCTTTTCTAACCCCACCCTTCCGTGTGGAAATTCAGCATCGCTGTTATGTTGGTTGTCTGAAGGAAACACCTTAATGCTGTCACACCTCTTTGCAGTGAACATTGAAATTGCTTTATACCTTTCTTTCTATGAACTACCACTTTGTTCCTGTACTATATCTTTCTTTTATATATTACTGTGGTGTGTTCTACTTATATTGACATAAGTAGTAGATGATGTTAGTCGTGAACAGAAGGTCTGGAAGCAGAGCGACAAGAGAATCGAACAGTAGAGGATGGAAACAGAATGCAATTTATATGAAAATGCAAGAACAATGAAGTCTGAGTCATTATGAGACAATCGGTGGACATTTTGCAAATTAAGCATTTACTCAAGACAATAACACTGTTGGATGCCAGCCGGCTCAGTGGTCTAGTTGGTTAAGCACCTGGCGCGAGACTGGTAGGTCTTGATTTCGGATCTCTCGGGGGGGGCGGAATCGTGGATGCGGGTTGCTGAGGGGTCCCATACTGGGACGAAACGGCCGTCCAGTGCTTCCAGGTTTCCCATAGTGGTCTAGCTTCAATTGACTCATGATTTCTACCAGTGGAATTTCCAAATAATCTCCAAAAAACCCATTCTGATACTTTACTATTGTTAGATTTTATTAACAAGTCCTATAATGTTGTGTTAACTACCTTCGATTGTCCCCACCCGTAATCTGTTCACTACATTACCATCATTGAATCCATTACTTCCATGAATCTGGTGTTCATCTTGTTTTGCTAATGAGGTATGGCATCTTGAACCGATGCATAATATGTGCCTGATCCTACTTTGTAATTGATTGACTGACTGGAACTTCATTCCTTCAAGATAAAACTCTTCATTAACTTCAATGTTAATATAGAAGAAGTAACTTATTTCATGATTTTACTTACCCAACATAAAAGACTTTTACCAATCACATTGAGAATATGATTGATCTCTGATTTAGGATCATATAAATGACATAGATATTCTGTTAATTGATCATAAAAAGAATTCGGTAATCTTTTTATAAATAAAGGAGAAGGTATCAATGTTGTATCACTTTTTAATTGTGATGTAATAAATATATTACAATATGATTGATTCATATCAATAGAGGCTAGAAATGTTAAAAAGTATTGATAATATCTCTTAAAGAAAGAAGAAGATGATGACGACGACAACGAGGAGGACGAGTCGTTGAATGTTATTGGTTGGATATTTGATAACAGAATCTCTGGTTGATGTTGATAACATAGTCTTATACGACTAGATAACTGTATAAGTAGAATTTGATAATCTATAAATGATATAATAAGAAAACAATATAAAGTAATGATAGTCTTTGTACACTAATTTTATAACTATGATACAAGATGTATGCTTTACTTATTTACTTAACAACGCCTGTTACTCCTCGTGAAGGAGCATAGGCCGCCTAACAGCACTCTCCATTCAACTCTGTCCTAGGAAATCCTTCCCACTTCTTATCAGTCGTTATTCATCTTTTTCATATCTGATTCTATTTCTCAACGTAATATGTTCTTTGACTTTCGTCTTTTTTGCTTCCCCTCAGGAGTTCAAGTTAAGGATTGCCTCGTAATGTAGTTTGATGATTTCCTCAATGTATATCCTATCCATTTCCATCATCTTTTCCTAATTTCTTCTTCAGCTGGAAGCTGGTTTGTTCTCTCCCACAGGAGGCTGTTGTTGATGGTATCCGGCCCATGGATGTTGAGTATCTTGGGTAGATAACTATTTATAAATACTTGTACATGTTTGATGATGGTTGTGGTAACTCTCCAAGTTTCAGCTCCATACAGTAAAACTGTCTTAATGTTCCTATTGAAGATTTTGACTTTGACATTGGTTGACAGTTGTTTTCAGTTCCATATGTTCTTCAATTGTAGGAATGCGACACTTGCTTTGCCAATTCTCGCCATTACGTCTGCATCTGATCCTCCGTGTTCATCGATGATGCTTCCCAGGTATGTGAAGGATTCCACATCTTCCAGAGTTTCGCCATGAAGAGTGATTGGACTGCTGTTCTCGGTGTTGTACTTCGGGATATTGCTTTTTCCTTTGTGTATACTGAGGCCCACTGATGCAAAAACTGCTGGTACACTAGTTTTCTTTATCTGCTTTACTTGAATATAATGATATCAACAAGGCTAAAATATTAGGCTTATCATATCAGGAATTAAACTTTTGTATAGTAAACTACACAAACCTTTGATCATACCATGAATTAGGTTCTTTGACGTTGCTACTGTTGCTACAAAACAGATTTTAACTGCACTAGTGAAGTTAACATTGTTTAAGCTGATTTCCCTCGTATAGTTGAAGATCTAACTACACAAGACGGTTGTAATAAGAAGTATTCAATTCTAATACTGGTATACAAGTTTTCTATACGCAAATAAAACTGGTCACTTAAGTGAGAATGTTGTGTTCGTTAACTTGAATGTTACTACTGATTCGTCTTACTCGGAACGGAACGAAGAATCATGGATTCAGAGACTCGATAGGCTTGCTAGGTTTGAAGCTAACACGAGTTCACTTAATCCGCGAACGAGAACAAGACTCGGTGACCAAAGACCAGTAAGCTAGCTAATGATGCATCCCAGTCCTGCTAACTAGAGGGAAAAGTCCAAGCTTGGAATGGGAAGTATATTCTGTAAATCAGCCAGAAACGAGCGATAACAACAAACACAATTCAAAACATATATATGCAGTGCAAAACCGTCCTTGGGGAGGGTTACAAAATAGCATACTAAAAGACACAACGGACCAATAGCATTTACGATATTTCCCAGTGGGAAATACGACATGAATGTGATAAGCGCGCCTTTGGCGCGAAAACAAAGAAATTCAAATTTTCTTAATAAAATCACAAAATTAGGTCCTTTCCCAAGTGAGTTCTGAGGGGGGTCTAACGTCCCCAACAGAGAAGAATGAGAGTAATCAGAAAGACTGAAATCATTTATTCAATATATATTCCATTTATAAACTTACAATAATCAATAGTGGAAAGAGTTCCTTTATTACCAATATCAGAACGAAATTGATCTACCGCTAATTTTAATGTAATCTAAATGGATAGAAACAATAAATAGAAACGTTATTATCACTACACTGATGTATGTTTATAATAACTTACTATGTAAATTTCAAAAGAAGATCGATGGTAGTTCGCGATGGGATCAAAGACATGGGACACTTCATCCTATTTGCAACTCGTCAGATGAATGTACCTGAATCCTAGAGTTGATGTTCACTCCGAGACTCAGATTCAGTATCAATCGTTTCAAACCCCATAACGTTATCTACTTAGCTATTGAGTTCAAATAGTCACTAGTTTAATCAATAAAGTGAAGTTTAATTCATTTCTTATTCGGTTATTTAAAACTTATTGACATATGCTTATCTTGTTCGAATTCCATCGATATTGTCTTAAGTTAAAAGTATGCAAACAAATTCAGTTGATGAGTTTCAAATAGAACGAAACCTCAGTCCTAAATTCCACTTATAGTTACCATCCATCTTTGCTTACAATCCTTGTGACTTGATGACAATATCGAAGCAATTTAGCAAATAACTAGAAATATAATATATTTCTTAAATATCTTAACTGTAAGTCATGAAACCCCCCAAATGCCCTGGTACGGTCGAGGGTGGAGAAATCCAGATCTCCCTCTCGAAATGCTCTTAAATGGCCATGTGCATACAACCACTGACAGAGAAGTCTGACTCACTGCCTTCCCGCAGCATTACTATTGTTTATGAAATTGAGAGGATGAAAAGCGAATGTCCGGCGCTTTAACCGCGTTGGTGGATACGGAGGATACATCCAGCGAAGTTGGAAAACACTGATTCCAAACCAATGGTCCATTTGACTGCAGGATACTGAAGGAACAAATGATGTATGAACCAATCTTTGATCACTGGCTACCATGGGACTATATCTCCTGACGTTGCTCCACTGCTTTACGGATCAAACCATTAGGTTGAAGGCTCCGGGTGTGACTTCCTAAGAAAACCACCTAACAGTTAACACCTGTACAATACGCCTCATTATCTCAACTATTGACCTCACCTGAAAAAGATAAACTGCTTAAACCATTGGATCAACTACCCTATCGGTAGTTTTATCAGACAAAAACTGTAATATTCAAGCAATTGATTTTCGATTAAGTTTATACCATTAGCTTTGAAATGACAGATCATCTATTGGAATGATAGACTTTTCGGACATTTTTTTAAGTATCAGAACAGATTTTTGTGGCTATGATAGTAATTCCAGTAGTTGAGATCATGAGTAAATTGAAGGTGGACCACCACTGAAAACCTAGAATCACTGGATGCCGTTTCGTTCTAGTATGGGACTCATCAGAAGTGCGCATGTACGATCCTGCCTCGCAAGATTCCATCCCAGGACCCATCAGTCTCACACTCGAACTCCTAACCTGTAGACTACTGAACCTCCCGGTATCCAATGGTGTTAATGTCTAACTTCAACCAATCTATGAAATTGCAAAGTAAGTATCTTGTGTGTATTGCCTCGATATTGACTTAATTTACAAGCATTATAAGCAAAGATAGATAGTGGTTAGCAATGGAATCCAGGACGTATGTTTTGTCCTATTTAAGACTCATCAGCTGGATGTACTCAATAACTAAGTCAATAAATCCATGGAGTTTCAAGAGAACAATACTGTGTTCGAGTCCTGAAGTGAACATCAACTCTTAGATGCAAATACATTCATCTAATGAATCCTACATGGGACAAAACATTCATCCTGGATTCCACTGGTAACCACGATCTATCTTTGATCATAAAAATGATCATAGTTTACTCATACTAATTAATATAATGTATTAAGCACATATTCTTTATTAAACTTAAGATGACCTTAATTAGATAGATGTATTCTGATCAATGTTTATTGTGATAAACTATAGTACAGTAATCAGGAATTAGTGCTATAATTCATACTTAGAAACAAGTTCTCTTCTCACAAAGAAAACAGATCAACAAGCATCTCTGGAAAAAAATGGTTCAGTGAGTGTGTGTGTGTGTGTGCATGTCCATACGTTTGTGGATGTGCGTGCGTGTAGGTGTGTGTGTGCGTGTGTGTGTGTGTGTGTGAAAGACAACTGTTTTGTAATAAACAAATGAATGTGTACTTGTAATAATTCAGTTTAAATAAACCAGATTTTATTTACATGTTTACTTATTTATTCTTAATAATTTGTTAAAGAAAGAGAATAGAAATAAACATTTTAAAGTACATTATTATTGTTTAGATTTATGTCTCACGGTACGGAGGGGGGGTAATCGTTTTATGAAACTTGTCTTGTCATGAGCAAAGATGGGTAGTGGTTAGTAGTGGAATCCAGGACATGTGTTTCGTCCTGTTTGGAATTCGTCAGATGGATGTACCTGCATCTCAGAGTTGATATTCACCGTGGCACTCCAATCCAGTACCGTTTGCTTCAAATGCCATAATGTTATTTACTTAGAGACTGAGTCCTGAGAGCCACCTGCTTGTGCAATGGAATGAAGTCTAAATTCACTTGGTATTATTTACTTGTATTTTCCCATTGTTGTGTAGGATTGCAATTGATCAGTCTCTTGTTGACATACGTGCATTCTATGCGGACTACCTAGATATCGCCTTAAGTCACAAACTTTATAAACGTTTGAAGCGAATGGTACTGGGTTCGAGTCTTAGAGTGAACATCGACTCTGGGATGCAGATACATCCGGCCGACGAGTCTCAAATAAGACGAAACCCGCATCCTGGATTCCACTGCTAGCCACTATCCATCTTTGCTTAGAATGCTTGTGAATCAAGGCAATACAGTATTCACATATACCAATAAGAGACTGATCAATTACAGTCCTAAGCATCAATGGGAAGATCCAAACAAACAATACCAAGTGGATTTATCATATCATGAGTTGAATATTATTGAAAGAGAAAGATATATGACAAAGCAACAAGTAATTAGATAAATCAAGATCCTTGTTATAAAGTTGCTTACAGTTATAATTTGATCTAAAACTTATAGTTATATGGAAAATATATCTCCATAGAAAGATAGAAAAGATTGCATCATAAAGTAGTACGAAATTCTAATTATCAAATGAGGTCGCGTAATAATCAGGGGGATTAGAGAAGAATAGAAGGATGAAAATAATTTACTGGTCACATAATTGTCCAGTTGACAGATATGAAGAAAAATGACAAACACCAAGGTCATAATAATAACTGTATAATAATCCACGAGTTGATCTAAGCTAGACCACCACTGAAAACCTGAAAGCATTGGACGGTCGTTTCGTTCCAGTATGGAACTTCCTCAGCAGTCTGCATCTACGATAACGTACACGGGACCCAAATCCAGGACCTACGGTCTCAGGCACGAACGCTTAACCTCCAGACCACCGATCCGGCATCCAGTGGTGTTATATCTATCTTCAATTCGATCCATGATCTTGCTCAACCCTACATCCATTGTCTGAGGTGGATAACTGTCTCACATCCGACAGGGATTGGACTACATTGATCAAGGCTTCTTAGTAGAACTCCAGGATGCCAGCTCAATGGTTAAGAGGTCAAGCGTTCGGGCGCGAGACCAAAGGTACTGGGTTTGAATCCGTTTGGTGTAGGGTCGTAGACGCACATTGCTGATGAGTCCCATACTAGGACAAAACGGCCTTCGAGCGCTTTAAGGTTTTCAATGGTGGTCTAACATTGATCCATTCATTATCTCAGTTAAAATTCAACAATCTCCATAACCCTAAACTGATAATAAAAGAAATGTTCAACACATTCATTTAAATAAAGTGTATTCATTATGATAAGTAAGATTGTTCTTGATTATATAAACCACAGTCACTATGTTTCTGTTCACTTAATTAGTTAAATTGCCATTTTATTCATAATTCAATGTAGTTTGTTAAAGTGACCAACGTAAAACACGTGATACATGTTGATGGTTCAGTAAAAGAAATGAACATTTCTAATAATCGACATGTTGGTTTCGATTGGTGACGGCGATAGTGACCTTGTTTAGTGAAATCGGTGTGAGTTTTCTGGAATTAGTTTCCGAGTATTCAAGGTTCATAAACTCAACGCGTGCATATGAGTTCGTAAGGAAATCGGTAACCCCTTGTCTTGACACGCGGACATCACATCAGTGGCAATTATAAGTTACATGCACACCGGTAGCACATACGTTTCCACTCATGCATTATATGGGATATGTATAGGTATATTCATTTAACTGGGAGAGTAGATGATCATTACTCTCTTCAAACGTATTTGTTACAACTGACTATCTCTTATGCATTACATGCACACCACTGGTAGATAAACTTTCACCCATACACTTCATGACATACACATAAGCACAAGCACTCTCTCAGGGATGATTGATGGTCACATCTTCCTAGTATTTGCTACCATGTATTTTTGTTATATCTTCAACCTGTTAGTTTAGGGCGCTGATTTTATTAAACTATAGGACTTCCATATGATTTCCATACGAGCAAACAATAATAAAAATGCATAACAATGATCGTTGAAGTAAAACTTTTGATGTCTACTCAATGAACGGACAAATCTACTTTTAATAGTTGAGATCATGAGTCAATTGAAGTTAGACCACCATGGAAAACCTAGAAGCATTGGATGGCCGTTTCGTCCTATTGTGGGACTCTTCAGCAGTGAGATGAATTTCAAATTCTACTTTGCTCATTTGTGGCAGTGGTGATAATAGTTGGATAACTAACATAGTGACTAGATGTTCCACTTAAGATAGTTTACATTTGTGCTTTATCATGTCATAGAAATATTTAGTATTCAATTAGTTCAACCACGTGAACTAACATAGAGTAAACATTTTGTTACCGTAAAATAACTTCTTGATTAAAGGAATCTATCGAGGTTAGTAGACCTTTAATTAGTCTTAACATCAAGAAGCCCGGTTGTGTATATTTTAATTATGCTTATTTTCCAAGATGTCTATGTAACTAATTACACAGTTATAAATATGTAAGACTTAGATTTCCAAGAAAAATTTATCCACACTTTTCCACTGATGCTTCCCTCAACTGTAGCTGCTACCTTGATGTGGTAGTCCAGCTTGACTATTGTTATGGACCAATCAAGTTATTCTGGCTAGAACAATCATTCTTAAAGATCCTACAGTGCTAGACAGGTCGGTTGAAGAGCGGTAAGAATAAAGCAGCAAATCCGAGGTCCGAATGCGAAGTTGTACTGCTGACTGTAAAGAGGTGTGACAGCATTAAGATGTTTCCTTCAGACAACCAACATAACAGCGATGCTGCATTCCCACAAGGAAGGGTTGGGTTAGAATAGATCGGTCCTAAAAATGCACACCTCACCTTGTCCCATGGAGTTCCGTTTCCGGCGATAAGGTTTCAACAAGTACTGAGCTGACACGAAAATTACTCACAGAAAGGTCGTGTGTGACCGACCTCAAGTGGTTGTACTTTGGGCACTGCGGTCACACTCTCAGGTCACTGAGACTACCCCTAACCCAATTTCCTTTTCAGATACCCCTAGTATAACCCTTCCACGGTATGGGCAACCGGGAAGTGAAAACCACTCTTATACCTCAGACAGCACTCAAGACCACTGACTGACTAACTAATACTTCGTTTTCTATCTTTGATTATTACATATATCTAATAAGATTCGCTTTACGTTCATTCAATTTCGTAAATAACAATAATACTACGAGAAGGCAGTGAGTATGACTTCTCTAGCAGTGGATAAATTAAGTGGCCATTTGAAAATATTTCTATAGGGATAACTGACTCTCCCTACTCTCAGCCGTACTAGGTCATTTGGAGGCCACTACAACAGTATAAGACATTATTATTGGGTTAATCCACCCGGAGCCTTCGACCTAAAGTCTGATCCACAAGGCTGTGAAGCATCGTAAGAAGATGCAGTCTCATGGTAGCCAGTGACCAACAGTAGGTTCATACACCATTTGTTCCTTCAGGATACTGGATCTCATGTGCACCATTGGTTTGGAATCAGGGTTTCCCAACTTCCCTAGGTGGACTCTCCGTGTACACCAACCCAGTTAAAGCGCCGGACATTCGCTTTTCGTCCTCTCAATTTCGTAAACAACACCCCCGCCACGAGAAGGCAATGAGTAGGACTTCCCTGTCAGAGGCTATGTAGGCGTGGTCATGTGAGAGCATTTCGAGAAGGAGAGCGAACTCTCCCCACTCTTGGCCGTATCAGGGCATTTATGGGCCTTCAATAATTACAATAAATGACATAATTTAAAAGATTAACTCACCATGTTTGATTCTTGAAGACTTAATCCATAAATTAAAAAACTTGATATAACAACAAACTCTTCATTATATTGTTGAGATTGATTTGATTGGTCAATATTCGTCTTGGTATTCTGTGAGAAATCCTTTCCAAAAGAATACTGTTCATTTACATTATAATAAATTCCCTGAGGTTCTGATGACGATGATGATGCTGATGATAATTCCGTAAGTGGTCGATTTGATTGATTGATTAAACAAAACAAATCGTGTACATGACTGTATTTTAAAAAACCCTTGTAAACGAAAAAATAAAAATAAAAGATTTCATTATGATTTAATATTTAACAAATAGCACCCAAATGATCTGGTATGGCCGAGGGTGGGGAGAGCCAACTCTCCCTCTCCAAATGCTCCCACATGACCACGCGTATACAGCCACTGTCATGGAAGTCCTACTCACTGACTTCTCGAGACGGCGAAGTTGTTTACGAAATTAAGAGGACGAAAAGCGAATGTCTGGCGCATTAACCGAGTTGGTGGAGATGGAGAGTTCATCTAGAGGAGTTGAAAAACCCTGATTCCAAATCAGTGATGAACATGGGCTCCAGTATCCTAAAGGAACAAATGGAGTGTGAACCAATCGTTGGCAGCCAGGTACCATAGGACTATATCTCCTGACGTTGCTCCACAGCCTTGTGTATCAGATATTTAGGTCAAAGACTCTGAGTATGAACCCCTAAGGAAACCATCTGCTTCGGTTTGGGCACCTGCGCAGTATCACAGCCCTCACACAAATCAAATAAGATTTGTGTAGCGCATATGTATATGGTGCCTCTTTATACCAATATTTATATGTTCAAATCAATAAATAAATTTAACAGATAAAATTTGAATGTTACTGAATATTTGACGGCATGTTTGAATTCTGTCAATTCTAGAAGCTAACATTTTATCTCCTGAAAACCTGTAGTCGGTTTTTATAAAAGTATTTGAAACTCGTCAGATGGATTTACCTGCATCTCAGAGTTGATATTTACCGTGTCACTCCAATCCAGTACCGTTTGCTTCAAATGCCATAATGTTATTTACTTAGAGACTGAGTCCTGAGAGCCACCTGCTTGTGCAATGGAGTGAAGTCTAAATTCACTTGGTATTATTTACTTGTATTTTCCCATTGTTGTGTAGGATTGCAATTGATCAGTCTCTTGTTGACATACGTGCATTCTATGCGGACTACCTAGATATCGCCTTAAGTCACAAACTTTATAAACGTTTGAAGCAAACGGTACTGGGTTCGAGTCTTAGAGTGAACATCGACTCTGGGATGCAGATACATCCGGCTGACGAGTCCCACATAAGACGAAACGCGCGTCCTGCATTCCGCTGCTAATCACTTTATATATTTGCTTATAATACTTGTGACTCTAGATAATTTCAAGGCAGTCCGCATAGTATACACATATGCCAACTCAAAGGATCTCAAATCCAATCCACTCAGCTCCAAAATGGTCTACATTTTGAGCTCATCAACTTGTAATTTAATACAATCTTCATCTGAAACTATAGACATTGTTTACATTAAATGTTACAATTACCTATTAGTATGTTTGTAAAAAACCTTTTGAAGCTACCCAATAATTGATAATGGTGTTTTGTAAAGAGATTTAAATGATTTAAGGATAACATTTGTCAGATTATGTTCCACTTTTTGTTTGACATTTAACATTCAAAGTCAGTTTGTAAGATAATTACGGTTCATACTATAATGAATACACCATGGAACAATATCAGACAACATATTCATATTCCATAAATTCTTTGATAATCAATAAAGTGACTTCAATAATGTCAAACTTCACTTGAGAAAAGAGTAGAAAAAGTAGAAGAGAAATGAAGAAAACATGAATGAAAATGAGAGGCTGGAACTAATCAGTGAGAAATACTGGATATTGATGGAATTGATTCTCTCTTAACATCATTTCTTCATGTTTTAATGTAACTATCTAAGAGAAAATAAGATATACAAGAATATTTGACCCCCAAATGCCCTGATACGGCCAAGAGTGGGGAGAGTTCGCTCTCCTTCTCGAAATGCTCTCACATGACCACGCCTACATAGCCTCTGACAGGGAAGTCCTACTCATTGCCTTCTCGTGGCGGGGGTGTTGTTTACGAAATTGAGAGGACGAAAAGCGAATGTCCGGCGCTTTAACTGGGTTGGTGTACACGGAGAGTCCACCTAGGGAAGTTGGGAAACCCTGATTCCAAACCAATGGTGCACATGAGATCCAGTATCCTGAAGGAACAAATGGTGTATGAACCTACTGTTGGTCACCGGCTACCATGGGAATGCATCTCTACTGCCTTGTGGATCAAATCTTCAGGTCAATTGCTCCGGGTGTGGCCCTCTAAGAAAACCACCTTCTTCGGTTTGGGCACCTGGGCAGTATTACAGCCCTCACACATATCAAATGAGATCTGTGTGGCGCATATGTATATGGTGTCTCCTTGTACCAATATCTATGTGTTAAAATAATCTAAGAGAAAATAAGATATACAAGAATATCTAGTCATTTGATCTCTTAAAACAGAAACTAATCAGTACAAACACCGCTAGGTGTTGGCTCAGTGATGTAGAGATTAAGTGTACCAGCACGAGACTGAAGGCCCTGGGTTCGAATCCAGCGGGCTGGATCGTGGATGCGTATTGCTGAGGAGTCTCGCAATAGGATGAAACAGCCATTCGGTGCTTCCAAGTTTTCAATGGTGGTCTAACATCAATCAGTTCACAATCTCAATATAACTATTCGTTCTTGAATTATTTCCTACTGTTTATCAGAAGTATCAACTTCTATAAGCAATTGTTGAGAAATTCGATGAGAAATTTCTAGATTTTGTAATAGTCAAACTGATCCACATCAAAAGTAAATAGACTGGAGTTCAGTTAAATCCAAACAAATGAATAGAAGATTGATGTCTATGGAAATGAAAAATTTTTATCAACCACATTAACATTACAAACTAAATACTTGGTTAAATACATTTTTGTATTATTTGTTTGAATCAACCCAATGATGTTTAGGACTGCAATCGATCAGTCTCTCTTATAAATTTAATAGTTGACTTCATGATTCAATTAAAGCTAGATCATCATGGAAAGCTTGTGTGGGACTCCTCAATAGTGAGCATCCACCATCCCGCCTCACGGGATTCGAACCCAGAACCTGTTGGTCTCGTGTGAGAACGCTTAACCTCTAGACCACTAGGACGAAACAGCCGTTCAATGCTTTTGGGATTTCCATGGTGGTCTAGCTTCAAATGACTTATAAACTCAACTATTAACTTACCATAATATCCACAAAATATCTTATAGATACTTATGCATCCTGTGAAGATTGCCTCGATATTGCCTCAAGTCACAAACATTGTAAACAAAGATGGATAGTGGATAGCAGTGGACGCGCGTTTCGTCCCAATCGGGACTCATCAGTTGGATGTGCCTGCATCTCAGAGTTGATGTTCACTGTGGGATTCGAACCTTTCCTAAACTCATCAGTTAAGTGGATAACATGATGGTGTTTGAAGCGAACGATATCAATTTCTATAAGCATTTATTAAAGAATTTATTCTAACAGATTTGATCAACTACATTAACATTACAAACTAAGTACTTGACATTATTTGAATATAACATAACTTCTGGAATAGATTTCACATTCTTTGAACTTACATAACATCCAACTGATATATAACAATAAGCGTTGATCAGTAAAGTTCGAATTGTTGCATTGTCATTGTTTTGTTTAATTAAATCTATAAAAAATTATGAAATGACCAAATACTTGTATTCCATCATTCAAGATGCATCAAAGTTGTGCTTATAAATATGTTATAACTTGTAGCCTTGTCAATATATGGCGTAATGATACCGCCAATTAGACAATAATGAATTATCGACTGGACTATTGATGTATAAACCTATTCGAGTAGTCTAGAGTCCTTATCGGTCCTTTTTCCTGCCTAGACCTGGCTGTTGAGTTCAGAACACCGATCTCAGCCTACACGGTATGAATCATGTATTTCAAACATAACTGGTTTATATACAAGTTAAACAGACCATATCACACCCATAAAATAGAAAATAACATTTATATAAGATCTAGCCAGAAGTGACTGTGAGTGTGAGAGACTGTACATGAGCTGATTGTCAACATCATACAGAATTCATACAATGGAGTACACTGCAAAGTCGTGCATGGAGGACAGATGACAGATGTATTCCAAGTAAGGAATGGTGTCAGACAAGGTTGCATACTCTCACCCTTCCTTTTTCTTATGGTAGTCGATTGGATTATATCAGAGAAAGTACAGAATACAATGGACAATTTGAATGAAGCTAGACGATTTGAACTTCGTAGATGACCTAGCTCTTCTATCCCATTAACAAATGCAGATAAAGACAACTAGTGTAGTAGCTGCCTCTGCATCAATAAGCCTCAGCATAGACAAGGGAAAAACCAAGATCCTCAAATGCAACATAGAGAAAACCAACTCGATCACACTTGATGACGAAACTATGGAAGGGGTGAAAGGCTTTACGTACATAGGCAGCATCATCGATGAACGAGGAGGACGTGATACAGACGTAAAGATAAGGATTAGCAAAGCAAAAGTGGAACTCCTACAATTGAACATATGAAGCCCAAAACAACTGTCAGTCAACATCAAAGTTAGAACCTTCAATACGAACGTCAACACAGTTCTACTTTACGGACCTAAAACTTCGAGAACTACCACAAGGATCATCAAAAAATACATGTATTTATGAACACTTGTCTACATAAGATACGTAATGTCCGTCGGCTGGATACCATCGGCAACAGCCTACTGTGGAGGAAAACAAACCAGTTTCCAGTTAAAGAGGAAATTAGGAAAATATAGTGGAAGTGGATAACATGTACATTCAAGAAATTACCAAGCTGAATCATGAGGCAAGCGCTAACTTGGAATCCTGAAGAAAATAGAAAAGAGGAAGACTAAGGAACACACTGCGTCGGAAATTGGAAGCTGACATGAAAAGGATGAGTAGCAACTGAAAAGAACTGGAAAGGATTTCCCATGACAGAGTTGGATAAAGAATGCTAGTGGGAGGCCTATGCTCTACCACGACGGTTAACAGGTATAAGTAAGTAGTAAATTATCTCCAACTACTTAATTATTAGTCTATAACTCTATCATCTTAACATTTAACTCTACACTTACCGTATATAAAATATTGTGTATATGATTAAAGACAACGTACAAACACCATTCGAAATAGGTTCTATACCAACTGGCTTTGGTGGAGTTTTGTTCTCTGAGCTGGATGGTTTGGTCGTGGAGCTTTCATCGTTCTTCTGAACGACATCATCAGCACAGACTTCAGATAGAAGTGAAGTGTTCGAATTTCTCCATATGTGTTTCACAGCTTGTTCTGTGCACCTCGATGTTGCTTGGTGCTTATTGACCTTAAATTTGTCATTGTATACTTCTTTGTTTTGGTTGTGTCTTCCATTGGTTTGATTTTTGTTCCTAGATTTGTGCATGATTTTCCTGATTGGTTGGTAAATTGGATTGATTTCAATATGCTTGTTGATTGCGGATTGATCTGAGTGTCAGGCTTCTAAAAATTCTCTGATGTTTTTGGAGTTTCCTCTGTCTAAGATTTCCACATTTTTCCAATCGAATGAGTGTCCGCAGTTGTCCACGTGTATTGATATAAGTGAGGAGATATCATGGCGTTTGACTGCTAACTGATGTTCGTGTAGGCAAAGGTGAAGGGAGCGTCCGCCTTGTCCGATATAGTGTTTCTCGCAGTTGGCACAATTTATTTTGTAGATGATGTTTGATTTGTTTTCCTTTGTTATTTCATCCTTTGGTTTGCATAGGATTGATTGTAGCGATTTTGTCGGTTTGTGTGTCACACCTATCCCGAAGGTTTTCAGCAGTCTCGTTGCGGTTTCTAATATTCCTTGTATGTATGGTAGGGTGATCCTTTTGTTGATTTCTCTGCTCGACTTGGGTTCGGATGCTGCGTGCGGTTGGTGCTTTTTGATGAAGTTGATTGGGTAGCCGTTCTTTTGAAATATGTCCTCCAGGTATTTCTCTTCATTTTTTCGTGCTGCCAGTGTGCTGCAGTGTGTCCTCGCCCTCTTGAACAAAGTGTGTACACAGTTGACGCAGTCCACGACCAAACCATCCAGCTCATAGAACAAAACTCCACCAAAATCATCCACCTGAGCTACAAATCTTCTCCACCATACCAATTGGTATCAATCAAGAGTGTGCAACTAAAATTCGAAGAAACAAAAACTATAGAATTCAAATCCATCTCATCACGTATCATAATCAAAGAAGTTACTTCTAAAACTTACAGGCCTCCAAGTAATGTCCTATAACCTAGTTACTAAGTGAGTACAAGAAACACAACATTCAGTTGTCACTATGATTATTGATTTAGGATTTTGTTTTGTATTGTTTACTTAAATATGTATCTAATCCACAAAATTCTCACGTTTCTTTAAAACAAATCATAAAACTATATATATTTCAATGAGTAAACAGGTTACTTACCGAATATACTTAAATGAACATTATCAAGTGATTCTTTTGATAATGTAGATATAGAAGTGAAAAATCTTAAATTTTCATATTTTTGATCATAGTAACTAAATAGTTTATACATAGAAACAAAGATTTAAAATTTTAAATCATAGGAAAACATTATAATAAATGGGAATCAACTAGAACACACATACACACATACACACTTAGATACGAAGACACGTAAACATTTTTAAGTAACAATTAATGATTTTAATCAAAGAAGGGGGGGGTGGATATTATAGTAATTTCACAATAGTTGAATTTATGAATCAATTGAAGTTAGACCACCATGAAAAACTTGGAATCACTAGATGGCCGTTTCGTCCTACTGTGGGACTACTCAGCAATACGTATGCACCAGCCCGCCTCGCGGAATCCGGAACCCAGGATGTATCCGTCTCATGCGCGAGTACTTAACCTCTAGACCACTGAACCTGCCGGGATCCAAAAGTGTTAATGTCTAATTTTGACCAATCCACGAAGTTGCACCACCGTCCACCATTGTCATCAGTGAGATACTATCTCATAGCAGATCCGGTTGAACTCTACTGGTCATTAGTTTTTTTACCAGAAATGATTGTTTCTTCTGTCAAAATAGTAGATAAATTTTAACCGTCAATAAATCACCTAATTAATAAGTTCATTATCAATCAATCTATTACGTACTGAAAGTATACTTACTGATATATTATGCTATTCACAATTAGTATTGGATTAACCAACTTATTATTGTATCATTATTATTATCGACAGAAATATTAGTCGCATGCATATGATACATCTTAGCAGGAATAAAAATTCACTATGATACCAGTATTGTGATGTGTATTAGTTATATCGATATAAGTAGTATATAACGCTAGTTAGGAATAGAATATCTGGCAGCAGAAGGTCAAGAAGATCGAGAAGGAAAGAACGGGAACAGAGAGTGATTGGTGTGAAAACGAAAGAACAATGAAATCTGAAGCGACTGATTGACATTTTGTAAATGAAGTATTTACTGTATGGTTTTCAGATTTTACTGAGATTCTGTAATTTTGTATTCAAATACATTTGGTTGTAATTTTAATAGTTGAGATGATGAGTCATTTGAAGTTAAACCACCATAGAAAACCTGGTAACACTGGACGGCCGTTCCGTCCTATTGTAGGACTCTTCAGTAGTGTGCGTCCACGATAGCGCCTGGCGAAATTCTAACCCAGGATCTATCGGTCTCGAGTGCGAATGCAAACAATGAAGTATGAGACATTTGATCGACATTTCGCAAATGAAGTATTTACTCTATGGTTCTCAGATTTTACTGAGAAATTCTGTGATTGACTGTTCTGATTGGATTTTTTTCTTAAGTGAGCTCCCACAATGAATTAACATAATTAAAAGATCACAAAAACCGAAAACATTCTGAATCTCAAACTATGCATACTAATTAATAACTTTGCGTTTTATACTTACGCAGAATTTGAGTATCCTACTGGTATATAAATATATGATGTGTGTGTGTAGTGAACAAGAACCCAAATGTGAACAACCAAACGTAAATATGTCGTTCAATTTCGCGGATTAGTTAAAGTTAGTCATTAACACCGTTCGATGCCGGCAGGTTTCGAGTTCTAGTGATTAAGCTCTCATGTGCAAGTCTGATAGGTCTTCGGTTCGAATTTCGTGAGGCGTGATCGTGAATGCGAATTACTGAGGAGTCGCACATTAGGACGAAACGACCGTTCACTACTTCCAGGTTATCCATGGTGGTCTAGCTTCAATTGACTCGCCATTTCAACTAATAAAATTACAACCAAGTGTATTTGAATACAAAATTGCAGAATCTCTTAGTAAAATTTGAGAACCTCATTGTCCCCGATTTAACTATTCCTTCGTTTCCACACCAATCACTCTTTCATCTCATTCTCTTTTCATCAATCTTTTTAACCTTCTCTACTGCCAAACATTTCACTTTCAATTGATGATACATACTACTTATATCTATCAACATCAGTAGCACACATCACAGTATTACAAGTCATTCAATTGACAAACAATGAATATCACCATAACTTACATAGATTTCCATTTATTCCACATTCCATAAGGATCATAGAATGTTTCTATGAAGTAAACTATAAGATTCAATAGATCAAAAACTTTTGAATGATAAATCTATCAAAGTGAAGTGATCAGAAAGATCAAGTAAGAATGTAATTACCAATTTCAATAGATTTAATATAATTTGATGAATAGAATGATCTTCAATAATGAATTGTTGAATAGGATCATTTCTATTGATGATAATGATGATAATAATATACATCTATATTCAAAAGAACAATTCAATATAACTTACCTTCCAAATAAACAAAATAATTTAAGGAGACAATGTAACTGATCAAATGTCATTAACGATCTATCGTCATCGTCATCGTCATCATCCTCAACATCATCAGCATCATCATCGTGATGATGATGATGATGTTTAAAAGTGATTTCAGTAGTATATGCTGAATCTATATTCATTTGATCATTATTAATTCTGATTAAATTTAATTGAATAAGAAGTGAATTAGATTGTATGTATAATTTGTTAAGTAGATATTCGATACATCCATTTGGTAAATCATTGAATGTAAGAAAATTTCTTAGTTGACTGTTTAAAATGGAAGAAAAACGGGAAAAGGGATTATTTTTAGAAAATGATTTTGTTTAAGATAGAATCAGTTCATAGAATAGATGATCCTTTTAATAAGAAAACATGTAAAGTCAGTCAGTTAGTCAGCTATAATGTAGGACCAGGCACATATATATGCATCGGTCCAACTTGCCATGCCGCATTAGCACTATAAGATGGACACCGGATTCATAAAAGTAGTTAATTCAGAGGTGATAATATATAAAAGAAAGATTGCGCTAAGGATATAGTACAGGAAGAAAGAATTAGTTCGTAGAAAGGAAGATATGAATCAATTTTAATCTCATAGTTTAAAGGAAGACAGAGAGTGTATACCCCGACGCCATTGTGATCGATTCTGAGTCATGTGATCAAGAGTCTCCAACCATTGGTTAGGATAGTCACGCGGACCTCAACCAAGCAGTCTGCATCTACCAACATGGCTCAGACTAGACGTTAGTGACTTCAAGCACTTATGCCACGTTTTGGTTTGACCGTCCCTAACTTTCTTCCAAACATCCGCAACACTACTCAGCACTGCGTGTCGTGGCGAACGGTGTTCAGGCATATGTAACACGTGACCAAACCATCTCAGTCAATGAAGATTTACAACCTCATCAACTGACTTACCATCATTCCCAACTGACATCTAACTTCACTATTACTTACCTAGTGATCCCAGCAGATGCAAGCAACATTTCTAAGACGTCTATGCTCAAATACTAGTAGCTTACGAGTATCGTCTACTCTTAATGGCTTCATTTTACATCCATAAAATAGAACAGAACAAACTGCTGCACAGTATACTCATCCCTTAATTGATAGACAGATATCTCGCCTTCTCCATAGGTGACGTAAGTTGACAAAAGCCAAACGAGCTTTCTAAATTCGCCTAGAGATTTCGTCAGACAGCAACCCATTAGGGTTGATCAGACTTCCAAGATAAGTAAAATTGTAGAAAACAAAAAAATTATTTTTCAGAAAATGATTTTCTTTCTTCAAGACAGTATCAATGGCAAGATTATAATTTATGGACGAATGCAATCAGGTGTAAGATAACTGATCTCGGATTTTGTCGCGAAATTCAATCATCCATTTGGCTAAATAGAGTTTTGGCATTATAGCTGATGTCAGTTGGTGATGAAATCACTAAATCTAATTTCTAACCTTAATCATCAACTGTAAATCATAATTCGAATTCCTCACTTGGTCCTAGTTATTAGGTGGACATTCTCAAGGTCAGTTTAGCGTCACTCAAAGGTCGGTCATAAATTATAGTCTCACCTTTATATTTCTTGTCATTCACAATTAATTTAAAGATGAATAAAGTTGACGATATCATTGCATTTGAACAGGTAACAATCATTGAATCCCCTTAAATGTATTCAATAACATACTCAGTAACACTTAAGAAATCAAAGTTCATTCGTCCAGTTTCGTCGAAAACTCACATATACACGCTTACTTATATTGTGATGTATGCTACTGATATCGACAGATATGAGTAGTATAGATCATCAATCAAAAGTGAAATGTCTGGCGGTAAAAGGTTAAGAAAGTCGAAGAAAAGAAAACGACAATAGTGAATAATTGATGTGGAAACGAAGGAACTGTCAAGTCTGAGACAATTGATTGACATTTTGTACATGAATTATTTACTGTGTGATTCGCAGACTTTTGCATGAAATCATTTAAAATAAGGTTATAGGCTATTTTATACTTTAAATTCAGTCATCGTTTCTCTGTAAAAAAAATACACAGGTTCTGAGATATTCTATTATGGTTTATTCATAGACCTTAATGAAATCAATCATAATTGATAGTGAATCTATATTACAACTAGATAACAGAATGATTCTAATTTCCTATTCAGTTAACAGATCAAGTCTGGTATGCATTAAAAGATAATGAACTCGAGCTAAGGAACACTTAAGTTACACAAAAAGACCTCCTAATAATCCTGTAGAAATAAAAAATTTACAGGCCATTTTATTTGATATTAAAAATATCAAAATAATTCAGGAAGACTTTTCCAACTATAAAGTGATGAGAGTAGCTGAAGCGTCTCAGATCATGCTAAATCTATATGCCTTCAATAGAAAAGAAGGCCTGGAAGTTCATCCAACTTGGACTATTTATCTAAACAACCTCAATCATTTCCCACACAATCTACACACACACACACCTAAATTAAACCCCACTATTTAATTTTACACCTGCATACATTTTTCATGCTCATACACAAATTAATACAGGGGCAAGTCATATAAATTCATCTTGACAAAGAATAACTTAACATTGACTCATTCAGACCTATTATGATTTCTATTGTACCAACAAATTCTGCATTGTTTCCTTTGTACTAGTTAAAATTTTGTTAATTGCATTCAGTTATTTATTTACTCTGAAGAAGTGCGTAACAACCGAAATGACAATATTCAGCTTGAACACAGAACTGACGTACCAAAATTTATTCAATTAGACCAGACTACATTCTTCTGTATAGCTTGTGAAGCGTTTTTGAATGACTTGTATTAAGTTATATCAAACCAAACACCCTATGTTCAATTTAAACGGTTCTAACTTAAGAGAATATATTATATTGAAAGCACAAAATATCTCAAGCGGTGCAGTCCTAACACAGACTAACGTCCTAAACAACAAAAGGAATAGTTAACAAAAAAGAATTGGATACCCGAGAACCAATAAAAATATACCCAAAAACATGATAACAAATATCTATCTGCAAGGGTTCCATCAACTTTTATAAGCGGACAAACAAAGGTTAACAGTCATACACTGAACCACGCCGTGACCCTGAGTTTAGTCACGCATGAATATATTGTCAATGGTCCGGCAGCATGTAACAGTAAATTTAGTAATAAAAAGTGGATCTTTAACCAAGACCAGAATGCTGGTCGGCCGTTTATGTTCCATTGGGAGTAATAAGCGTAAGTAATTAAGATAACAAAAACCTCGAAAAGGAATACTGGAAAACATAAAGTTTGGTTAAAAGGAGACCTAAATAAAGGTTAAAATATAAGACGGATAGAAGAAACAAATAAATGACAATACTTCCTAACGAAATGCTGTGGAGGAATTATCAACATTTTCTTTCCATTACAAGCATGTTTGAAATATGTATGTCCGAACCACTACTCACATTGGGTTTCTTAAGTCTCGATATTATACGCAATTTTCGAACCACCAACTACTCAAAACTGATTGTCCAGCTGTTGACAAAGTTCTGAAAATACTGAAAGTTGCCTAGCCTTGAATAACGATAAAACGGACGAAAATCACAAGAAAAGCTGTGTTGGTTCAAATATCTGATAGAACAGCAAAATGTTTCACAGGAATGAAGTATAATCACCAAGTAACCAAAAGTCGGAAATGTCTCTTTCTCTCTCTCTCTCTCTCTCTCTCTCTCTCTCTCTCTCTCTCTCTCTCTCTCTCTCTATATATATATATATATATATATATATATATATGAGGTAAGTCTTTGACGCTTATCAACTATTCCGGTTCACCATCATCAGGTAGCGCCCATGATAAGATACAACAGAATTATGGCTCCTCAAAGGAAGAAATTAAATTTCTCAAATTTAAAAGGTTATCGATAGTATCAATATAAAACTAACACAGATAACAAGAGCAATCAAGAGAATAAATACGATGTTTATAGATATACACATTATCATTATCTTCAGTGGGGAAACATAAGAACTCCAGAAAGTCTATGTTTCTGCCCAACACTTCATAGTTTCTAGACAACACCAGTTACTATTTCAAAAAGTTGTTTGAGCGACAAGATCACGCTGACTTTTCGTAGTATTCAAGTGAAGTTCACAGGTCCATATCTGTAAACTCACACATACTAGAGTCTTACTTTAGTAAGGTGAGTCACCTGTACAAAAGCCTTCCGATACTGTAAGGACAGTAGACGGAAACACATAAAACGTCCTGTAGAAATTCTACTGAATTGACCAAACGTTGCTAGGAATCCCAGGTTATGCCAAAATAGACACCTTATCAACTTCATCGAGGGCAGAATTTGACTAGGGATGTCTTAGTACTGGATGTCACTGGTCATACATTAAAGTCCAAGAATTCAGTGGATGCAATATCCCTCTTTACAAAACAATATATATTGCTGCCTATGAAAGGCTACAGGCAACACTCGATGGGGTACTTAGAGACGAGAACGGACTGTTATTAACCCCTATGGAACTATTGAAATCCCAGTATATAAAGCAAAGAAGTAAATAGTAAACGAATACCCACCTTTGTATATGAATAATGCAAATAATGTTTCTTTTCAACTCAGATTAAAATTTTCCATACTTTTAAAATGACCTGGACTTAGTAAATTGAGCAATAAAATTATGACCCTCCCCCCGCCAATATCCAAGATCTGTTACTAAAATTAACTAGGCAAACTCTCCAAAGCATTAAATAAAACTACAACATAACCCGACGTTTTATGCAATATGATTTTTTTCTGACAGACATAGGATTTCGTCTTTTTCAAGTATGTTCACATTTGGAAGTGATTAAAATTATTAAGTAATGTGTTGCCAGTAAAAACCCAATGAAATATGGCAGATTCACTGTATCCTATCAGTGTTGTCTGTTTTTGTCTGTCGAAATACGTGATGGAAATCAATTTTGTGAAAAGCCTGTGAGTTTGCATGTGTGCCGAGAGATAACCGTTTGTCAAATTATTACATATACTGATTTTCTTTAATAAAACTACCAAACGCTAGTTGAGTAAACTTATGCATTGTAGTGTTACCTCCTTAAAATACCTTAATGGAACTCATGATTGTTTTAAACGTGTCAGACTGGTATTTAAAATATCAAATTCATCAAATGTCAGTGATTTTTGGACATCATTACACCTCAATAAGACCCACCACGGGTAGATTATTGTCATGTGTATGTGGTCGCATATTTTAGATGTCTTTCATCTTACTGAGTAAAGATAATTTGAATCCAAGTCTGTTGTTCTGTCTGTTAGAAAACTTTCATCATTTATTTGGTATTGATATACCATTATGAAAATGCATGTTTATCTCTCGTTCTAGACAAAACTCTTGGCAGATATCTCCTCACTTTTATGTTCACAAAGCATCCCTTACCTCGAAGACGTTTTGGCTTGCTATTTAGCTTACATATGCTTAAATATTATTATTTCACAAAATTGTGTTATATTTCCATTCAGAGCTTAATCTTGGTTTTCTTCAGTTTGTTAGTTTATTACTTACTGAGGAAGTGTCAAGTTGTTCATGATATATTGAGAATAAGCAAACCTACTAATAAGAAAAATTAGGGAGACAAGGTTTTTGTTTTATAAGAAACCAGACATCATTTTTCAGTGACTAATACTTCACTGAATTGCGCGTAATGCTGTTTATTCATCAAATGATGCAAGTGATCCACAAATAACCCGAAGAAGTAAAATAAATCAAACTATTAAGGTGGATTTTTATATATGCAAATCTCTGGTTTTCTGACGAATACTGAATTTTAGAAACAATGACTGTTAGATAGTAAACTTGTAACTGCTACGTGAAAAGTTTCAAATGTTTCACCGGAGAAATATTTATTAGCTTTAAAAACCTTACGTAAGATTTTGAAGAACAGTATACTTTCAATTGAAACAATGGAATATTTTGTTTCACTGTTTACAAAGTATCGAGTAACCAGTCTTTTGATAGAAACCAATATAATGTACAAACTAAGAAAAAGTTAAATATGGACAGTAAGGAACCGCCAAAAGTGTGGTTTTAATAACATTTTTGCATATTGCTGAACACCTATTCAAATTCTCGAGTATTTTAGATTTTCAGTTTTCCTACATATATCATGACCAACGTTGTAGTTCTTAAGATAAAATCAAAGGGAAGTTCGTAGATAAAAATGTTCCATATGACGTTTCGACGAATCATATATTATTGTGACGAAAGATCCTGTATGATAAGCAGCACAAGGAATAATTTAAAACTACGCAAATACTGCGTATGACAAATGATGAGTATCTAAATATTCAAGAACACCAACAACCATGACGGTAGCTCAGTTGTTGTAACCACACTCAAATTGGTAAGGTTCATCTTACAAAATATTCGAATTGTTTGATCGAGACCCAACTGTCTTTCAGCAACTGTTTTGTTCTTTCCCTCAATATTTTGTTTAATGATGTCTGTTTTAACCATACAGCAACAAATAGTACAAAGGAAACTCAAAAGAGAAAACTATGGACGTAGAAACTAAAATTTAAGGAATAGAGAAATAAAAAGGCTATAGCCGTCACTTATCACTAACACTCATCCGTTACAGATAACTACATTACAAGTAATATCATACCGATGAAAAATGGTTATTACTTATGATTTGTACAAATGTCAGTGTGCTAAACGGGCAATTGATTCAAAGACCTACGCAGAAGAGTAAGCCACTAAAAGTAACAACGAAATCTGAAAGTAAGTTTTATAAACATGATTACGTGGATAAACAACTTTCAAGTCATTTACTGAATGAAAAAGACTTACTCAGGTGTTTTGGAGTCATAAGAAACATTGAATTTCTTACACAAAATTTGACTGAATTGATTCAAAGATTCATATCTTCCCTAAAAACAAGTCATTTTACTTCATATTCATACTGTTTTCGTGAATTCTTCCCAGCTTGAAGTAGCATCTAGCTCTCCCATTATCATATGCCGAACACAGTCATTTGAAGTATCTCAAAAGCAACTATGACCTTGATATAGTGAACTTATAATGAACAGTTAAACAGAAAAACAAATATCAAAATTCTGAGTTGTTTGTTTGATATTAAAGCATGAAAAGTATAAAACGTACGAATAAATTTCATTTCACTCATTTTTATTCCATTCTTACTGATTAATTTGATAACTTAGTGATTACATAGCATAAACCAAATAATTTCTTTGTACTTAGACATTGAATTCGAAGGCTAGAGGCAATCTAAAGTATAAAACGGGAATAATCTCGTCACTCCATTCGTCACGAGGTTCTGCATTACTCAAGCACTACTCATTTATTCTCACAACAGTGTGGTTTTTAGCATGCTACCCTGTGTACGTTGCAATAACATTAAAAGTAGATTGAGAATGAGGCGCCCACTCACACGTAAACAGGCTAAAACGATGCAGAATTCACTTTCATCTCGCAAATCACTGACATTGATCTTTCACTTTTCCGTTAGCAAAGAGCAAAGTTACTCTCCACCACGACCCAAAGGACACAAGTTGCATTTCATATTTCAGGATGTAGATTCGGATAGTACGGCATTTGAGAATATTGGATTTCAAACCACTTTTCCCACTTCACCTCTCAATTGTCATATGATTACTTTAAAGCTTACCTGAAGCCACATTATAATAAATGGCTAAGTTCATCATTGGTAAGCTAAAAGTTCCTGGGAGTTCAACAGCAAACATAAGTGAGCATTCTGTGGTTTCTCGAGAAAACCTGAACTTCAGCGCCTGCCAGTTTGAACACAGTTTCCTGGCCATGGTTACAGGACGTTTTGCCTTCCAATGTATTTAGAACGGATTGTCAAAACCAATCTCCATTTTCCCCATAATAAGGACTTCATGACAATGTACTGAAGGTCTGAGAAGGATCAGGACACATTGTGAGCACCACAAATGTTTTATTTCAACAGCCTGTCGTACGGTTTCATCGTAAGATGAGGTTAGGAGGCCACAAGTTCCCTTATGCTTTGGTGACGATTTTACTTGTTTCTGTGTGTTTCTCTGCTCGGTTTTTCATGGAGCCTTGTATCTTCCGTAATCTCACTGAGTACAACACGACTGATCTACATATATTGATCACCGATAATCTTATGACAGTAGGAATAATAATTTGTTCTCAAATAACAATCTTTCACATGAAGCATTCCATTTTACACTCAAGATCAAACTGTTTCATAGGATACACTGTATCAGGTCACCCAGTGAGGTTGATATTGAATAAGCTACATTGGCCATAGAATTACGAGGAATAACTCTTCTCACATAGGAATGTAAATAATGTTAGTAAAACTGTAACGAACGAGCTGCTAGTATTCGGTTTGAAGGCAGAACTGACGAACTAAAATTTATTCGAATAGGCCAGACTACGTTCTTCTGTATAGCGTACCAAGCGTTTTTGAGATACTCGTATCAAATTATATGAAAACACAAATTGTGTGCTCAATTCAAACAGTTCTAACCTAGGAAACAGAACAAATTATGTCAAACATACAAAATACCTCAAACGGTACAGCCTGAGCTGTACAGCCATAGGTTTCTCTAACGCAATGTAGCGCGCCAAACAATAAAAGAAATAGTTAATACCAAAGGGTTCGATACCTGAAAATCAACAAAAATATTCCGAACAAGATGGAATCAAATATCTATCTGCAGGGATTTCAGCAATCCTCACAAGCACAGTCAAATGGTTGACAGTCACACACCGAACCACGCCGTGACCTTGAGCTCGGTCAACCACGACCTCACTGTCAGAAGTCCGGCAACATGCAATAGAAAATTAGCTAGCAAAAGATAAGTCTGTAATCAAAATCACATAATAAAGGCCCAGACGAGGAAGACTAAAGAACAAAAGGTGTGGTTAAACGAGATCTGAACAAAGGTTAAAATACACGACAGGGAAAAGAAACAAATAAATGACAGTATTGTTCAACAAAAAAGCTGAAGAGGGATTTTCATCGTTCTCTTTCCGTTACAAAGACTCATATTGTAAATATGACAATTGATGCGCTTTATGGATGTTGCGTTGCGACGTACAACAGTTGGTCGAGAATAAATCTACGTACAGTTGAGAGCTCCTAGAAACCCCAACCTTATATCATTATGGAACAGCTGGAGCACTAATGATGGCGCAGGTGACCACCACGATAAGAGACAACAGAATTATGGCTCCTCAAAGGAAGAAATTAAATTTCTCAAACTTAAAAGGTTATCGATAGTATCAATATAAAACTAACACAGATAACAAGAGCAATCAAGAGAATAAATACGATGTTTGTAGATATACATATTATCATTATCTTCAGTGGGGAAACATAAGAACTCCAGAAAGTCTATGTTTCTGCCCAACACTTCATAGTTTCTAGACAACACCAGTTACTATTTCAAAAAGCTGAGAGTGTAAAACTGTTGTCATCTTTGACATTAGTACTGCTCTAATAATAGACCTAATCATAAAATTGTAGTTTTGTCATGATAAAACTGCCTAATCTATAAGATATTACGTGGAAGTCATATCATCGTCTACACCAACTCATTGCATCGTAACAATCGCCGATACATGATGGAGAACAAGCCTAGTGTAAGATCCATTTTGAATGTGTTGTGTGTGGGTAAAAATCCCTCCATGTATATACTTGTACTTTATTCCTATTGATCACATTAGTTGTACATTGTTGTATTTTGATTACATTTGAATTGTTAATATTTGTATTTTTGTTATAGTTTTTGTTTTTATTACGCATTCACTAAGTTTGCGTTTCTTCCTGAACTGCATCTGCGTTGTTTTACTTGACACTTGTTCTTGGCGGTAGCCATATTGATTTGTTCCTCCTGTTGTGTGTGATCTATCCAGTCAGGATAGAATAACGTTCATTTGTTGTGATTGGTAATTTTTCCTCATCTTCTATCAACTTCTTTATTTATTGTAATTTAGATTTAATTGATTGAACAATCATTGGTTGAAAAGCCGGGTGATAATATTTGTTTAGGTAATGATTTACATTAAATTTATTATGAATAATAGAACCGCTAGTTACCCGATTACTTGTTCTGATTTCGGCGGGAAAGGGCGCGTGTCTAAAGTCCCCGGAAGGCTATTCTTCAACATCCAAACCGTAGTTTGGATCCTACACTTAGGCTAGAGACAGAACAATATATTTAATATGAATTAAAAAGTATATAACAACACTAAACGATGACCACACCTGCAGGGCCGAGCAATGCCATTCGATCAACTCGAATTAATTCAATTCCTTGTTTCCGCCTTCTTCATCGTTGGGTTTTTCTCCGCGTTCAATACCGAATATCTATTTTCTCAATTTTCTCGTGTTCAGCTTTCAGGATTGTGTGGCTATGGTCTAATGCCACTACAAGGGTACTTAGAAACGAAAACATATCTGAATTAGCCCCTCTGGTAATACTGAAATCCCAAGATGTTAAACATAGTAGTCTACGCAATTATGTTTTGTCGTGATTATTATATCGGTTTACCAATCTAGGCAGTGAAA